AGTGGCCGAAAGTGTTTTTCAACGTTTTTTGTCGGAGATAAAAGCGAAAAAAATCCGGAAAAATTGTCCGTTAAGAAAGTCGCGCCGCTCGCGTGGCCTAGGTTTCTCACTGAAAATCCTCGTCCCTCGGCGGCACCTTTTTTTGAATTTTTTCCCTTTTCAATGGCGTTTTTCAGGGATTTCGGATTTTTTTTGAATTTTTTCGCAATAATATTCGGAAAATAGATAACTTTTAACACAATCTAATGCAATAAAAAATTTGACCGGAGTCCCCCTTTAATAGCTTGGTTCTGCGAAATTTGAACACTTGAAAACTTACTGAATTTGCTGTCAGAAAAAAAATGCGAATTTGGAAATGCCGATTCTGAGTATTATTGAATTTGACTACCAAATTTTCTTTGAAAGAAGCCCAACCGGACATCCAACTTTAAGCTCAATTATCTCGATTTCTATGAAAGCTATCAAAATTTTGCAAGCTGATAAATTATTTATCATAATATTACCAATATTTTATCAGTTGACAAATTTTTGACATCTTTTACAGGAATCGAGATTATTGAGCCCAAAGTTGACAGTTTGTGTGGGCTTGTATTAGAAATACGGTATTTTGTATTTTTCTGATTTTTCATATGTTGAAATTTGCTGGTTTAAAACTTTAATTTCCAAGTACACAACGATTTTTTCTTGTGTCTACGTTTTCAAAACTACTCTATTCTTCCCTTATATGAAACCAGGTCCAATTTCTGTCTAGAAATATTTCATCTGGATCCTGTTTTACCTCTGTGCCTGATTTACGGGCATGTTGTTTCATTCAAAAGCTCTCTCTATCTCTATCCGTCTCTGGAAAAACATCTGCCTCCGTGTTTTATTTTTTTGTTGCAATCCTGTCTAGACAAAACTCGAAAAACATGCTGACAAAATTGTTTCCGCAACCTTTGTACACTGATTACTAAAAATGTTGTAATCTGTTATCAGTTTGTTATCAGTTAACAAGATAGCTTGGCCGGAATAAGAAGCGTGGATTTTTCGTTCGATTACGAATAAGGTTACTACTACTCATTTTTCTCGATGTTTTTATTATGGAGAAAAAAAACAAAATTCTGATTATCTCGAGTATTCGTCGAACAACAAAATTCGGTTAGGACAAAAACAGGGGAAAATTGTATTTATTGCAAAACAAGTCTCACCTATATGGCTCCGAAAATATATCACTCCTCGGCTCACTGTCATGTGTTGCCGAGTCTGCCGTTGATATACATGTTGATATTACCTCGTCGCTCAGAAAGGCACACCACACTTCCTCATCTATTGAAGACTGGAAATGAAATTGTCAGAAAATGAAAATATTTAGGGTAACAAAAACATACCGATAGATCTTGATCGTTTTTTGATGATAGGAGGGCTACGATTGCCGACGCTAGGTCCCTCCTGGATTGCCCATCGTCGTCTGATGTTTCATACTCTTCTACCTGAAATAGTTTTGACCAATTTGACTCCAGGAAGCTTCTTATTTCTAGTAAAATGCAAGAAAAACCCCGCAAATGAGTCGGAAATTCTATTCCATAGCGGTTAAAGAACGCCTTGAGAAGGGAGAATCATTGGTTTCTGGATTTCATTTTCTTTTCTAGCCGCCTACACACTTAGAATCAATCCAATTAAACATTGTTTCTCAATTTTCGACTCTGTAATTTAATCTAAAAGTGGGTAAAATATGAAGAAGCGCTCCTAATTAGCACGGATTCATTGAAACTTCTTCTCTTGTCAAAAGTACTCTCACATGCACATGCACACATGTACAAACATAAACGGAGAGGAGCTGCGAAAAAGAGCCGCTTCTCATCCTCCCATCTCACAAAAACCGCCGGTCCCGCCTTACTAATAACACGAGCGTCCAAGGAGAAAAAAATTGACACCTAATGGGACGAGCTATCTCTTGCTGGATGGGTCCTCAAATTTCAGGCGCAAAGAAAAAAAAATAAGAGAAAAAAGCATCTTCCTCACCTTCGTTTGAAACTGACAGCACTGATGATATTGCGGATTTGTCGCCTGGCAGAATTCGTGAAATAGCAACTTGCCGATAGGTTGCTTCTCAACGACGAATGCATAACTGAAAAGGGTACACCAAATAATTCATCGCCTTCCAACATATATATGCATTTCCGGTTCTCACTAAGAGAAAGCTATACATGAAAAGACTAAATAAAATATTGAGAATAGGTGAACTTTATAAAAAAATGTTTGAGCAAAAAAAACCTACTCTGGTTCCGGTGGTGGTTCTCCATTTTCCTTTTTCTGTGGTATGCATTCTGTATAATGCGGAAACTGTAGATAATTTTTCCATTTTTTACTCTTCCCCTTTTTCTGGCCACCACCTGAAAATTCAATTTTTTGCTTTGTTATTTTTTTCCGATTTACCATATTATTGTCTATTACAAAAGTAAGATGAATAAGACAACTCACTTTCTCGTGCCTTGATATAGACTGTATTGGCGACGATGTTTTCGATCTCCATAATCCTATCGTGGCTGAGCTAGGCAACAAAGGCCTGCTCCGGTGGTGGACGACGATAGTCTGACAAACAGAATCGTTGTTGGTTTTCACGGGGGCCCGAGATATATCTCGGGGCCATACACACAAGTAGTACAAGGGCGGAAGGTCAAAATAAATATGAAGAAGTAGATGAAGAGCAAGACGTGGATGGATTGGTGATGATGAAGACACGGCAACGATGTAGAAAAAGAAGAAGGAGAAGAAGTAACAGATAAGAGCAATATAGTAAAATAGGGCTTGAGTCGTGACTAACTGGGAGGGGCCAATGGTGCTGCTTCTTCAGTAACGGGGTGTGAGAGAAGAGAGAAAGACGAAAAGGGTGGCTCTACGTGGTCTGCCTTAGGAATGCGGCAGAGCCCGTCGCTAAAACGAGGGCCGTCTCGGCAATAGAGCCCGACGACGGGTCACTCTGTAGGGAGAAGAAGACGGGAGGGGTGCCCACTTGTAAGCATCGCCACCGCGACTGATTCTTCTCTCTCTATTCTAAAAATGGAGAAAGGAGCCGGAGAGGAGCCGGAGAGGAGTCGGAGAGGAGTCGGAGAGGAACCGCAGAGTAAAAGGAGGATATGAAAAGAGAAAAAGCGAAAAATAGATAAAATAAAAAGTGAGGTTCTATTGTGATCCAGAAGTTTAAGGAAGGAAAAAGAGGGAGGAAGAGGAGGATGCCGCTGGAAAAGCGCGCAGTACACGCGTGCGCGGACCGGCGGATAGGGCCTGCGTGTTGTCTAGCTGAACCGCGAACATGTTTTCTCTGCGGCCTCTTCGCCTCGGCCAGTGTCGCCGTTTTTGCCTGTGCGCACCGCGGGGGCCCCGGGGAGGCCGCCCGATGCCTCTCCTGCCTCACCGCATAGCATATACACGATACGCGCACTCTACACACGCGACCCTCCACTCGTTCTCCTCTCTCTTTTGCAATTGCCAATGTCTCTGTGTCGCACTCCGCATTTCGTTTGGTCTCTCCCCATTTTCTCCTACTCCTCGTTTTTCGCTTTTTCGCTTTTTTTTCCGCCACAATCAATAAAATGACAGCGGGCATCTGCATCTGTGCGCGAGTGAAGCGTCACAGGACGAGTGAAAAAAAAATAGTACACGGCTTTTGAGAGGAAACGACCCAACTTCTGGCCACCCCACGGATGACCGGCGACTGAAGTTGGCTCGGACGGCGAATGATACAATTGGAAAGTTGCGAATGAAGAAAAGGCTTGGGGGAAAGGGTTCACAATGACCAGCCGAGTGCACGCGCCCTCTCGGACTCTCTCGCTTGTGTAGCGCCCCAAAAATGTTCCATTCGCCCATTTTGTTCGTGTGCGTGTTGTCCTATTATATCTAATTTTACTAGAGATACACGCACATATATCCTTCTCACGAAAGCCGTGCCTAATCCATTAGTAAATTTTATTTTGGCACGCGCTGTCGCCCCTCGTGTAAAGTTTTCTTTTTTCCTTCTGCCAATGGAGCACTACCAAAAATCTTGGAGCATACACCAATTGTTGTTTGAAAATGACCACTACTAGAGCAAGACGTTTGTGTTAGATTATTCTGTCTGCGTTTTGCTTTCTTCTTTTTCCGCCATTTTGTGTTCTGTTCGTCGTCGTGAAATATGACAACTTTTTAGTTGGTTCCCTACTTTACGAAATTCGCCAATTTTCCTATTTTTTGAGTATTAACTTATATAGCTATTATTCGCAATTTTAAAGGTGAAAGGAAGAGGAGAAAAAAAATATCAATGCGGTGAAAATGAAGACAAAAAGATGAAAACTGATCTCGTAAAGCAATATGACAAACTTTTGACAAGAAACAAGACGAAAAGTGTAAGCCCCAACCGTTTTCCTATATACGTGCTGTAAATCGAAAACAAAACCGAATTCGTCAAGAAAACGAAACTCGATGAATCACTTTTTCAATATATCCGTCCATCTATCACATTATTTCCTTTGCGTGGTTCCTTGCCATTTTATGATTTATATGAATTCATATTTATGAATACCAGATGGAGCAGTTTATTTCAAATAATATCATGGTGAATTATTCTTTCTTTGCATTTTCTGTGAAAATCCCGCGCCCTCACTTCCTTCTCTCAAAAAATGATGTTTCAAATTTCAGGGTGATGACTGAAAAGATTCTATTCTACGTATACCGCGACTCTGGAACATCATCAGAAAGCCTCATCCGTTCTCTCGTAGAAGAACTCAAGAACTTTGTGTTTAGTGGTCGAGGAATTTCGTTCACTTCAAAAGGTTTGTCTTTTTTTCTTATATCTCTAGGGAAAATACGACAACGATTGTCATAAAGAATGAGTTCATACATCTTCTGTATTGTCAGGATACTCGGGAATTCCACTCCTTGGGGAGCTGCACATTGACTCGCCCGAAGACGACATTTGGAAGGTTCTAGCGGTTCTTTTCAAAATCAGTGCTATAGAAGAGGGACTTATTTTTAAAGTGCACACCGAGGACTACGATCGGAATCCGTTGGTTGTGGAGGCTAGAAAAAGCGACGTGCTGCCGGACTGGGCCAAGACAACGAAGATTTTTGCGGAGAATGTGAGTTTCAACTTTTTAAAATTTTTTTCAAATTTCTCTATTGGTCATTTTTTGAAACAGCTGTGTCTACAAAACCAGCCACAAACCAGCACATAGAATTATTCTGATTTATTTCCTCAAAATATATTCTACATACGGTACCTTTTAATAAGGTATACAAAAACGTATTACATGTTCGAAGTTTGGTCATTTTCATCATTTTCAGGATTTTGGAGCTTGGCTGCCAAGTTTCGGATCATTTTAAATTGTTCCGAGGTTATGAAACAGACCTAGATTGCAAACTTTGCATTCCCAGAATTTTTGAAAAGTTCCTAGTTTTTCAGTTATTTGCTGATTTCTGAGGGACACCTACCTTTTTTCACCTTTTCAGTAAAAAACACGAGAAAATAAAGTGTCCTTCAGAAATCAGTGAATAACTGAAAACAAGGAATTTTGAAAAATTATGTAATTACGAAATTATCAACCTAGGTTTGTTTTAAATCCTTCCAAATATTCAATGTGCTTGGAAATTTGACAGCCGAGCTCCAGACTCCTGTAAATGACCAAAATAGCCGGAAATCGACTCAACAATCGGTTGTTTTATATATTTTTAAGCAATACTGTACATTTGAAAACGTGCTTTTATTTTTATAAAATACTGTTGCGCATGTTCTACTGTAGCCGTTCGCCCACTATTTTTAGCATAACTTTAGCTATTTTTGATGCTTATCAAAAGGTTCCAATCGTATGAGTTGTATGAGTCAAAACAAACATTGACCATGAATGTTCATACAAGGTGAATAAAAAGTATATTCATATGACTCACCTGTACATGTTTTTAAAGCTTCATTTTTTCCAAAGAAATCAGTTTTATCTAAAGTCTCATTAAATTTCATAGCAGCTTTATTATCTATTCTTTCCCTTTAATGTAAAACTATCACTTCCATTCAAAACCTATGAATTCTAATCTAATCAAATTATAGGTATTTGGCATGAACGGCGTGATTCATCTAATCTCACCGACAGTCACCGAAAAGTTCCCGAAGCGTTCGCAGGTCGACACACTACGTGCAGTGCCAAACAAAACTAGGAATATTCTGGTTACAGAATCGCTTAGTGAAGTAAGTCTGGGGGATAACCGTTCTTTTTTTTTTTTGAAATCCGCTACACCTAATTATATGACTGGTTTTGGACAACCTGTCGGGTCGTCTGTTTTTTTTGGGTATACTGGCGTAATGATCGTTTCTGAATAGCTTTCCCATTAACGTTCACTATATACCAATTCATGCATTTATTTTGAGTAGTTTTCGCTTCCCCTCTTCCAACCCATTCTAATTCGATAAATGTTCAATCATTGAGGCGTTATGTGCGTATGCTTTCAAAGGCGTCGCAATAGAAAAAACACCAGAAGAAGCGTTATGCATTTGATACTTAAAAGAAACCCTCAAAACCCATGTCTCTATATATTTATTCATTTTCAGAAGCTGAATTCGGCGGCTTCGAGAAACTTTGGTATGCATAACACCAGCATCAATGTGCCCGCTTCAATGGCGTATGTGGCCCGCCAGCGTCCGGATATTCTAAGTCTCGCTATCCGAGAGTTCATCGGATTGGACGAGAACAAGATCAAGGTGATAATTCAGAGAGAAAGATAAATGGAGAGATATTTATTTATCAGCGTACGTTGTAATCTAATCCAATCATCCATGTTGTTTCAGGAGCTCGAGAAGAGACTCGCCGACGAACAAGATCGAGTGATGATTCATACGAGCATCAATGATACGGATTGGAAGGTAAAAAAAGAATGAAATGAAACTATAAAAGAGTGGTTGCTCTGAGAGAGAAGAAAATGGGGGGTATTTCACAAGAAAAGCGCTGCTGAGTGCCGTTTGGGGACTCAGATTTCACGCATATGGGTACACAAGGAAAAAGAAAGTCGACAAGTTTTTTGTCAAAAAAAAACTCAGAAATGAGGTTTCTAAGGATAGTTTTTCAATTTTTGAGCTGAATTATGAGATACAAAAATTATCAGTAAAACTTGAAAATTCCAAGTTTCTCAATTTTGGAAAAATACGTAAATCAAACTAAAAAACCTAATTATCAACTAACGTATTTCCTCTAGTAGAAGCTCAATCGAACCGTCAATTTTGAGCTCATTTGTCTCAATTCCTGTAAAAGACATTACAAAAGTGACATTTTGATAAATAATTCATCAGGCCGAGTAATTCATCAGGCCATAAATTACCTCAATGTAAAAATTAGGGGTCCTTCTATCCCAAGTTTTACGGTAAATCTTAACTTTGGAAATTTTTAGCAGTTTTATTTTTTCTTTCGTGTTCCTTATAGTTTTTGGGCAGAATTCCTCTCTGAAATTATTTTCTAAAGTTTCATTCTAGCTAAAAAGTCTATAGGTTTTGAATTCTACATCATAAAATTTACTAAAAATTTTCAAGGAAGTCACTGCCGTAGCGGATATCGAATCTCCAACTGACATCGTCTCTCACCGTGTCTCCCTAGCTCTACTAGCTTTTGATGAGAAGCATGCTTCAATTCCAAATGGAGTTGCAGTACCAGTCAGTGGCCTATTCCAAAAAGTTGGCGATCGCTTTGAACGCGAGCATTTGGAATCGCTGCGTGCTCAGTTTTTCGGAGCACCTCAATCGGCCACTCACCTTTATCAAACTGCAAAAGCTTTGGTCACCGGGAATCACATCCAGGAGTGCCGTAAAATTTTTGTTGGTGTGTTTCAACATGAAAAAGTTAAAAAATCAAACAAAAAATCGTTGCAGATGAAGGATCAACCAGCAATCGAGAATCAGACTGCTCCGCCAACGAGGAGGATAACAGCAATGTGAAATATGCGAAGAAACAGGTGTTCAAGAAAAAGAAGAGGAGTGGAAACTACGGAAAAAAGCGGGAGCTTGCGGCGATTATCGACCACTCTATTGCTCCGTAAGTTAGGAAAATTGAGATTCATATATATCTCATCTTGAGACGGCATGTCTCGAGATGTGGCGCAAAATCAGAAAGACAGAAGAAGTAGGACTAATGATGATGTCAATGTGAATATGTAGAATAAGTGACTAGAAAATTACAACAAAAAAATTGTCGGTTCGTAAATTGTTTGGCAAAAGACAGAAACACACCACATAGGCTAATTGACCTATCCTTGAAACTTTGTGTCTGGGTGAAAGTGAAATTGGCCGGAAACTACCAGTGAGGTGGAATAGAACCAAACATCTTCTGGCCTCTGTCGGAATTGAAACCTGGATGATGATGATGACAAATTGAACATAAATTTTCACTTTCAGCGAACTGCCGAACGAACCGGAATACCAGCCGCCCGACAATTCGGCGTTCTTGAAAAAGTTTGAGCGAGCGGTGAACGGTGATGATTATTATAAGGTAGGTATAATAATTTCAAAAAGCAATTATGAGACCTATGAGGTCCGGTTGGCCGTTTTTTGTTTTTTCTTCTGGAATGATTGATTTGAAAGAGAGTAAATAGAAAAAAAGGAAAAGTTGTCAATTGATGAATTTGATCGTCATATGACACATTTTTGATAGCTTTCATGAGAATTGAGATAATTGAGCCTAAAGTTGACGGTTTTAGTGGGCTTCTAGGAAAAGAAATACGGTAACTATGTAATGAACAAAATTACTTTTTTTAAATTGTTTTTGCACGATTATAGCTTTCATTAAAATTCAAAACCGTGAAAACATAATACACACTAGAGAGATTCTCAAATTAAGAAAAAAAATAATCACTGGGGTAAGTTCATAAGAAATAACAAAACATATTTAGTATAGAAGGTAGCATTCTAATTTATGAGCTTTACATCATGTGGTTTTTGTAGTCAACATTTTGAAATAGTCATTTTTTGAGAACAATTCAATTCGTGGATTGAAATACTTTGAGAAGAAATTCCCGCTGAATTTCGTAAGCTCCAAAACTTCAAAATGATCATTTCAACAGAAAAATTATTTAACATTAACAGAAGTGTCGAGTCTCTGGACTGATGGTGACCTAGGGCCGACCAGGGCAGGTAAGGATTTAGTAAGTTCGAAGTAGAGGAGGTTATGCTCTCAAACAAACTTTGAAACCCTCAACAACAAAGAAAAGCTAGTATCCTCAATTTTCTCTGAAAATAATGATGTGATCCATATGATCCTTGTGCCATTTGAGCCCCCGGAATCAGAACTTGTCAGCGAAGATCTCCACACCCTATTCATCACATGCACAATGACATCGTACTCCAATTTCACTTGTATATACAAATTTTTCAGGCCTCTTCTGACGAGTACTCATTGGGTGAGGAGGAAGATCTCGACTTGTTCATGGCAAAACCACGTAAGAAGGTGTTAGAGGAGATGAAGAACAAGAATAAGATCAAGTTGGGGATCAAAGTTGCCGAGAAGCTGCCTACAGTAACCGATGATGAGGAGATTGATGTGGCTGATATGCTTCGTGCAGCACCGCCGATTGCGGATGCCGAGGATTTTGAAGATTTCGATGATATTTGAATTTTTGAGTTTCATATTAATTTTTTTTTAAAATTATTTTCCATTTCTACTGGGACCTTTTTAGTATTTTATTCTTTCCTAAAAAAACATGACCAAAAAATCTCCATAATATATTCTAGCGCTTTACTTCTCCTTAATTCTAACTACACAATGCAAAGGGTGCTCATTCTTAACAACTCAAAAACTTGTATAATTGATTACTTACTTGCCTTTCATTGTGAAACACTTACACTTCTACTTGGTGCCTTTCTTTTGTGTCTGCGCCTGCCTTTTGTGTCTTCCAGAACTTTCTGATTCAGCTTTCAATTATTTTCCCTTCTTTCAAATGTTCGATTTCTTTCTCCCTGTTGTATTATAGATGCGTGGTAGTCTTCTTCCTTTTCCGTATTGCTCTTTTTTCGACTCTTTCTCTTTTCAATATCTGCTTGACACCTCTTTTTACTACTAACCCGATATAAATGTTTGAGTACTTGAGAAGAAAAAAGTTTTATTTTTGCAAAATTTGCATCCAGTTGAATAGGTTTTATGTCCCCGAGATGGCGAATAGCTTTTGGCACAACTAAAAAAAACATGCTAGAAGAAGCGAAAAGCGGGATTCAAAAAATAATAGAAATCAATCAATAAGTTCAGGAAAATTTGGGTAGGCAACCCGTGCTCGGCGCCTCTATCAGAGGATAGGGTGATATTGAGGAAACAACGGATGGAAGCTACACGGCCAGATAGGTTTGAGGACTAGCTCGGCTACACTCGGATCAACGGAAGGCATGTGTGTTCTCCGATCATTTGGTAGCCAGGCATGCAGTCGCATTTGAAACTGCCAGGAATATTGCGGCAGATGGATCCCGCCAAACAGCCGCCGAGCTGAAAGAAGAGATTTAAAAACATAGTCAGACATCTCTCAGAGGTCTCGTCATTCATAGTTATCTCACTTTTTTCTCTATAGAATATATATTTTTCTTTTTTTTCCAAAAAACAAAAAATCATTTGGCCTCTAGGGATCATATGAATCTAAAACTAGATATTCCAAAAAAAAAATACTACCAACCTGTTCGCGTGCGTCCTGAGAAAAAGCGCACTCGTCGATGTCCTCACAATACGTGCCATTTCCTTGGAAGCCCTGAAAACCAATGATTGTCCTATTAGTCTCCCGTGGGAGTACCAACCGTGTTACACGAGCATTTAGGTCCTCGTTTCGAGTCGGTGCACGACGCGTCCTTATGACACGGATTGACAGCACAGAAACGTGCAAAGTCACGACATCGAGGGCAACAATTGAATTTCTCATTGTACACCCAATCCTCATCTGGACAGCCTGGTGGTTCACACGTCGCGTATCTGGAATTGAAAGGTAAAAAGCCGGGGTTTTTTATGCTTACTCTGAGGAGCACTCCACTTTGGTATCCCAACACTGACACCGATAACAGTCTCCTGGCCAGAACACTTCTCCATGGGCATTTGCGATTTTGTGATTTTCATAAAAGCACTAAAAATCCGAATATTAATTTCAAGAAGCCTTTTTAGTTGGTACCTGTTCTCCACAAACCGGACAACAACCACCTTTCTTTATCATTGGATTCTTGCAAGTCACTGCCGGGCAATCAATCGCTCGGCAAACGACATCATCTCTGGAACAAGGCAAGATGTATTTTGTTGAAGATTTATTGAAAAACCTGGACAAACAAGTGCAAATGTTGCAATCCAAAATTTTGGTTTCATTGATCATGAGCAATTCATTATTGACCTAAAATATCGATTTTCAATATTTCGAAAAGGGGAGGCGGTACCTTGCATCCATCGAATCCTGGAGGAGAGACCACAATTTGCTCGAAGAAGATTTCGTCGGAGTCCTTGAATGTGGTCTAGATGTTAATGTTAAAGATCAGCTATTTTGTAGTACCCTTTACATGAGCTCAATAATCTTATTGCCTATATTAGAAGCTCGCCTTATACGTTTTGATTGAGATCTATTATCTCGGTTCCTTTGAGAGATGGCGAAAATCTGTCAACTAAGAAAATGTTGGTGATATTATGGTAAATAATTTAACCGTTCACCATTTTTGATATTTTTTGCATGGAACCGAGATAATCAAGCTCAAATCGCACATATAGAGGCAAATATTTCACTTCATCAGAAAGCCACTCTTGTAGTTCAGACTCAATTGTCACAATTGCCGAAAATATAAGAAAAATGACTGATAAATTTTGAAGGATAAATTATATATCATAATATCACCAATACTTTATCAGTTGATAGATTTCTGATGTTTCATAAAAACAGAGATAATTGATCATTTCCAATATTATCGGTTCATTTTTATTCTTCAACCGCCCCAATTCGAATTTGCCGATTTTTCTAAACTTCGAAGTTTTCCTCAGTGATCCCACACCTATTACTATTCACTCAACTTGAAAGCTTCTATCCTCGGGAAAAATTCTAATCAGCTTTTCCATATTCCCTTCTCTTCCAATTGTCACTCAAAGCACTAAAACGTGACGCGCCAAATAGCCAGAATAAATTAGCATTCTATCAAAAGCAAACGTAACGTATTTAGAGAAAAAGGGAAGAGAAAAAACTTAATGAATGGAATAGGGGGATACGAGTTTTTTTTTCTCATCTTCTTTTCTCCTTCGAAACCGATCAGAGATCTGAGTAGAAAATAAATGACTCACATGTTGGGAGCTTTTCTCGATTTCTTCGGAATACGAATCCGCATACTTCTTCTTGGCACCACCTTGCCTACATTTCTGTCCAATCGGCCAACCAGAGCCGATTCCAAAGTCTATTGGTTGTGCGCCTTCCCAATTTTCCACTATTTTAGTTTTGGCATGAACCAGACTGAACAAAAAAGTCAAACTTAATTTATAAATTAATTATCGATTACCTGAGCTCTAGGTGGGGCTCGAATCCAGCAAAAATCTCATCACACGCATCGTAAACGTGGATGTGATTGTGTTGGAAGGTAACAATCAAGTCTAGGATGGGTCCGATTTTTCCAACGCTGTCGAAATCAATGACATATCGTTTCATCCAGTTTCTGGTCTCGATTTTGGACTTGCTGATTGGTAAAACCATGTACAGCTGGAAAATTTTTTCAAATTCAAAAAATTAAAGTTTTGTCTTACTGTTTTATTGCGGAATCCAATTTCCAATCGACGCTCGCTATTCTGAGCGATGAAAAAAGTTCCATTAGAGCTCATATCAAATGTGGCAGCGAGCCAAGATTCACCGAATGACAGGAGATTCATGTAGTGGGATAACATAGCAGGGCTTTTGTCAATGTTGCATTGTCCAGTTGTTATTAGGAGCAGAAGAGGGATCACTAGATGGTGAGCCCACATTTCTCTGAAAAGTAAATACTGAAATACGGGAGAATTGAAATACGTGAGAAAAAAAAATAGAAAAAAAATAATTACAGAGTCTGATAAGAATTAACTAAAATAATTACAGTCTGGCACAAAAAAAACTTGGCTAAGGAAGGAACAAGTTGCTGTTCTCACTTTTGGCATCCTCCTACACCCCAAAATCTAAAAAAATGTGAAAAGAAGATAGAAAAAGATGGATATCAGAGTTCGGCGTGGGGGGAAGGAAAAGTTTTTTTTTTTCCAAGGGACCAGGGGGGTGCTCCCTCCAGATGTCTGCGGATGTTGTATCACATGGGGGTGGGGAGGACCCGTTTGAGTGAAAAGGCGTGAAATCAAATCGTGTGGGCATTGTGAAAATGGGTAGGAGGTTTTGAACAGAACAATGGGACAAAATTAGTATCGAATGAAGTAATTGTGAGTTGAGAGGTAGAACAATTACACTCTAATAAAATGAAACCTTTCATTTGGAGCTAATATATCTCATTTCGTAAGAAAGATATCGAGAAGTGGTCAACTTACAAAATATTGATTGTAATATCAGAAAAAGTTTGTTAGTGAACAGTTTGTTAATGGAATCAAGATAAATTGATATAAAGTTAAAAGTTAGAAGGTATCATTTTATTAAAGGGATATCATTATATTGATGGGTCACGGTATGTCAATCTTGTTCTGAAAAAAAAATGAAAATTTTATCTTGTAAACTTGATTTTTAACGCTTTAGTATTGGCATCTTGGAGATCTTTGGGGGTTTCGGCATAATTTTAAAGGAGGGGAGACATCAAAATTTTCAAAATTTTTATTTTTTCTCAAAAGAAGTAACTCTAAAGTATAAGTATAGTTTTGTAATTAAAAACCAGAAAAAAACACTACACCGACGAAAAGATGCTTTTTTTTTCTGACCGTAATTTCCTCACTCGTTTGCTGCAGCGGCGTCGCTTCATAAGACAAATCAACGCGGTCGTCGCCTCTCACACGCGTGGTGTAGTGGGTACGCTCTAGGTTAGCATTCAGAAGGTCGGAGGTTCAATCCCCGCTGATGGTTCCCTTTTTTCTTAGCTTGTCTCTTTTGGATTCAACGTTTGGAACTCAAAATTTTTGGAATGGGAATTTTCGGTACGTCAGCGTGCCGTCAAAGCCTAGCTACGAGATAAGAAACACTGTTGAAAATAATACCAGTTGAAAGAAAGACGAAACGGCAATCGGAGAAAATTTTTTTTTCATATTTTTGAAAAACACGGCCACTGACAAAATAATCATTCGGCTGAACCGGAAACTTACGAAAAAAATCTATTTTATATGATTTTTACAATAAATTACAAAAAACCGTTTTTTAAGTTGTAAAGTCGTTTAAAATTTGGAAAAATGAAGTCGGAAAATAAAAAAATATAAAAAGTTTGCGCGTCGGATTGCGTGCTTTAGGTGCAAACACCGCGACGGCAAATCACACGTTCCCTGAAATTTTCCCCGAAAATTTTGCTGTCTGGCCCCTTTTAACTTGGGAGCAATTTTAGAGGATCCACGACACTACCAACTGATGCTACACAGTCAAAAACTAGACCGATGGCACCTATGGAAACCCTTTCTGAAAGCGTAAAGTCTAAAAACAATTGAAAAAAATTTGTTTGAAATGTATAAAAGCTCCAAAACTACTCATATCGCAGGCAAGCCCTTGATTGGCGTTTAAAACTAAAATTTTTGTATTTCACAAATTTCACAATATTGTCACAAAACACGAATGACCAAAAATATATATGATCGAACAAAAAAAAAACCCGAAGTGAAAATTTTTTTTTGTCCAACTGATACATAGAACAGACTCCTTCTGTCCGTGAGGAAATCGAATTTGTGAACGGACCCTCTCACGCCTTTATTTGCTCAGAGCAAAACGAAAAGAAGAAAAAACTCCTTGACATTCGAAAAGCCTCTTTTTTTCTCAATTTTTCGTCTCAAAATATCGTCTTCTTCAGAATACAATAGATGTCTAAAACACACCGCTAAATAGATTTTAACGTTTTGAACAGTAGATTGAGTGAAAAAAGGAATTCTATTCTAATAAAAATGGCGGGAGGAAGAGAAAAAAAAGAAAGAAAATAGAATAGTAAAGGAGTTGTAGAAACTTTTTTTGCGTGCCAGAATAAATGAGATTTTTCTGGTAGTCTTTTTTACTCACAACTTCCACTCATTGAGAGTGAAGAAAATTCTGATTAGGATTGTCAGGAGACTGGAATGTAAAATCATGACCATTGCAAAAAAAGGTGTTCAAAAATTCAAAGCCAGCGAAGCGAATAATTTAGAATTCAAATCAGAATCCCACACTAGAAATCGCTTGCTACCGAGGAGGGCAAAGTTTAGCATCCGGAAATGCTAAAATATTTACCCGAGAGTATTGGAAACTTTTGATATTGCACGGAAAGCTATAGCATTTGCTGGATAATTCATCTTCATTAAAAATGGGAAAGATGAAGTGGAAGAATATAAAGAATGCAAAAAAAAACTAATCTACATTCAAATATCTTGGAACATGCCCACGGCATTTGGGGTTTCCGGGAACACATAACAGTCGAAACTGCTCGAGGGCAACCAGAACACACTAGATTGGAAAAAATGAAAAAAATACATTTATAAATAACTCGATTGAATTAGTAGGTGTGAAAAGTTGTGGGCTGGAAATTATGAGAATTCGTGATGAGGAATGGCATTCAGGAAAAAAATTTTGGTTCCTAAAATAAAATGAAATAACTTCTGGGAATATTTTTTTTGATATTTTTTGAATTCAGAAAAAAAGTAGAACAACTACAATGAATGCAAACCCATTATATGCGTGTACATTGAGCTCAATTATCTCGGCTCCTATAGAAGGTATCAAAACTTTTTAAACTGTCAAAACGTTATTCATAATCTCACTAACATTTTATCAGTTTAAAAGTCTTTGATAACTTTTGAACAAGCCGAGATAATTGAGCTCAAAGTGCACGTATCTGGTAGCCATATATTAGAGTGTTTACGGTATTGCCAACTGGATTATAATGCAAAATACAGAAAATATAACGGTTTTGGCTGCTTTAGGGGGGAGGGGGGGGGGGGGGTTCAAGAATTGAAAACCCAAATTAAATAAAATGAAACAAGAATATAATATTTTGTTGAAACAGAACTTTTCCCACCTATCTGAAAAATCATGGTTTCAAAAATTCTCAGATTCCTAATTACGTAACAAAAAACAATGCCAAGAAAATGAGTTTTCAGTAATTCTAATGAATAATGAGTCACGTGAAAAAATACATAAATATGATGAGTAGGAAGAGTGTGGACTAAATTGACATTGAGAATAATCGAATAGATATTCAGTTGTATTCAGAAGAAAGAAAAAAGGCTCCGGCTCCTTCTTCTCTTTTTTCTTCGTTGTCATCGGCTAGAAATAAGATACATCGGGACAAAAAAGAAGAAGATGCGCACCCCGCCGCCAGACGAGCCAAACAGACTGGAACCAGTGTGCCACTTTTGTACAAAAACGTTTCGTAATAGTTATTGATATTGTCATGGGATGGGTGGCTCAAAAAAATCTCGAAAAAAATCTTGTTGGTAAGTATTTGTGAGGCTTCTCATGATAAAATAGACGAGGAGGACAAAGATTACAAGTCAAGAGGTCAGCTGTGGAGTGTGCCTAGGGAATTCATGTTTTTTTTTTCACACTGAAAACTTTTTGATACTTGTTATAGTCTAGGCTGGTCTATATTTAGTTCATGAGGAACACTCTACAGTAACCCAGTTGGTTTTAAAAGTGGATTTGTTTGATATAAGAAAACAAAACAAACGTTAAAAGAGTCACTAGGATTAGAATGTCCTAAAATGCAACGAGACAAGAAAAAAGCCCCAAAAACAAGTAACACAATACTTTGCCCATTTGTCTTTCAGCTATTTTCTCAATGTTTTAGATTGACAAAACACTTACTTCCAGAGTCTTGCATCCCCCCACGCTTACCACCACCAGATGGGGCCATAAATCAACATGAACACATTCTAGCTGACACATTCCTCTCTCCTCTCTTCCCAACAAAAAACAATAGTTTTCACTCAGTTTTAACTGATGACACTGCGCTGGGGTTTAATCAGTCATCCTCTCCGGTATGAGTTGTAAAACAGAAGGAAAAAACATTGGGGTAAGAAAAAAGAAAAAAAAAGTTGAGATTTTTGGGGGGGACTGCCCAATAAACGCACTCATCCATGCGTGTATGTTTCTGTTCTAATCCCCCTCCCAACAACACCGGCTCTGATGTTGAATCACTTATTATTGGCATTTGAACTCCGGAGAGGGAGGTTTTTTTCAGAGAAATAGAAAAGAGATTATTAAAGAAAAAAGACTTAGTGTGTAAATAGCTTTGGGGATAGATAAGCTCTGTGAAAATCACGAAAAAAACAAGAGAAGAAGATTTTACCAACTTTTAGAATTTCAGTATCACTGTTATCTATTTTTAATGCGCGTTTATTGAAAAAAAATGTATTGAAAATCGCATTGTCGGTCGAGCAGCAAAAACCGTATGGTTTTTTTTTTCAAATTACTGCATGCGCCTTGAAACCGTACTTCACAAGTATTTGATTTTGAGCTATAAGAATTAGACGAAAATTGCCAAAAGCGAGCAAAAAATTGAGGGAAAACGGCAAAAATTAAAATACTTGTGTGGTACGGTTTAAAGGCGCACGCATTAATTTGAAAAATACCGTAAGGTTTTCGCTGCTCGACCCTATATAATGCAGGTAATGCGTTGCTGAGCTACACGATAACATATACAAAAAATTCAATAGCCACAGAAGAATGAGAAAAGCGTGAAAATCGATTACTGTACACCGTCACATCAAATTTTACGCTCCAAAAAGATGAAAAAATTTTTAGAACTATCCTGTTACCGTATTTCATTAATAGAAACTCTCTCGAATTTCCAACGTTGAGCTTGATTATCTCGATTCCTGCAAAAGGTATCAAAATTTTGCCAACTGATGATTTATTGGTGATATTATGATAAAAATTTATCAGCTACCAAGTTTTTGATATCTTTCACAAAAATCGAGATAATTAGGCTCAAAATAGATGGTTTGGGAGGCTACAACTTACGGTAGTTTAATGGAAGCTTCAATTCTTGTTCAACGAATGAATTCTTACAAATTTCTCGGACTGCTACAGTAATCGTAATATTAGACGCACCAAGAAATTTCATATTTTTCACAAAAAAAAAAGAAGCCTTCACATCCTCTCAAACCCACTAGATGTGCTAATTGCTCTCAAATTCCGGGCAACGATAATGAACCTCAAATGTTTCAAGGAAAAATGAAAATAAAAACACAGCAAAAAAAAAGTTCTGCTTCTCTAATGAAGTGAACTCTGGAACTCTTCTTCCCACGTCGCCTTTGTTTCAATGAGAAAAAAAAATGAATTGAAGCTAAACGATGTCACGCCGGAATTCAATTTGTTTCATGGGACGTGTCATGAAAACTTGTTAGGCACTTGATTGGAAAAAAGGAAAAAACGCTGATGCGGAAACCATGATATCATTGAAATGTTTTGCACCCGGATAAAGCTATTCCGCCCTCGATTTTACTTTTATTTCAGATAAAATTATTTGAATTCAGGATGAAATGAAAATGTTCAGCCTTTTACACTAATGAAAGAATATCCTATCATGATTCTAGACACATCTAGAATGGCTAGTCAAAAAAAAAAACTATTTTCCCCCCTGAATATAAAGGAATAGCTAATGAGTTCATTTGGGAAACAGAAGGAAGGATAGGAAGAAAACTAGGAAAATGGCAAAAAAAGGCAGAAGGGTTGGAACGAGGAGGGCTCCGGAAAAAAAAACGTGATGAAAAGGAAAAGGAGATGTCCTTAGAGAAATCGAAATTGCGACTTGGGATAGGATAAGAATAGGATAAAGAAGGAAAAAGTGGAATCGGAGTTTTTTTTCCAAATTTATTTTACGGATCGAATTTTGAGTAAAGTAGGAGAGTTAATCTGGTTTAAATTGGATTTTCCAGTTCAATGCATATCGAATAAAAACTTTTTATAGGATTGGAGATCCAATTATCATAAAATTGAAAAAATAAACTTCTCAATAATGTCACATGACTTTCAGTAGCTATTATAACTATCATTATCCCATCAAAAAGGGTTTTGAAAATTTCCAAAAAAACCTGTTTATGTTTTTTTTTCGCCTACACAAAACTGCCAGTTCCCATTATTGTATCAACAGTGATTTATTGTCTGGATACAAGTCACAAAGTTATTTTTTTTTTGGTTTTTCGAACACTGGAATATACGGTATTATCAAAGATCAGGTCCAAAATATCATTTGGCAGTTTTTTGTTGTGTTTTGGTTTTTTTTTCTGATACCAACTTAATGAGGTGTTCCAGCTTGATAAAATACAAAAAAAACAAGGCCTTCTTCGTTTTTTTTTCCATATGTTATGGTTATGTTTTGTGACTCGGCGGCAAAAATCCAAGACACATCCCTTGTTCACTCGACCACGAGTGATTAACATAGGCCCACCACGTCTTGATGATGGCTTAAATCGACGGAGACGTTAAGCACTTGTGGATTGTGGCTGTTTGTTTTCATTTGGACGATGGGCCAGCAGAGCTAGAGCCAAAAAATGAGAAAAAAAAACAAATGAAAAACATTATTTATGACTCAAAAATTTTTGTACATTATGTAGGTTAATATAAATATCACAATAGTCCGTAGGTAAAATTCAAACTTTTCGAGGTGTTCAACAAATCCTTGAAAAAGCCTCCAACATCTTTCACATTACTCTTCACTTCGTATTCTGCGACGGTGATGTTGTCTCCCAGCGGCTTACAGAATTCTTCCTGAAAGAAAAAAAAAAGAGAAAAAACAATTAATAAGCAAAAAAAAGAGAAAAATATTTGCTTACTGGCTTGGCAAACATCCTTTCGTCGGCACGACATCCGTATAAGGAACTGAATAATGGATATTGTCGAACCGCGGTGTTCAATGAGATTTCTAGAGGGTGGTGATGAGGGATTGGCTTGTTTTTGCGATCGGATTGTTTACAAAGACCACCCACTATCGTTTCAAGAGCTTCTTTGAGCTGGAATCGCGAGAAATTCCGAATAAAAACAGATCGATAAAAGTTTGAGATGTACCTGCTTATGATTAATTGATTTATTGGCAGCCATTTTCATCACCAATCTCATTGCAATTATATTGACTACATCTTCATGTGCAATGTCTCTTTGGAACCATCCGAAATCAAGTTTCTGGAAAAACGAAATATACATTAATTAGAATTTAAAATTGATCAATTAACTGCTAGAGAATTTAATACAGAAAATTCAATCGCATCTCGCAATTTTCATCAATACAATTCTGGCCATAAATCAGGGGTGGGCGAGGGAGGGAGAAAAACCTTCACGTTTTGCAAATTTTCCGCCCTTGTTTTGCAAAACGAGATTAAAGGCGCACGCAATTCCACCGGCGGGTCTCGACACGTAAAAAATAAATTTTTAATTTTTAAAGGTGGGGGGACAGGAGATTTCTCGTAATTTTTTCGTAGCTAGAGTATGCATTCTACCATGACGGTGTACAACGCTTAATGTCACTCCGCGTAAAGCAGTCGTCCTCGCCTTTATGTATGCAATCGGGAGTGCGCTTTCTCTTTGCCCGCGTGGCTCAGTCGGTTGCGGCGCCGCACTCTCAATCATCGCCTTCACAAGTTCAACTCCTCGAGGGGCATCTTTGAGCGGAATTTCGAGAACATTATTTTTTTCATGTCCCCCACCTTTAAAGCGATTTTCAATAAAATTGTTCGAAATTCAAAATTTATTTTCCACGCCATTTTTTACGTGTCCAGACACATCGGCAAAATTGCGTGCGCCTTTAATCTTGTTTTGCGCTTGTTTTGCAATTCGTTTCCGACGAAAGCCGATTGCTCGCCCAGCCCTGCCATAAACATACGAAAACAGTGTTTATCAGTCGATTTTTATCATTTTCAGGAGCCTGGAGCTTGACTGTCAAGTGTCGGATTACTTTGAAAATTATGGAGGTTATAAAACAGGTATAGAATGAAAACTTCGCTATTACAGAAATTTTTGAACATTCATAGTTTTCAGTTATTTGCCGATTTCTGAAGAACATCCTTTTTTCTTATTTTGTTACTGAAAACGTGAAAAAATAGGTGTCTCCCAGAAATCGGCAAATAACTGAAAAACTAGGCATTTTCACAAAATTCTGCAAGTGCAAAGTTTTCGATTCAGGTCTGTTTTATAACCAACAAAACTTCCAAACGTGAACCGACAGCCGAGACTCCTGAATATAGTCGATCTACTGAAAAACACGTTTTTTTAATATTAATGGCCAGAACTGTATATCAGTAAGCATATTCATTTATCCTTTAAAAAAGTCTGTGATAAAATATATTAAGTTGGAAGGAAAGTAACTGTCCATTTTTTAATTCGTGAATAACACAAAAACAAGAACCATTCAAGATTGACAGTATGCACCGTCGTGGTCCACGACATGTTGACAACATTCATGCAACTTGTGGATACCATACCTCCAAAAGCCAGCTGGCCGTGAATCAAAGTAGTGAATCAAAGTATACCTTCCCGGACGTTTTTTTTCTCATCGACAGTGTAAAATTATTTTCCCTCCAGATGCCGTTGAATATTTCCGAATAGCCAATAATAAAATGGTCAAGTCTGGAGTTTAAGGAAAGGGAAGAGCCGTAAATCCAAAGCGTCTTAGGACTGAATTGAGTTTCATTGAATAACTTGAGAACCTATGTTCCACTGTCAGTCAAGTAAGACCTGGGCCGCTTTAGCTGGACGTTCCTCCTTTACGCACTTCTACCTTCTGATTTGGCTTTTTCATTATTGATTTTTAGAAGATATGCAACGTCATCTGAAGGGAAATAATTTAACACTGAAGTTGAGATAAAATCCGGACTCAAAAAATACATTGAGTCGCAGCCAGCTGGCTTTTGAAGTTATAGTAACCACAAGTTGCTTGAATGTTGTCAACACGTCATGGACCGCGACGGTGCATACTGTCAATCTTGGATAATTATTGCTTTTGTGTTATTCACGAATCAAAAAATGGACAGTTACTTCCCTTCCAACCTAATAATTCCAACGGTCCTTTGAGCTATTTTTCTATTTTTTATGTAAGAAACAAATTATCGAATGCCAAAATTTATAGCTCAGTAGGACCTCTTTGTACTCACCACTCGATCTGTATTCCCCATCATTTTCACTTCCTTGCTCGCACATGCCCACGCCTCTTCTGTAATGGACCTAGTTTCCACTGATAAGCCGTATGGATACAAATGATGCATCATCTCATGAGACGTCACAAAAAGTGTATCAGCCATCTAAAAACCTTATGTTTATTTAAATATTTCTTCTTCCTTAATTTACCGCTTTCTCTGGTTGACGAAGATCATTGCGAGTTATCACCGTGATATGATTACTGTTCAAGTATTGGAATGCGTCGTTGGTTGGGTTCGCCACAATGGCTTGGAATAGAAAACGTATATCATAGAAGGGAATGTGTTTTGCTAGAACTGCTATTGATGCGTCGATAGCACCAAGACGTAGTATTTTTTCGGCGATTGGGTTCATAAGATCCCTAAATGATCATAGTAGAATACGATCTGGAGCTGAATGTGCGAACTTACTCTAAAGACAACAAACTTTGCAATCGATAATATTCGGTTTCATATGCCAGCTTTGCTTCTCTGAACGCTGTTATATTGTTGGAGTCGTAGAATGCAAAAAAACTTTTTGACGCTACGATTCCTTTACGAAGGGATTTTTTGGCTTTTTGGGGCAGTCCAGAATTCTGAAAAAAAAAACGCCTAAAATTTTTTGAAAGGAACAACTAATTAAGAAAACCATACCTCAATTTCCAATAGCGTATTATTTTTGACAGTGTCAAACATCCAATGGAAGAACTCATTTCTCTGCGTAATTGGTATTTTCATTTGCTCCAAAATTTCGATATTGGCATGAAGAGCGTTGTAGTAAATATTGACCATCTAGAAAACATATTCCTCATTAGAAGGTATTTTTCTTACAAAAATCGTACTGTACTATTGATATCCCGTAGTCTCGTCGTGACAGCTGTGTATCTTGCAGAATGGACCATTTTCTTGTTTGAAAAAAGATCACCGAAATAATCCATAGTAAAAATTCCGGTGAACAATACCTCAATTTCCGTACACCACTTCATCACTTTTGTCAGTTTTACCAGTTTGTCCAAGGGTACTGTAGTTCCGTTACTTACGATATCAGTGGCGTTGTACTCGTCAGGTATCTTAATCAAGTAACAGTTTCAAAAGTTCAATTCGATAGGAAAACAAAAGTTTGGCAAACCTTAATTTCTAGTTCCTGGTCCATACTGGTAAATGAGAGATTAGTGATTGATCGGGTGTCTTTAGCGCAAACATAGTCATAAAAATCATTACAAGGATTGAGAGCTGGCTCTGTTGGCTGAAAATTCTGGTTTGTCTGGGACCCAGAAAACAAATCTCACCTTCTGAACACTTTTAGCTACTAAAACACAAGAAACAATAATTAAAACTCTACAGAAATCCATGATGTTTTTGCAAAAGGTCCAGACCGCGTCAGTCAATGTTCTTGGCACGATGAACGTGTGAGGAGACACCTGCTTGATTTTTGTGGCCACGTCTCATCTGTCGGTCTCAAATTTCATTGAGCAGACTCATGACAGCGGGGCTTCGATTTCACTTTTTCCTCCTGACGTCGTTGTACTCGAAAAAAAAACTTTTTTGTTCTCTCCAAAAAGTAGAGAAAATAGTATGAATCAAACCGATTCGAACTACAGTTTATATAGTTGATTTGGTTCGGGGAACAAGTCAATCGGGGCGCCAATAGCTTCGGTCAAACGTCAGAAATCAAGTGCGTTAAAAAAAGAAACGGATAGATAGCTAGTGATATGAAGGGATGGATGGCAGGGGAAAAAAGTTTGGGTGTGTTTTTTCATTTTAATTTGATAAAAAGAATTCAGAGAAATATAAAGAACGAAGAATATTAGAACGTGTGGAATTAGAGAAGATAAATTGAGAAAACCAAGATGACGATGAATTTGAAACTGAATGATCTGAAAAAAAAAAAGAAATTCTAAAAGTTCTACGGGTTTGTAAAACTTACGAGCTTAAACTAGCCAGTGATTCGGCTTCCTTCAGATCATCCTCCAAATCGCCACCTTCTTCTTCACTGGATTCTTTGCTTTCCGAAGAAGATTCTGAACTCTCGGCACTTCCCTCCAAAGCCTCTTCCTCTTCCTCCACATTTGTCACCGTCACATCAAACTTTTCATACTCGATGGTTGTGATATTCGCCGCATCCAACTCGTCAGCTGTGTTTTCTAGAACATCCATGAACTGCGTGAGTACGAATAAATCGTCCTTCTCAACCTTCTGTGTGAGGTAGTCGTTCACATCAATGTCCATGTTCAACGCTTTGCAGTATTTGTCACGAGCGACGTACATTCGATCTCCGGGGGTACAGTTGTAGAGACTGTTGAATGTGGGCATCTGTGACACGGCGACATTCAGGGAGACGTCGAGAGGATTATGTGCAGCAGCTTTTCGTTGCGTCTTGTGGCAGAATCGGGTGACAACGTTTTCAATATTCTCACGAATCTGGAAAAAGATGCTGGGTACCATTTAAAAATTGGGAAGAATAACCTGATTGCTGTCAGAAGTCATCTGGGCAAGATAGAGGAGCATCAAACGCAAGCCAGAAACATTTGCACTGTCTTCATAGGAAAATTGGGCAAGACTCCAGTCGGATTCGTTCTGTTAAAAAACTTCCATTTTTTTCTTATTGCACTGGAGGTTTTAAAACCAATAATAATAATTTTGCAATAATATTCTAGCATTTCCCAATTTGCGATACTAACTTTTTGAAAAATTGGTTTTTGAAAGTGGAACTTTATCACCTTATACGCATTTGCATAATAATCCAGCCTATCATGAATACACTGCTTCTCCCGATCCCAAATTTCTGTCTCGAATGGTGGCGGATCGACATTATAATGCACATGTAACAACTCATGGCACATAACATACAAGATTCGATCGTACTGAAAAAATCAATAATATCACATTTTCAATCTCCATGCACTTACCACAGCATTCGGATTCGTTTTTGGGTTGAATACTGTAAAAATTGAAAGATGAATTTCATCCTGGTAGTTGAATGAGTGCCGCGTGGCCGCTGAAACCACATGTTGGAAGACGAATCGCGGTGTAAACGTGGTGATGTATTTTTCGAAAATTTCCATTGCCTGGTTTACAGCCAACACTCGGATCATTTTGTCGACCACATCGGGGTGGAGACGGCTGAAAGATCTAGAAAGTTATTTTGAAAATTTTTCAAAAAAAAATTACGTCTCATTGATGACCGCATTCAATCTGTAATACTCTTTCTCGTAAGCAGTCTTGGCTTGCCTCCAGACCGTGATATTATTGTACTCCAAGTACGGAAAAATGATTTTCACTTTTTTCACTCTGTCGATCAGGTAATTCTTCTGTTCTTCATTATACTTTGACTCCGATCTAATTTGAGAAATGTGAATGTCCACGATTTCATCAAAAATTCCATGATAGTAATGGTTGTGGCTGGAAACTGGCACATGCAAGTCCTCCAAATGCTCCACAGATTTTTTGAGACTTTTGTAAAATCTTGTGATCACCTGAAATTTCTCAAAATTTTTCGCTTTTTTCCAAACGCGTGAAGCAGATCAAATTACCAAAAGGTTGTAGTTCTCGAAGATTTTCTCCAGTGCCTCTCGTTTTTTAGGACCTTCAAAAGTCAAAAACTCTTCATGACGTAGAGTGTGCTCCTTCCATTTCACACCATTATCATTAGTGTCGAATTGCACCAACCACTTGGAAATGACATCTGCGTTGGCAACATCCCAAAACCTTCTGGAAATATATTTGTCTGATCTTTTTTTCAAAGTGAAGCTAAAGCTAAAAACTTACAGTTTTTGCTGTGGGTGAAAAACATAGTCCTGGTATTGCTGAAAAATTTTGAAAAAAAAGTTTGCTAGTGAAATGTTGGTAAACGAACATCGATTTCATTTGATAAGTTATTTTGCGACCAGAGAACTGCCTTAAGTCGAGGATATCCCACATCTAACGGTTTTTCACAAACATATTCGTAGAAATTGTTGCAAGCAGTTGGAGCGTTTGGGTCCAGAGTCTGAACTTGAAGATATATTTTTTTTTATTAAGATTTATAGGTTTTCCATAGAACATAACTCTTCTCTTGCCACAATTCGATCAAAAAGTAGCAAAAGCGTGATGTCAGAAGGAGCAGCTGTCGGTTAGATAGAAGTATAGTTGAAGATTACCGCTAGTTTATGTAATTGGTGTTTGATTGAGTATGGAAGAAAAGTGAAAGTGATTTTGACCTTTTTCAAGAGTCCGGAGATCGGCTGTCAAATTTTCTATCCCTTTGAGTAAATTTTTGAAAGACGCCTATTTTTTCACGGTTTCAGAACAAAAGTGAGCCAACAGTACAAAAGTGAGCCAAAGCAATTTTAGAACTCTGAACTCCTGGATGTTCTCAAGATTAACTAAAAAATTAGTTTATTTTATTGACCGGTAGTGTAGGTAATTCTTGAAGATCTAGTCAAAGACAGAATGGAATATTGATTTTTCGGCTGAATATGAGCTACACGGTCGCAAACTGTACACACAACAACTGATGGTTCATTCGGGTTTTTAAAAATAAAGTTTTTTATGGGGTTATTCAGTGAGAAGCAAAACAGCAAATTGCTGGTTTTTTCCTTATGCAGAAAACCAGCAATTTGCTGGGGCCGCTTGCTGGAGTTTTCTAAGCCATTACTTGTTCTCGTGGAGCTACACGACCAGCGATTTACGAGCTTGATAACTAAAGGAGTTCCCTGCTTGGGTCTCGAGAACAAGTCATGGCCTAGAAAACTCCAGCAAACGGCATTTTTAAACAAAAAAAAATCTACTTACCTGATCTTCACAAAGTACAGAAACCGCTAGTAGTATTAATATAGATGCTTGAAGCCACCACATTGTTACAAAATCCTATTCCAATTGTTTCTTTGTTACTCTCGTTGTGCACCAATGCAATCTGAATATCATCAACGACGTTTGCTTCTTCTTCTTCTTATTTTCTTCTCAGTGTTTTCTTTACGTTTCTAAACTATTGAAACCACGCCTACCCTCTTTCGAACTCTGTGGGTGAAACACTAATCGCAACGAAACGCAGATGATGGCAATGATGATGATCCAGCGTAAAACCTCAAAAAAACTCAATGGCGGGAAGAAATCAAAACCAAGAAGCCGATGAAAAGCACGAGATGAATTGCAACTCTCGTGGTGTAACCGATCATGGTTTATCATTCGATGTCCACTTGTGTTATCTTCTCGCGGATCAATTGGATGGTGAAATGTTGGATAAACAGATGGCTTCCAATGAATCAAATACGAGGGATAGAGCGGTTTTTTTTTTCATTGATGACAGGTTGAAATTACATTCCGATTGTTTTCATGTAGAGCGGGATGTAAGATGTGTGTCTGTTGTTCTTGCCATCCGTCTGGCCCGCTCAGAAAAAATCATATAGCTCAGTGTTACGGGAAAACTCGAGAATTGAAAAACACTGCAGGTTGGCAAAGAACAATTGTTCTTGTGGTGACAATCTAGTCATGAAACAAAACGACAGTTGCTCTTATTTTCTAAAAAAGAATGTAGTATGTGATCTATGATTGACACACGTGTGAAAATGAAAAAGATCTTATGAACTTGAAGAGAATGCGAATCAAGGAGTTGGGTAATGTTCTACTGGGAACCTGTCGGTGGGTTCGGGTTCCAAATTTGAGAAAAATCCAAATAAAAATTCTAAATTTGCAGGAAAATGTTCCTTTCCAGGTTTCAGATTTCAGACTTTTGCGTTCAGGAAATTTTTTCCTTTCATGCAAGGCTGTCGGAAGCAGGGTCTCGGCTTGTTGATTCGAATGCTTTTGAGATGAGTAGAATTTTACAGACTAGAGGTTCTAGAAGTTTCAGGTTGGGTGATCTTATTTCAAAAAGGTTTCGAACTTTCAGAGTTTTTGAAATCTTCAGTATTCCTTCAGAACACGTTGGTTTGAGATTTCCAGAAATTGCTGCATCTGTGGTCAACAAATTGGCAATCCTTCAAATCTCATGAATGGTTTTCAAGATTTTCTTTTTCCTAATTTTCAGAAGAGTTCTTCGGAAAAATTTCTGCCAATATAAAAATTTTTCCACATATCGGGTAATACCGTGAACACTTTAAAGGTGGGGGGACATGAAAAAAAGAATTTTCTCGAAATTTTGTCCAAATATGCCCCTCGAGGAGTTAAACTCGTCAAGGCGAGTATTGAAGGTGCGGCACCGCTACCGACTGAGCCACGCGGGCAAAAGCGAGGCGGGCGCCCGATGGATCTACTTATCGATCTACCGCTGTACGCAGAGTAACATCAAGCGTTAGAACGGTAGAATGCATACTCTGCCCCCAAAAATCCCCCGTAAAATCTCCTGTCCCCCACCTTTAATGAAAAGCCACATTTTACTGTCGCTTGAGCTCGATTATCTCAATTTCTGTTAGAGATAACAAACATCTGTCAGCTGAAAACATAAATTCATAATATCACGAGGTGCCCTTCAATTAGAGTGTTCACAGCGTTGCTTTTTGATGATATTTCAGTTTAGGTAAGAAATTCTCTTTATCTATTTTATGTCCCCTTTTGCAAAATTTCAATTACCAAATAAATCATTCCTACTCACATTTAAAAAAAATTCAAAGGTCAACTTTCCTGTTTTCTTCCTCACAAAATTTCCTTCCCTTTTTTTTCAGTTCTAAAAATGTAATCCTTATTTGATAACAACAAAACAATCGTTGAAAACTGACCTTTCTATGACCACACCCTTTACATAAATTCATTTTGTCAATGTTATCTTTGTGTAACCATAGAGACAGACCGATACCAGCGAGACAAACAACTTTAAATTCAGTTCAGATAGACGAAATTGTGTTATTCCCTTTTCTCCGGTGCGTCTTAGACGAAGAAGAAGCTCGTATTTGGATTAGATTTCTGTGCCTCATTGTTTTTTCTTCTTTTTCTTTCTTTTTCGGAAAGAAATGACACTCGTCTCTCGCACGATAATCAATTCTTTCATCCCTATTTTTTGCGAAAAAAGAGACAGAAGTTTAGAAGCTTGTGAGCAAGTTAAAATGGACGCTATGCAGATTTCTTCCGCTTTTCTTTTGACATTCGCTCTTTTTCTTCTCTTTCGTCATGCTCTTTCAAGATTCTATCTATCACTTTGCTCCAAAAAACTATCGCGAAAGAAATATCTTCTCAGCAATTTTTTTGCTTTGCTCCGTTCTTGCTATCTTTAATATTTTCCTCATCCTCAAAAAACAACAACACCTGCTGTTCCCCCCTTGCGAAACCTCTTCCTTCAGTTTTCGGGTCATTATTACAATCGTTTGGAAGCATAACCGAGGATTTGGGGTTTCCTAGCTGTCATCTTTTATTTCCGGAAATGTGGCGTTGGGGAGAAGTGGAAAGACGTAAATGAGGTTTTTTGTAGTAGATGATTTAGTGGTTGGAGTGTGGGATGAGACGGCAAGGTTCTGTGTGAAGAAGAATACCCTATTCCCACGGGATGTCATGGAATCTCTGCAAAAAACTGGATAAAAGGGTTAGAGAGTAGTTCTGGAGGTAGTGCAGGTTCAACTTGTTTTCAATCTTTGGAAGTGCCAGGAGCTGTGAGGAATCCCATTTTGAGAATTCAATTCAAGTTTTTTAAATTTGGAAAATTTCAAAAGGAATCAACTTTCTTACTGTAAAACGTAATAGAAAACATCCTTAGTGATATCTTTAGATTGAATTAACATACAGTTCCTGAAGTACATAGATGAGAATATTACCAACACCTTTTTAAGGTAAATATGGTATTAGCAAATTTTTCAATGTTTTCAACTAAAAAAATTGTTTTTATGAAAATTGAAATATATTGTAGTTAGGATATTGGTCTCAGAGATACGCAAAATATGGGAAAAAGTTTACTTATCATGTGAGGAACCTCCTCATGTGAACTGTTTTTTGAACTTCGTTAGGATTTCCAGGATCATAAACCTCAGTTTAAATAATTGGACTCGAAACAGGACGGGCCGGAATTTTACCAAAAATTGCAAGCCTGTCGGCTTCAGGTTTACAGCAAATCTACATCTCTTTCAAAAAATTACAAAGTAAAACAAATAACAAAATTTCTCTTGCTATGCTTTTCCTTAGAAAGATATACATACTTTTCCCCAAAAAACATTCTCAGAGTTGATATTGCTCAGGGCGAAATTTTCCCTGATTGTGAGTCCAATGCTCTCTTTTAATTCCTTGGCAATGCTGCATTGTTTTTCATCTAAAAATGACGTTTTGCTTAGATGCAGAAATTCAAACTCACAGTACCAAAACTAACACTATAATCAGTTCATAGTTCACCCTGCTCTCTTCTTCCACAACCAATTTACTTCCCTATAGACAAAAAACTTGTCATGTATCTGTTTCTGCAAGAAAAAACCCTTTGATACATTCGTCTTCTTCAAACTCTATATGTTGTGTTTCTATTCGACCATAAAACACACTTCTCTCCGTACATTCTTGGATCCTTGGACTGTTTGCTCTTTCTCTCTACGTGTCTTGTTCATACGTTCTTCCTATCCAGCAGTAGTCAAACTTCCAAACACGAGGTTATCATCGATAAGTGTTTTCTGTGTTCAGGATTTTCGTTCTCGCTGTACAATATCATCATTTTTGCAGGGCAACACGACCAATACAAGTTATTTTAGCGGTAGGGAATTCCTCGCTGTTCTTTTTGATGAGTTGTTTGTTTCTGAAAACGCAGCAAAACCTGATAAGAAAGAAATTTGTGAGTATACGCAGTGGATGTGAATTTTGACCTGTCGTTTTCTTGTCTAGTGGTTTTAATTCGATGTATTGAAATTCGAGGAATCGAAAATTCAGAATACTTGAAAACATTTTAAAAGATGCTTATTTTGAATCCAAAATGTTTCGTTATTTTCAGATCACTTCCATATTCAAAAACTAATTTAAAAAAAAATTAAAACAAAATTTTTGAATTGTCATTTATAATTTTTTAATTCTGCTAATTACGTTTCTGTAATAGCCATAATTGTTCGCGAAAATTTTTTTGGGAGTTCCTGTTCCCGAAAATTTTCCCGAACTTTTTTTTGTTTTGAGAAATCGGGGTCCCGAAAAATTTTTCGAAAAATATTTTCGAGAAATTTCGTTCCCGAAGGTATTATTCGCGAATTTCCGGGAAAATCGGGAAAGATCAGAAGTTAGTTTTTCAGTGAATTTTGCCTGTTTCTCTCAATTTATGTTGAGATTTGTGGATTTCTTTGACTTTCTCTAAAGTGTCCAATGAATAAATTGCTGGGAAAACTATCCAAAAGGCAAAAAATAGTTGCAATTTTGAGAAATATAGAAAAACAATGACTGGAAAATTTCCAGTTTTTTCGGAATTTCGTAAAACTTTTTTCGGGAAATTTCATGTCGGGTAAAATTCAAAGAAAAAATAACTGGTACTGTACATGTATCAGAAAGATATAAACATACAAAATATCTTTGACATAACGATAACATGTTGTTAATAAATTATTTTGCTTGTATTCCTTCAAATTAAAGATAAATTAGGTTTAAAGTCTACGGTACATTTTTCGAGATTGTTGGTGTGTTCTTAATTTTTTGTTGAAGAATTTTTATGTGGTATTCAAAAAACATCACGTGAAAATGCATTATAATAATTGCTTCAAAACAAATACCATATTATAAGCTTCCAACACGAACAGGATTTTCTTGGTAAAGTATGTAATTTAAAGATAAACCAATGGAAACGAGAAAGAGAAGGGAAACCGATTAATCTAAGTCGGCGGTGGTCACATAAGGAGTGCGAGAAACTACACTCGAGACAACACACAGCCGCACGCGAGTGTCCAGTTCCAATAACTGCCGCCTTTTTCGTTTCATGCATTGGCCCTCCCGCGTCCTTTCTTCCTCGTCTCTTCGCCATCTTTTTCTCGACATTCTCTTCGCTTTGTATCATCTCTCCATTGATTCTCCCGCTTCTCTTCTCCAATATTTCCCTCACTCCGGGAAGGGCTTCCTCGGGGGTTTCTTGTTCAACCCCAGTACTCCCTCGCTCATCTGTTTTCCTTTCTCCGTTTCACTCATCGTGCCCGTTTTCTAGTCGCTTTCCATTTTTATTGACTACTCATTTTTCAAACTTTTTTGTCTGTGATGTCTCTTCTTCTCTCGCCTCCACTGATTTTGATTTTTTTTTTGTCTATCTCTTTTTCTCTTCTTTTTTCACGGCAGCAGATCATGAAGAACGCAAACCTGCATGATTCACCTGTACCGTTGACTCATGGAGGTAGAACTAATGTTTACGATATCCGAGCTGCTACTAGTTACGTCAACTTACTATTTTTGCATTTAATGACGTAGGTTGTCCATGAACTTGGGAGGCAGCACCACACAAAGAGCAAGAAACACGGCGGAAGCGCTTGCTCATTTTAGCACATTCTCGACTGCATTCTGTCCAAGTTGCTTTTCTTGAGTTGCAGTTTAAGTCTTACATTTTTTAAATGTGAATCATTTTTTGAAAAATTCAAAAAGTTTTAAAAAATCCTGCAAGTGATTGTACAGCAGTTTTTCATTTGTTTAAAATCAGAGCTATCCTAATTTTTCAAATCATAACAAACATTTTTGGGTCGATTTTCTTGGGTTTTCTGAACATACATAGTGTTCACACTCTAACGGAATGACTTCCCCAACTTTCAACATTGAGCCAATGTATCTCGGTTCCTGTGAAAGACAGAAAACATTTTCAAGTGCTAAATTATTCATCATAATATCACCAATATTTCATCAATTGACATATTGTTCATATCTCTATGAGGACCGAGATAATTGAGATCAAAAAGCACGTATAGAGTGGTCTTCCATTGGAGTGGTTACAGTAATTTTAAAGAGTTTTCTTTTTTTGAGGCATTCTCCACTATTTTCAAAAAATCATTTCCTATTCTTTTATGCGCCTTTTTGGCCAAAATTTTTTTTCTATTACTGACCCGAAACAAAAAAATCGCAAGTAAATTTTGTTGCCCCCATCTGAAACAGGTCCTGAAGGTTACTTGAGTGTTCAGTTTGGCAAAGACACACTGTACGCGGTCATCTATCTTTTTTTTTTTAAATCTTAAACTAATGACTGTATTTATCAAGGTCAGCAATATTTGAAGGTATCTGCAATCGAAAGTTGTTTTCCTTTTTATTTTGGAAATTTTTTCATCTGTCATAAGGCCTAATTATCAAAATCAATACCATTCCCGTTCCACGTCATTGTGTATCAATGCTCATTTTTATTTGCTCAGATTGTCCTTCCTCGAATGATGTGCGTTTTGTATTAAATTGGGAAGTTTCGATTGCCTTTTGGATCTCGCTTTCGTTTTTTCGTTCTCTCAAGAATAGTAAAAAAAAAGAAAAAAACTAATTATCCGTTTCTGTTTTTCAGAGTTAATGGTTCAAGAAGATGACGACACTTCGCGCATCTCAATGTCCCTCAACCCTTCATTGTCCAACCGCCCTAATACGTTGTCGGTAAACGGGAATAATGAGAAAGCCATACCCGAAGAAAACGTCCTGTAAGTTATTTTCAGGGGACACTTGAGATTCTATTTTCCTATTTTCAGACGATCACTATCCACTGGCACCTTAAAATATCCAGAGGACGAACACTTTTACACGTTTAACTCTGCTCATTTACAAGATTTGGGGGCGATTGGAAATGGAAATTTTGGGACAGTATACAAAATGAGACATCGTGAAACTGGAAAATTGTTAGCTGTAAAAGTGAGTTGCCAGGATGAATAGATCAATGAATTTCATAATTTTACAGAGGATACGATGTAACAACATAGACCAGCGCGAACAAATCCGCTTACTACGAGAGCATGACACAATTGTGAAATCCGAGAAAGGCCCGAATATAGTAAAGTTCTACGGAGCAATTTTCAGTGAAGGAGACTGCTGGATCTGCATGGAGTTGATGGATATATCGATGGATCTGCTTTATCGGAGAGTGTACAACGTAAAAGGAAGCAGGCTGAATGAAAATGTAATTGGGCATATTACCGTTTGCGTGAGTTTCATTATTTTCAGGAAACTTCCAGAATTAAAATTTTTTAGACCGTCGATGCCCTTGATTACCTAAAAAAAGAGCTTAAAATCATTCATCGTGATGTGAAACCATCAAATATCCTAGTCGATGGTCATGGATCTGTGAAACTTTGTGACTTCGGAATCTGTGGAGAGCTTGAGGATTCTGTAGTAAAGACTCATGATGCTGGGTGCCAGCCGTATCTAGCGGTGAGCAAATTTTCAAAAATTTTTATTTTGAAAATTCACGGTTTCAGCCAGAACGAATAACAAGCTCGGACAAGTATGACGTGAGGTCGGACGTCTGGTCATTGGGAATCACTTTGGTAAGTACAGTACTAACACAGAAACGCGTCTTTCGGTTGATTGGAGCTTGGCCCTCAAGTTTCCGATCCCTTTCAATTACTTCGAGAGTGTAAAACAGACGACATAGATTAAAAACTTAACATACACAGGATTTTTTGAAAATCCTACTAGCTATCGGACCATTTTTGAAAGACACCTGCTTTTGATGTTTTCCGTACAAGACAAAAAAAAAGTAGGGGTGTCCTTTAGAAATTGGCGAACAGTTAAAAAACTAGGAATTTCCAAAAAAAAATTTGTAAATGCGAAACTTTTGATTTATAGCTGCTTTACACTCCCCAAGATTTTCAAAGTGTTCGAAATCTTGATAATTTACCGGTACTCTATATTAAGTACTCTAGATTGAGATGAAATTTTCAAATTTTTCAGTATGAAATTGCTACTGGTCGGTTTCCATATCCCCAATGGAATTCAGTGTTCGAGCAGATTGCAGCGGTAATTTTCCTCCTTAAATTTTGATTTATTCACTATTCTTCTTATTCAGGTCGTCAGTGGCGATCCGCCAATGTTGAGCCCGGATACTGGAGATTTCAGCTACAGTCTGCCCCTGATTAAATTTATCAATACATGGTGAAAATCCTAATTCTTGTGAATTCATTTTTGTTTTAATTTTCAGTTTGATGAAAGACAGGCGGCATCGACCAAAGTATGACACGCTGAAAAACTTTGACTTCTACAGAATGTGAGTGGAATTTCAATTCTATTAAAAAAATTTTTTTTTTGAAAATGCTTCCTGGTATTGCTTATTAAGCTTCAAAAAAATTTCGAAGTGAATCAAAATAAAAATTTTCCAGATACGCCCGAGGAGGACCTGAAATCGAGGAAGCCAAAGAAATTCTGGGCGTCGAAGCGATCGATGCTCGTGAACATCCCATAGACATTGTGGGATAGCAGTTTCCCCACCAAATTCATCCCTTTATCATGTCTCTATGTAGAATATTTTGCATATTTTCGAACTTCAATTTTTCCGCAACAGCTCAAAACTTTCCTTCTTGTTTGTTTCAAAATCTGTTCATATTGTTTTAATCTCTCTTTTCTGCAGCTTACTCAATTTTTCCTCTCATGGCAGTCCGTCCTCGTTTATCGTAATTTCTTAGTTAGTTACCTAGAATTCCTTCAAATTTTGTTCCGTTTCTGACGCATCGATACCGTCACACCATTTTTCTCGTCCCTCTCTCCTCTCTCTCTCTCTCTCTCTCTCTCTCTCTCTCTCTCTCTCTCTCTCTCTCTCTCTCTTCCCTCCGATTGTGCTAGCTTCCCTCTTCTGATCTCACACACTTTTGTTCTTCTAATCACTGTGCTGCTAAACGTTTTTTTCTGATAATGAATTTGTATGTTGTATGATTTGGTGGGTCTGATTTATTGTTCGAAAGGAAGGACAACAAACATCACAAGAAAAATTTGCTTTCTGAAAAAAAGAAACATTTTTTTTAACATCTAGAGCTAGAGCCCAGGTGCACCAGATTTCTAACTGCAATCTGAACTTTTGGACTCTTCAAAAGGATCAAAAAACCATAGAGTGCCGATTTTTCAGTTGATTTCCATCATTTTTAAAAGTCTAGAACTCGTTTTTCAAGGTTTGGATCACTTTGAAAACTTTGGATTGTGTAAAACAGACCCAGATTGGAAACTTAGCATTTACAGAATTTAGTGGAAATTCCCAGTTTTCCAGCTGACAGATACGGTTGTTACCTGTTTTTACTAAAAATGTTAAAGAATAAAGTGTCTTCCAGAAAACTGCAAATAACTAAAAAACTAGGGAATTTTCAAAAAGTTTTGTGAATGCATATTTCTAATCTAGGTATGTTTTACGCTCTGAAAAATTCTCACAGAAAAAAATTGACAGCCATGCTTCAGTGTTCGGAAATGGTCAAAATCAACTGAAAAACGCGTTTTTGAAAAAAATACGAAAACCATGTAAAAAATGCGAAAACCACAGAATTGAAAACGCTTATTTTTCGCTATTTTCATTCTCCATGAATGTTTGTATTTGGAAATTAGATGATGACTGGCATACTTGAATCCGGGCCTTTCTCGGGCCTTTGCGGGACTACAAAATAACATTATTTGAAAAATTGTATTTTGTTTGCGAACAAAGTTACAGGCAAAAAGGGCAAAAAAAGCAGGGCCGGCCCGGCCCGGCTCGGCGCGTCCGAATAAAGTCACTTTATGGCCTGTAACTTTGTTGGATATGATAGAACTCGACGAGTACTACAAAATGATATTTAGCGAAAAACTGTAACTTGTCTGCGAACAAAGTTACATGCCATAAAGTGACTTTATTCGGACGCGCCGAGCCGGGCCGGGCCGGCCCTGCTTTTTTTGCCCTTTTTGCCTGTAACTTTGTTCGCAAACAAAATACAATTTTTCAAATAATGTTATTTTGTAGTCCCGCAAAGGCCCGAGAAAGGCCCGGATTCAAGTATGCCAGTCATCATCTAATTTCCAAATACAAACATTCATGGAGAATGAAAATAGCGAAAAATAAGCGTTTTCAATTCTGTGGTTTTCGCATTTTTTACATGGTTTTCGCATTTTTTTCAAAAACGCGTTTTTCAGTTGATTTTGACCATTTCCGAACACTGAAGCATGGCTGTCAATTTTTTTCTGTGAGAATTTTTCAGAGCGTAAAACATACCTAGATTAAAAATATGCATTCACAAAACTTTTTGAAAATTCCCTAGTTTTTTAGTTATTTGCAGTTTTCTGGAAGATCCGGGCCGGGCCGGCCCTGCTTTTTTTGCCATTTTTTGCCTGTAACTTTGTTGAAAGGCCCGGGAAAGGCCCGGATTACAAGTATGATGACTGCAATTTCCGTTAGTACATGACAACGCATAATTTCTGACACTTGTTGATTTTCATTGCGAAAATTACACATTGAGTTTCAATGTACTTTAAAAAAGAAAAAGCAAATTTTTGTAATCGAGCCGAATTTAGCAAAATGGCAAATTCTTCCCCTCTCATTGAAATGATAAATATTTTTCAATTCTAAAAACCTTTATGCTTTTTCAGACAGCGCTTATATTTTTTTCTTCTGAAGCAGTTCATTATTCTTGATCCTTCCGTTTTTTCTATGTTTTATTGAAACACAGAAACACATAATATTCACAAGAAGAATAGTGAAAATTTCTGGTTTGATTATGCAATTGAATTTAAAATATGATTATCAAAATATCTTCAAGAATTCAAGATGCTGTCGCGGAGAGTGTTCGAAATGCACCATCCTTTGTTACGATCCTCGACTCGATTAATGCAAATTTCATCCCAAGCGCATCCAGACTGGAAAAAACACGTATGTGAAAAATAAACTCTGACTTTGCATATGTAAAACACATATTTTTTCGTTCGTCCTTTTTGTTTTCGTTCCTCAGAAAACATGTTGTTTTTTTAAAGTAAAGTTCCTCTGACAAAACGACATTCTAAACCAAATTCACTCAAAAAATACGAGGCGTGTCCTTGAAGATGTCCTTTTTTATCTATATTTCCTGTTTGTCAGTTCAAACAACCAAATTCCTTTGCTGACCTTTATCTCATCCGGGTTGCAGCTCACAATTCTCATAAACTCGGTTTCCGAGTGTGACATTTGCTCAAAATGTGGACTTGCTAACGGATGTCCGTGGGGTGTGAGCGTTCGGACATCGGTTCCATGATTAACATCACGAGCTGGAAAATTATTTTCAAAATTTTTCAGAAAGTTTGTTTATGGTGCACCTAGTCATTATGTTTTCTTTCTCACAATAATTTTTCATTCTACGAAACGTATTTTTGGCTTCTCATGATTTCACCCTTCATGTTTGTCCAGGTTCCACTCTCAGAACATCCTCTAGAAAAAAGAAGTTTCTTTCATAGAAAATCAGCAGATATTGTCTCCTTGCTCTTGCTGTTCCACTGATTCATTACTTGATAAGGTTTCACAGCTTGATATCTATATAAAGGTCTAGTACATCATTAACTATTTCAGTTCTCCATGTTTTGCTCCGAGAAGAGTAACCGGGACTGTCCAAAAATTTTTTGGGCTATTTTGGAAATCGAAAATAGTTGATTGATTTTAGAATTTCGGAATTTTCCGATTTTCGGGCTCCCGACATTTGGGAAATTTTCGATTTCAAATTTCGGAATTTCGGATAATCATGAGTTTCAAAACTTCGGAATCTTTGGAATCTCGAAAAACACGATTTTGAAAACTTCGGAACACAAATGTTTTAAGTTTCAAATTTCTGAGTTTTGTAATGTCAAAAATACCGATTTCGAACATCTCGGAATTTCGGAATATAAAAAAAAATGAATCAGAAGTTTCGGAATGTCGGGAAATTCCGATTTTCAAAACTTCGTAATTTCTGAACATTCTATTTTATAAGCTTCAGAATATTCCAATTTTATATTTTCGGAATTTCGGAATAATCGAAATTTTTAAAATCTCGGAATTTTGGAATATTCGAATTTTGTTTTTCAGAAAATCGAAGATAATTTCAGAAAATCGAAAAATTTTCGAATCTTCCGATTTTTGATAATTTTTGATTAGAAGTCCTCAAATGTTGAATTTCGACTTACAAACCTTTGGAATTTCGGAATATTCCGATTTTGAATCTTTCGGAGTGTTTGAATTTTCAAATTTTCAAATGTTTCGGAGTTTTGAGTATTCCGACTTTTTGATATTTCTGTTTTTTTGATATTTCCGTTTTCCGAATTTCAAAAAATTGGAATTTTGGATTATTGAAATTTTCGGATTTTCAAAATCTCGGAATAATACTATTTCTCCATTTCCAGCATCCCTAAGCATAACTCACAACTCATTTTGTCCGTTTTGAACTCAAACAGCTCCCGTGACTCAAAGTCATAATCCCCGGTGTAGAGACGTGGAATGATTTGTACCGAGTACCGTACCCCTTCTTGCAAATTCTTGAGCAACACCGTAGTCTTAAAAGTACAATTCGTTATAGGTTTTTTTTTGTAGTTTGAAAAGAGGAACCTACATTTTTCGAGTCTTCAATTTCGATTTTCTGCCACTGCTCCGGTGTCAAATCCTTGCGGTTTGTGTACAAAATAGTAGCACCTAAAAAGAAAGAGGAAATTCGAGGAAAGCCAAAAAATACTGGAAAAGAAGCAGCACATGTATATCCATCAAATCATTGGCGTAAAGCCTGTTGTCGTTGTCGTCAGAAAAAAACGTGTAATGGGAAGTAGGATTTGTGTTTTGCGTGTATGTTTTCTAGAGAAGGAAGGTCCTCTCATTGGCTCCTTTTTTCTCAGTATTCATTGACTCGGTGGTAATATATATATACACACACATCGGCTTCGTATGTTCATTTCTTACCAATGACGCTGTCCAGTATACTCTTCGGGAATGTCCAACGAATTTCCACTTCTCCTGGTGCAACATTACGGTATGCCAGCGAGTTCCCCTCGAATTCCTCCTCATCGGTATTGTCTGCATTTCGGGTAAGTTAAAAAGTCAAGTAATTTGTTTTTATTAATTGTGATTCCATTTCAAAACCGGGTAAAAAACTTCAGAGGTAGACCGCGCAAACAAAATAATCCGTTAAATGTAAAATTTCACACAAAAACTGGGTTAGTCATCAAATGGGTTGAACTCGGCATTCGGGTTAGTGTTCGACCAGTCTGAAAAAGTGAAAAAATTGAAGAACTACAAAATCAAAACTCTACGAAATTATCTTTTTTGTTAATTAGTAAAAAAAATCTGGAGTATTTTCTGGAGCTTTCTGAAGTGGGAACACACTCAGTCTAGTGGCTCGTCATTCGTTTCTTCTCTCTCCAAATTCAATTTTTGATCAAATCTTAAACTATTTCTTCCGCTTAGGGAGTTTTTTGTTCCATCTTCTCACTTTTTCTGTATCACTCAATTCTCAATTTTTTGCACAAAATCCACCCCATGAAAACAAATTCAGTTTTAGATTTTATCCAAGATGAATCATAGTTCCTTAGATCTTTGTCATCTTCATCTTCATCAATATCTTTTTTTTTTTCACACACACACGCATACCAACCCCAAAAAAATCTAATTTGATATTTAGTTCACACATCCATTTCTCGCCTTACCAATTGTCTTGAATCTATAAACTGATGGGGCGCGAATCACCGAGCCGTCCGTATTACGCACATTCACTCGGACAAAATACACTGTGGAGCTTTTGAGGTCTTCCAGTGAGAGGTGCGATTCTTTGTTGTTCAAACGGACCAATTTCCATTGTGAATCCGGTAAATCCTGCAAAAAATGTTATTGCTAAATTTCTAATGCATTCCATTTTATCTGAAATTTGATTTCTAGTTTTTTTTTCTATTTTCGAAAAAAATACTGTCAAATAGAAACCACATCAGAAATGTGTTTAATGATAAATTATTGGTGATATTGTGTTAATTAATTTATCAGTTGACAAATTTTCGCTATCTTTCACAAAAACCAAGATAATTGAGTTTAAGGTAGAGCGTTAAAATGCCCAACGGATCATAGTATTCGCTCTAAAAGCCTACCCAAACCGTTAATTTCGAACTAAATTATCTCGATTCCTATGAGAGATATGAAAACTTTATCAACTGACAAAATATTGGTGATATTGTATGAATAAATTATGAATAAATTATCAGTTGACGATTTGTCGATATTTTTCAAAGGAATGGATATAATTGAGCGCAAAGTTGATAGTTCTGAGCAAATACTGTATAATTACTCTTTTGAAATGGTCTTCCAAGCTATTCTGGATTTTCAGATTGTGCTTCGGTCACAATTTTTGATGTTTTTCGAATAAAAGTCAGAAAACGTTCACTCAGCTAAGCCTATTTTTGATCCGGATTAGAAATTTTGACAGAAAGCTTGTAAGCTACACTCTCTTATTTTTTCAAAAAACTTTCAATCGTCGACTCATCACTTCTGAATGAAAGAAAAAAAACACGACGAGTCAACTTTTTCTCTAGTGAAGAAGCCATCGGAAAAGCAAAAATTAATTTTTTGCTTGTGTTTTTTTTCTCTTCTATTTCATTGCCTCCTCGATCTCATCAATCTAAAATTGTTGTCTCTTTCTTTTTCTGAAAAACTTTTTTTTGTTCCTTCATTCGAATTTTTCCAGCATTTTTATCTTTTCTTCTGTTCCTAACTCCTTTTTGTTTTTTTTTCGGTTTTTCTCGTTTTTTTTCTAAATTACCATGTAGGCTAATCAATGTTTTTGGATGGAAGATGAGCATTTCCGAAAAGCTGTTTGATTTTCTAGACACAACTTCCTTTCTTCCGAATTTTTAGATTCTTTTTTTTTTGAAGATCAGTTCCTGAGTCTTTACTAGTCACCGATTAGCAAGTATCCGTCAATCTGGGCGCGAAAGAAAAAAAATTAAAAAGGATTTCTAATGTCTAATACATCGTGTTCACTTGGAGACTAGCAACATCAATATTCAAAGAGTTCTCTTTTTAACTTGTTGCTCCATTTCGCCTACTCTTCATCAACCATTCTAACGGCTGTTCCCCTTCTGTACTTTGCATAATAGTGTAGCGATTTGCATATAAATTGAACGCCTCACCTTATCCTGACTCAAATACACATCATAGCCCGCCACGTTTTCCGGTCGGATGTGTGGTTCGAGCATCCATTGCAATTTGACTGAGTTCACATCGTGAGAGTAGATAACGTCTACCTTGTGGATTGGATTTGTTTCCACTGCAATTATGAATAAAAGTATGTTGTGTTTGAGTGGATTGGAAATGTTTTGTTGCTAGGGAAACACACCAATCGAGTTCATGTCAAGTAAAATCGGCTCCTAATTTGATTTTATGAAAATTTTTGAATTAATTTTCACGCTTCGGTTGAGGATTCTTTATTTATCGTAATTTTGTATATGAGAACTTCAAGATTTTAAATTTGGGCGCACTGTTGGAGGTGGCATGTTGCTACTACCAGTTATGCTAGGCTAGCGGAACGTGCGTGAAAACTTATTTTTCTCTTGATTTTCAGACATTTTAATCATCTTGGTGAGTCTGCAGCTCGGTTGTCCAGTTTCCGGACAGTTTGAAAATTTTGGAAGGTTTAAAACAAACCTAGATTGGAAACTGTGCATTCAACATTTTTTTTTCGAAAACTCTTAGTTTTGTAGCTGATTGCTGATTCTTGAAAAATATCAAAAACAGGCCAAAAAGGGTTCTTTCAAAAATCGGCGAATAACTGAGAAACTAGGGATTATCCGAAAATTCTGTGACTCCAACGTTGTCCATCTAGGTTTGTTTTATACTTTCCAAAGTTTTCAAAATGATCGGAAGCTTGACAGCCGAGAACCAAGCTCCTGAAAATGGTCAAAATGACCGGAAATAAACTGAAAAATACGTTTTTCCATATCTCATTGATCGGTTAAAAAAACAACTTTCCGGTTTCCTCTCGAGAAGTAGAAACTTCTAAAAAAAAGAAGACACTGTAATACGCTACGCGGTCGCAACGACAAAACATGCATACTCCAAATGTTCTCTTGTCCGCCCTGCTCCTTTCGAAAGTGCTCTATGAGTTTCTTTGAAGCCCATTAGCAAAAAATACCTATTTATCTTATTTCCCTTTCTCTAAATCACAAAAAATGAGTACACGCAAAAGTTCACTTCGGCGCCCAATCCTCGCTCTCGAAGCGTCGCTCCAAATCCTTTCCGTCGTTCGCCGGCCCCCAGATGTTTTGGCCTTCCCGAACTAAAAAACCCCGGGAAAAAAAGAAAAGGGCAATATGTGTTGACAGCTAAATACTTCGCATTTTCACATAGGAACTGGTGGAAAATGCAGATTTCGTTCCTTTGACTCTATTTTTGCGCGCGTTCGTGGCATTTCTTTTTTTTGTTTTACTTGTTTTTTTTTTTGGAACTGGAAGTTTTTTTTTCCCCTCACCTCGTGGTGTTCGGAATCTGAATTGTCCGCTTTCAGTGACAATGTTGTTGACAAGCGCTGTTTTGATTCGTAGCAGATATTCGGTGTTGCTGGAATATTTTATTAGATTTTTAGTATACTTCCATTTTGTATTCTTTTGTGTTGCTCTTTTTTCAAATTTTTTTCTGGAATAGGGAAGGAATCAATTGGAGATTTCAAAAGCCAGAAAACATTTTTTTAATTAAAGAAATGGATCGGTATGAGATATAAGACCCAAAACGGGGAACAAAGGTTCTTTCTCATCCCGGAAGAGATAAGAAAAATAGCAATTTTCACTTTTTTTGTTCCTCTTCCACCCATTGTTTGTGCACATCTTTTTTTCTCGGAAAATGGGTACGCCGAGTTATTTGGTCCACCATCGTAAAAGTGCTAATAAGATTGTGGAACCTTCTATTCTTTTTCTGGAAATAACCCGAACCTTTTCAAATGGTGCAAAGCCGCAGACGATGATGCACCGTGGAATTGAATCTTCTGCCAGTATCGGTTGTTGCCTGTCTCGGCGTACTCGACGTTGTAGGCTGAACGAGAAAACAAAATATTAGGATGGGAGCAGAGGTGTCGTAGGAGATATATACACGAAAACCTTCATGTCGGATAATATATATTTTTAATTCTGTGACTCACAAGCAATCCTGTTTGCCATTGTTGGCGGAACTTCCCAAGTCAAATTCACGATTCCTTGAGTTGGAGTACGGAAGTGAGAGCTGATGATGAGATTTCCAATTTCAAAGTAGTCGTCTTCTGTAATTTTTTGATTTTTTCCATCGAGTATTTTACGATGTAGTACATAGAATTTTTCTTCATGTTGAAGCCCAAACATCTCATTTTCTGACAAAAATATCAAAACTAGGTCAACATGCAAAATTGTAATTATAACCTCAATAATATTTTGTTAGTTGACTGAACTTTTTGATATCTTTCAAAGGAATCGAGATAAATTGGCTCAATGTTGAAAGTAATATAGTCCATTCTATTAGAACGTTCACGGTAATCAACATCGAGTACTGTAACACACCGATAATCCAAATTTTTAGAATCCTTTGAGCTTTTGGTTTTCGGATTCACAGGCAAACTCTCATTCCAGTATTTTTGACAATTTTTGATGTTTAGAATTCAATTGGATTATTCAGCAGAGGTACAGTAGAATTATTTTTCTATTTTTAGAAATTATTAAAACGCATTCTCCTTTTCCACACTCCCATTCTCAGATTAGCCACCCTCCTTGCCACAAAAAAGTTTTCGGTACTCTTTGAGCATCAGCATCGAACAACATATTTTCACGCTTCCTCTATCCCTGAATTCTCGGAACGTCTTCTCAAGTCAACAGTCAAGTACGACACGTTGAAGGAAGCGAACAGATATAAACATAGACGAATTCCTAATCTGTCCACTAAATCTTGTGTGCGTGTTCCGGTTGATCCGAAGTGAGCAGTTTGTCATGTGCAGTTTTATTTTCCAAAAAATGAATTTCCTCACCTCTAGGCATAGTGATTTCCACAATTGACGCCGTTCCAGATACCGTATCTTGGCTGGTAGCACTTCTGATAGTCATTTCGTATTTTTCACCGGCAATCATTTTTCCCAATGTGAAGCTTGTAGCGGCGGTTTTTATCTGAAAAGTTGATTAGTGGAAGTTTCAGAGTTTACAGATTCTTTGAAATTTCCGAATTTTCGGAAATTTAGGAATTTTGAATAAATTTTTCGGATTTATTCGGATTCTCAAAATTTGAGGATCTTCTGAATTTTTAAAACATTTCAGATTAAAAGGAATTTCTTTGGTTTTTCAGATTTTCTTAATTGTTTTTCAGAATTTTCGGAAATTTCGGAATTTCGGAATATTTTTGTGTTTCTCGTTTTTCATTTCATTTTCTGAAGTCAAGACAATTATTGGATTTTTTATTGGGTTTATTGGATATGTCGGAAATCTAGGATCTTTCGAAAATTGTGTATTTTGCAAGATTGTTGAAATGTTTGTGATTTTAAAATTTTGTAGTATTTGGATTTTCGGTTTTTTGAAGATTTTTAGACTTTTTAAATTAAAAAGACTTTAGGAATTTTCGAAACTTTTGGATTTTTCGAAATATATTGATACGTTTGGAATTTCAAAAATTTTCGGCATTTTCGGTATTTCTGGAATTCCCTACCTGTTGATTTTGCAGCGTACTTCCTGATGCGGTAGTTAATTGCTTCACATTCACCAAGTAGTAGATATCTGAAAAAGTACATTTCTGTTCCAAATTCGTTCATTGCGTTCCTTTCGCAAATCTATTTTTTTTTCAAAAAAAACTTTTAGAAATGTATTTTCCATACATTTTGTTTTCTTTCCCACTACACTTTTAGTTTTATTTCTAGAATTCAATTCTTGCGAGATCAAGGATTAGCCCTAGTGTTCCTTCCCCTTCATTTAAGTTTTTCTTCTTTTTCTGAAATTGCAGAGCAAACACTTTTTTCACATAATGAAGCCTAAAGTCATCTCAATATCGTCACTCCGAGTCGTTTTCTCCCCTTTTCAATGCCCAATTATGCGGGGTAGTGCATCTCTAATATCACTCGAAGCATTATCCTTTTTTCTTTCGTCCGTCCCATCCGTCCCACTTTCTTTCATGTGCCATTACTCGTTTTTTTTGCCGCATTTAGTTTTTCTGCTTCGTGAATTATTCAAATACCATCTATCATTCCCGCCAACCTTGCTCTTTTTCTATCCGTTCTATTTTGCAAGGTTTCAGTTCGCTTACTAGAAGAGGTAAGAATGAAATCCTTTCAACGTAATGATTGCTATTCTTAGAATTCCTTTTAGACCACTACTGTAGGCAGAACGAAAACACCGAAAAACTTTTTTCGCTCTGATTTTTAATCAAATCACAAGATTTCAAGATTTTAATCAAACCCAATAACTTTTATAGCTTTTTGTCTAGAACTCGCTGATTGCTTTCCCCAGACAGTCTCCAAAACACAAATCCGATCAAGACTAGACCCATAAAACAGCTTCTTACCCTACCTATCCTTCGCGCTCCGCCCCTTTTTCCATATACTCTTGGCTCCGCCCATTTCTCAACTTTTTATGAGTTTCTAGCCCTCCTATATAAGATCGCTAGCTGGGACCAACTTTTCGGAACACTCCCATCTGCAAAGATGTCATTTTTGTTCCCCTAGATTTTGTTTGTTGTGTGTTCGCTCTCTGAAAACAGGTAATGTGAGATGTGGTGATCCTAACCCATCAAAAATTCCTTTCCACTTTCAATTTTTCATCTATTTCCTTCTTCTGTTTTTTTCCTAGCTCGTTTTCTGGAGCACTTGGACGTCGCTTCCTTTTTTTTTGCCTGGCTATGTCATTCGACATTCAGACGACACAGTTTTCTTGGAAAAAATCTCTACCCCCTTTTTTTGATTGGACAGATGTGCATTTTTTAGATCTACAGCGCCCATTTCAAGTATTTTTTCTAGTGGGCGACGGGAGAGCGGAACCATTTCATAGCCTTCTCGGACTAATGGAATTCCAAATTTCCGGATTTCTAAATTTTTTGACCTTCTTGATTTTCATTTCAAAGAAAACCCAGTTCTCACTACTTAGCTGCTGGAAAAGTGCTGATAATGTTCTTCCGGAATCAAATTTAGATTTGATTCTCTTCCCCACTCCCCCACATGCCCTACCTTGTCTTCCCGGCATCGCTGGCTGCCAGCTCAGTTGTACCGTAGTCGGATTCATGATGTTAGCGGTGAAGTGAAGTGGTGGCACAAGTGCTCCTGAAGCATGTACTAGCGGTGCCGCCTGAGGTGGAGCGTGAGCATGTTGAGGATGTTGAGGAGCTGTGTGTTGGTGGTGTTGGTGAGCGTGGTGTTGATTAGCGTGCTGATTAGCATGCTGATTGGGCTGAGGAGCCGCTGGTGCTGCCGGAGCTGCCGGAGCTGGTTGAGCAGCTGGTGCTGCTGGTGCAGCCAGAGCAACAGGTCGGAACGGAGCAGACCGAACGCTCTGAAATGCGAGATGAGAATTTTTGGAAGATTTTGGACCCGAATTCGCGAGATACTGTATGTCTTATGATATAAAGTTACCTCTAAACTTGTACTTTGTTCTCAAATATCTCGATTTCTATCAGAACGGATTCTTTTCTTTGTTATTTTCCAGCTGAATTTTGAAGCATTATTTTGATTTTTAGAAATCCTAGCACCTTTTCTTTTCCAAAACTATTTTTAGAACATTCCTCTTCGCTCCACTCTACAATTAGAGCTTCAAATTTTCTGTGTATCCTTTACGTCAGTCTTTTGATTCTAACCAAATTCCTAAAAAAGTGTCCTCTGCCCCTATTCAACCGTTAATTCCAAAAAAAAACCCCTAGTTCTGTATTGCTCTATTCATTAGCTACTCAGTTCACGTGTACGTCTTCATATTCGTTTCTTATTCAATTTTTTTTTTGCTCTGCTCTAAAATTCTACGTTCCATTTTTTTCCATTCTTGCTTTTTGTTTATCGCAAAACTCTTGTTTTTTGGTTGAGCCGTTTGGAAAATAAACGGGGTTTTATCTTGGAAAAGATACTGTAAATGAAAATGTTGGGCTTTCAAAATTTGTATTATACGATTTCCTTGTTTTTTGGTTTTGGAAAAAACACCACAATATTGGTCTGGTGGATTTCAGAAATACCTTTCTTTCGATTCTTAGCGTCTCTCTTCCCATTTTTTTTCCTTCTAGACCTATTTTTTCCTTAATGGGAAATCTGTTTTCCTACATATTTAGTGGTGCTGACGGCACTCCAAATTTTCGAATCGAAAATCTCCAGGAAAAAAATCGGAACGCATTTTGAAGTCAATTTTCTTCACACTTCTCCGGAATATGATCTTTTTTCTTTAAAAGCGGGAAGTGAACATCCTGTTGACGCTTATTTTTCTCGCAAGGAAGTTAAAGTCTAGGAGCCCCCAAAAAGAGCAAGGAGGAAGCAAGTTGGCCTGTGTTTACGTAGATCAGTTTTTGAATTTTAAATTAGGTAGAAACATGTCGGACCACTTTTTATGGGTTCTTTGGCGTTAGGAAAAGTTTCAAGATTTTTTTCAAAACATTACTTATTCTTTTGTCCGCTCTGCCGTTCATATCTCATTCCGAAACACTCACAAACCTTTTTAGCCACGTTCACAACAATTTCCTTCGTCCAATTCTCTACGACTTGAGCTCCTCTCTCGGTTTTTATCTGAAATGTTCTCTCTAGATTTGTATTTTTTCTTCATTTCCTGGTACCTGAATGTGAACAGCATCTCCATCAGCATACGTGCCTAATGGGATGCGCACATTGGATTCGCCTGTTTTGATGTACTTCCAGGCCACCTGATCCGATCCCGTCTTGTGACGAATCGTGTACATGGTATCTGGAAGTCATTATATTTGTTCACTTTTTCTCTAAAAATGCTGAATTGTTCTGCTCTTATCAGTTTGCAAAACGAGTTTTTTCGCTGACAAAGAGTTTATCAATGTTCTCAAAAAATTTTAAAAGTTTTGAAAAATCAATTTTCTGAAGGGATTGCTAACGAACTGCGATTGCTAATGAACTGAATACTAATACTACAAACGGATTACAATAGTTGTCTGTCATGGTCTAGCAAAGGCACTAGTTCAAAAACCGAATAATTGAAAACGCTGAATCATTCGAAAATGAACGAGAAAATTGATGAATGCAGATTCTTAATCATAATTTTTTTCGAAATGTTTTTCTCTATCTACAGTATACCCTTACTTTGCGGTTGAGGTCCAGATTGCCATTCTACATAGATGATATCGAGATCCGCCACAATTCTAGCTCTGGGATCCTTGACTATCGGTACCGGTAGGGCTACCGTAGTCTCCAAAAGCAACAATAGAAAAATTAGAAGCTTCATGGAAAGAACTGGAGAGCAACACTCGGAGAAGAAGTAGTAATGTGAAAGTGCGAATGACAAGGGCAAACACTCACACACAACGAGCCGCCCCTGGTCAACGCGTTATCTCAAATTGATACATTGCAATACGCAACTGGCCATTCGAAAATGTAATATCTGCGAGTTTCGGTGAAGGATAGGTTGTCACTCACGGATTACAGCGAGAGAAGGGCACATTTCAAACTTTCGAAATGAAATAGAGTTGTACTTGAAGAGAAACATCGGGTTCAATCTGTAGTGTTCGCTTATCAATTCGACTTCAGAGTTACACAATCACATTGCCCTTTGCGTCTTCTTCGTGGGGGTCCAAAGTTGAGGAAAGATCATAAATCTTGCGAGTCATAAAATCGGGTCGCTGGGGATTTTCCGGGTGGCGGGCACATTATTTTTAAGTGGTCCATGGAGTTTTGAGTTATAAAAAAAGCTGGGAAAAAGGTGGATGGGTGTCTCGCAGTCATTCGCACACTGTTCGGAGCATCGAGAGCTCAGCTCCAATAGACAATTTGTTTTGTTCGGTTTTAATTTTCCTGGGATGACAGTAAGTGTTGGAATGTCTTGGGTGTATCGAAGTGATTTAAAAGGAAAAAGAGTTTAACCACGTAGCTCAGCTGGTAGCTCTTAAATTAAACTCACAAGTGCAATTATTCACGGAAATTAGAACCACAAGGAAGTTCTTCTAAGCATCCCACTGTTAAAGGTGGTTGTTTTTCTGTTTTTACAGTTAATCGAATGCATTATCCGTCGGTTAATAATCTGGATTAATTTTTGAAAAAACTATCAAAGGGTTGTTCTTCATCTTCGTATACTTTTTTTTCGGTTCCTCTCTCAATATTAAAAGTTCTTCACTGCTCAACAAAATTAAGAACACCCAAGCGCACAGAAAAACAAAAAGTGCAGCCTGTCACAGTAAACTTTTTCTGCCGTCTGTTTGTCTTCGGCTTTAATTTATCTTCCTCCTTCACTAGACATTCCCTTCCTCTATTCGAGTTCTCCGGAAAACATTCTAATTTCGGGGTTTGATCATTGACACGGGCGTCTCAAGTATTCCTAGTAAGAATTATTTTTCTTAGTTCTTTTGAAATTGGAACTAAACAAAGGATCCCTGCCAAACTATTTATTTTTTTTGAAGAGCACCCAAAAATGTATAAAAATACTTCCCTAATTTCCTGCTAAACCTATTTTCCAAAGAACAAGTAAAAATATAGCGTCATTTATTGTTTTATTTTTTTTTATATAAAAAGTTAATTTTTTAGATTTTAGAGTATCTGTAAACTTATATTTTTTGAATTTCTCATTAAGAATGGCTTACAGAAAGCTGTTTCAATATCAAAAATTGCGTTCTAATTGCTTGTTGCTCATTAGTCAAGTACTGAACTTGAGCCTTCACAAGGAAGCCGGATTCTCTCAAATTTCATTTATTAGAAAATTTGATCATCTGCAAAAGCATAGTACTATAGCGGAAATTGAAAAAAAAACTTTCGAATACTCGCTTTGTCATATTTTTCCCTTTAAGTTCATATCTTTTTTTCGCATTTGTCAGATTCCTAGAGCTGGTATTTCACTCTCCCAGATTTCAAATTCGCGCCAAAAACAATACTTAAGAATTTTTACCGTATGAATTAAAAATGAGTAATCTCCTGATTTCCCGCCTCGGCACCAATCACAGCATCTTATTTTCTTACCTATATAACTCTTAGCGGTGGCTAGGAAGAAAAATAAGAAAACAACAAAATTGTAGTCCCCTCTCTCTCTCGGAAGGAAGTTAGTTTTGTGTTAACTGGCACCATAACTCATTTGATATCATTTATGATATTATACCTACCAGCTCTTTTTTTCGCGTTTTCTCATTTCCGGACAGTCATCGCTTGAATACCTCATCTTCTCACATTATTTACGTTTTCTTGAATACCTCATATAGACTAGTATAGTGGAATTTTATTACTGTATACAACTAAACTAAATATTTCAAAAGTACTGTATTCTAGAGGATGAACAATTCCGGCGAGGCGTTTGTCATGGTGCATTCCACGTCGGAAATTATCGAAATGTTCTATCAACTTGCTTTCTTTGTTATCGGAACTCCAATCAACGTTTTTGCGCTAATTAAGACCAGTCGGTTAGTGTCCTCTTTTGTAGCAATTTTCGGAATTCAAGTATTTTAGAAATGTTCGTGAAGGGGGTGTGGAGTCGCGTTTGGTAAAGCTCAGTAGACAACTGCTCATTGCTCATATCATGGTCCTTTTTATGTACGGAATCTGGAGAAGCTACTGGATCTACAATATTGTTTGGACCCAAGGTATATCTAAATTGCTTACTAGAAATAGTAACAAAAAAAAGAGTGCGTATTACAGAAAAATCTAATTTAGGCGATATTCTTTGCCGTGTATTCAGTTTCCTATGTGCTCTTCCGTTCCATCTCTGGTCGAATATGGTCGCTGCTATTGCAATTGATATGTTGTGTTGTATTACGTAAGTCAGGAAATAATTTGATGCTTTAGCGGGAAAACTGACTCTTTTTCAGATCCCCTCTGAGCAGCTATCGAACCGGCGCGAACCGAGTTAATTGGCTCATTACTCTGGCTTGGGGCTTTGCGATTCTGTGTGCATCGCCGATGAGCATTCTACGGGGAACCATTCAGATCAACGATGAAGATATGTACCAGTGCTACCCGCGAACTGATGTATGAGCAATTTCCGGTGGAATAGTTAATCAGTTGGTTTTTAGGTGTTCAATGATGATATTCTGATTGCTTTCAACTTGTTCCATGTTATCACTTCTTTCTATATCCCATTGTTTATCGTTATCATTTGCTACTTGGCTATCGGATTCTCGATTCGGAAGCAAATGGCAGAACGACGTCTACTTCAGGTATACTGTAATTTTGGAAATGAGAGACAGATCACAATAGTGCATTGTTTTTTTTCCTTGGCTTGCAAAACCCAATCTAGACACCCATATCATCTGATTTTGTGGCATTTGATATTAACAATCAACGATCAAAATTTGAGTTTTTCGAAAACTATCATTTAGAGACACATCAGTGAAAGCAAAAGTGTTTTTCTGAGCTGAAACGAAAATAATAATCAAATGCTTAAACAACACATCACACCAGAACAACATCACCGCAGATTTTCTGAACCAAAATCTTGCAGGATGGAGGACAAAGCGGACAAAAAACCACCAACACCAAGGCCAGATTCTTGAGAGCGTCTGTTGCGATCATCTGCACTTTCTTGTTCACCTGGCTTCCATATCAAGTTCTCGCTCTTCTCCGCATCGTGTGCATCTCTGAAGAGTGCCAGGAAGTTGTTAGCAAGCTCAATTGGCTTCAAGCTATTATTATTGCCAGGTAGCCCCTAAATTTCAAGATTCCCCGAACTAAAAAAAGCATTTTAGCACTTGCATCAACCCATTCTTGTACCGTTTTGGCTCTGAGCCAAAACGCAGTTCTTATTATTGCTCGACGATGGACACGGCTGGTAAGGAGGTATGCATGACAACGGTCGAGTGTTTTTTCCCTGTTCTCTCTCACTTCCTACTGGGAAATTGTGCTCTTATCACTTTCTTATCAAATCACGTGGTTTCTTTGTCAATTCACTTGAAACTTTTATGAATCTGCACGTAGAGCGGACAATGACATTGCATCAGTTGCCGAAAAAAAAGTGTTATAATCTGATAAGGGAATTAATTTGATAAGTTAAGGTTTGGAACGAATTCGAAAAAAAAGAGAAAATGGTGTGATTCGTATGTATTTCTCAGCAAATCACTTTCCCTATCCCTTTTTGCAAATGTAACCCGTTTATCACCACACACACATACACACATACACACGGTTTTTGTCTCTACACGATTCTCTTCTCCATCAAACACCCCATTCCCCCCAACATCGATGAAAAACGGGGAAATTAAATTTTTTGCAGGAAGCCGGTCAGTCCGCCGATCGACGACGGTTCGTGAAGCCGAAGCCCAACGGGTTGCAGCTGCAGCGCATCGGGCACGGTGCGGCGGTGTCGAACACCAACAGCAGCAGTCAACGAACCTCGCCAACCCCACACTCTCGCCTCGGAGTACACGCGCAACGGTTCGAGAACCGCCGCGCGTCCCACATCGACTCAAGAACACCAAAAGTAATGAAGTTTAGATGCACTGGGAGCCTGGATGGACGTGTGGAGCAGTGCTAAATGTTTTTTTGTATTCTTTTTTATTTGGCATATTATATCCAAAAACCGGTCAATAAACTATACAAAGACACATTTTTCAGTTGCTTTTCAGCAGTTTCAGGTGTTTCGAGCTCGGCTTTTCAAGTTCCAAATCAATTAGAAAATTATAGAGAGTGTAAAATTGCATTCTCTGAATTTTTTGAGAATTTCAAGTTTTTCCTTTATTGACCGGATTCAGAAAAACGCCGGTTTTTTCACATTTTCAGTGCAAAAGAAGCCGAAAAGGGTGCCTTTCAAAAACTGGCAAAAAGCTGAGAAATAAGGAATTTTTCGAAAATTCTGTTAATACCCAGAAACGTTTTACACTCTCCCAAATTTTCAAAGCGACGGGAACTTGACAACCGAGTTCCAGCCTCATGAAAACGGTCAAGATAAACTGAAGAATGTGTTTTGTGTGTCTTATTGAATACGGTACTGTGCATAGTCTCAACCCCAGAACATGATGAAAAGCAAACTAGAAAAAAGAGAGGAAAAAAATATATTTTTGCTTTTTTTTATTGGCTGATGTGGTTTCCCATGAGATCTTTGTCAGCTTATCTTTTTGTCATTGTTTTTTCATCGTTCTGGAAAGTTCTCATTTCTCCATCCATCACATTCTTTTTCTGTACAAATCAGACTACAGTCGCCACCCCACAAGTCTCATACATCTCCTGACCCCTCTCCCTCCACCTAATCTATCCGCGTAGTAATAAACCTGTCCAGTCGCTAGACTCTTTCTGCTCTTGTCCCTCCCTCTCACTGTCTGCCACCGATTACTATTTTCCTGCCTATTCTTCCTCCCCCACCCATCTTTTTTGTTCTATCTGTTCTTCTTCTCCCATCATCATTTGTCGTTTTTTGTCTTCTTCATTGGTCGGCTTGGGTTATTTAGGTAATAATGCGCCTTGCCAGGATTTTGAAACTTATGAGTTTTTCAGAAATTTGTCTAATTAAATTTTATTTTGCCGAATCGTGATTTTCTGAGCAAATAAAACTAATTTGAAAAAAAAGAAAATGATCAGAAAATTGAAATTTTCAAAGTACTGTAACGGCCAATAAGATATCGAAATAGCAAAAAATCAACTAAAAATTATGTTTTTTTGATTATTATTGGCTGGTAATGTATGTTCTCTTGATCTGAAATCTGAATACTCTGAAATTCCAAATTTATGGATTTCAAGACTTTACGATTTTCAAGAAAACATGTTTTCTCTGTACAACAAGTTCCCAAATCCAAATTTCTGATCATATTAGATCTCAGGTTTTTGTCCATGCCACCTCTTCCTATCATTTTTCCCATGAGATACCATCTCAGCCCACTAGTAGATAAAACGAGTGAATCATCAATGTGGAGAGAGGATTCTGGATGGTTCCACTCTGATATTATCTAAACTCACGATTGCCACATGACGATATACGTGACGTGTGTTTTCTACACCTCATATGATCAATTCACATATGTAAAAAACAGAAAACTTTGTCCTCTGGAGATAGGCAATGATAACTATTTCTTTGTCTAGTTTTCTTCTATCTATCTCATCTGTCAAGATATATTTTGAACAAAAAAGACCATTTCGATAAGTTATAAGATAAGATAATTTCATTTCAACGAAACATAAATTTCGAAAACTTGGGTGAAGGTGGTTTTTGATTTTTTGGCCTTCATCGAGAAGTGGCTACTCTATTATCTTTTCAGCAAATCTACCAAAAAAAAGTTCCTCTATTTGTCAGAAGAACCAATTTTTTTCTCGACTCCGCCCCTTCCTCCCCTCGTGGCTGTGTGTATGTCTCTGACCCTCATAGAGATGCCTATCAGTTGATGATCATCATTCTCCATTATCCCTTTCTGCCATTTTTTGTGTTTGTGGGTGCTGTGTAGTTTGCAACACACGTGTTATCTTTTCTATCTATCCAATTTTATGGTTTCGCTATCTATATGTTTTCTTGTGATTCCAATTCCCACGTGTATTGTTTTGCAGGGTTAAAAAGTTAAGGATCTGATAGAAAAATGAGCCAAAACGGAGTCGAAGCATTAGTCAAGTGAGTTTAGAAGGAAAAAAAAAACTATAGATATAAGTTTCTTATCAGAGATTTTTGAAAATTTTGATTCTTGATCATTAGCAGAAACTAGAGCTATTTGAAAATTTGAAGCAAAACTTTCAATCAAAACTTTCTAAAATTTCAGAAAAGGAGTGACCTACAACACTATCCTCGAAGCAGCTCAACGCCCAACTCCACTGGTCCCATTAAGAAAACTCAAGGTTGAGCACCAACTTCAAAGTGATATTTGTGAGTTTTGATGACAAAAAGGCGCATTAACGCCAAAGCCACAAACGGCTCACTCGAGCCAATACTTTTTTACTTTTCGATGTTTGTCTAACCTCTTGTCTATGTTTGATACTTGGCTTTTGGTCAAGATAGGCAGAAAAAAGAAAGCAATTTGAAAAAAATAACCTTTTGCAGATGTCAAACTAGAGTATCTCAATGTTGCCGGATCTCTCGAAGACCGTACTGCTGATAGAGCCTTCCAGGTACAGACATAATCACGTTTTTTAGAGTGCAAATCACTTATTTTTTGCAGTTTGCTGAAGAGATTGGAGTTGTGAGAGGCGACGAAGTTTTCGTGACCGCTGGTGGGTCTACAGCCATCTCGTACGCAACAGTTGCCGCTGTGAAGGGCATCAAGTAAGTAGAAAAAAGAAAGAAAAAGAAAAAAAAGATCAAGATCAAAAAGCAACACGTCATACTCAATCTATTTTCAGATTGACCATTTATGCGCCGAAGGGAGAATTCGCCCTTGTGGACACTGTCCTTCACACATTGGGAGTCCAAACTGTCGAACTTCCAGTGGCCACCTATAGTGAAGCTAGAGCATTGACCGAGGAAGCTGCTCAACAGAAGGGTGCATTCAACTTGAATAAATTCACAACCAACGCTGCATTTGTCGCCAATCTCCAGAAGACTGCATGTGAGATCGAGAGAGCTGTAAACAACAAATCGATTGGAAAGGTTGGAGCTGTTGTGATCCCATTGAACACTGGAGCTCCAGCTGCTGGAATCGCCGCCTACTACAAGGGAACCGGAGATCATGGTGTTCGTGTGGTTGGAGTCACTTGCAAGAAGGATACTATTCCAGAGATGGGATTGGATTTGAAGAATGATCTTCTACAGGTGTGATTTTTCATCAATTCCAAAAATAAGAATTCAGGCTGGAATAGCAACTTTTTTCTTTACAAAATAAATTTCCAGGAATACGGAGTCGAGAAGCGTGAAGTCGACGAGGAGGAAGCTTATTCCTTCACCAGACATCTCATCGGAACCGAGGGTATTATGGCTGGACCATCCTCTGGAGCAGCTGTCCTTGAAGCTATCAAGCTCGCCAAGGAGCTTCCAGCTGGATCCACTATCGTCGTTGTGCTCCAAGACGGTATTCGCAACTACCTTCGTCACTTCCTCGATGATGATTGGATTGTTGCCAACAAGAAGAACGTTGTGACCAGAAAAGATGGACCACAACCAAACAGCACTTACGATCCAAAGGTTTTGGTCTACGATCCAACGAAACTGGCCGGAGAGTGGACTCAAGATCCAGTCACCAAGGCTTGGTCTCATTCAGAAGTGGAATTCAATCAATTTAAGTGAGTTATTGGTTTTTTTTTTCAAATTTCCGCCAACTGTAAAATATTTTAGCCCTGAAAGACCATTGGTCCTCGACACCGTTCTTGATGCTATTGGCAAGACTCCACTTGTCAAGCTGCAACATGTCCCAAAGGCCCATGGAGTCAAGTGCAACGTTTGTAAGTGTATTCAACGTATTGGTTAATCTTAACAAAGTTGCTGCAGACGTCAAATGTGAGTATCTGAACGCTGGAGGATCCACCAAGGATCGTATTGCCAAGAGAATGGTGGAAATTGCCGAGAAGACTGGAAAGCCAGGAAAGCTTGTCCCAGGAGTCACTTTGATTGAGCCAACCTCTGGAAACACTGGAATTGGACTTTCTCTTGCATCCGCTGTCCGTGGATACAAATGCATCATTACTATGCCAAAGAAGATGTCCAAGGAGAAGGCTATCGCCATGGCATCTTTGGGATCTACCATCATCCGCACTCCAAATGAGGCCGGTTTCGACAGCCCACACTCTCATATCGGTGTTGCTCTCCGTTTAAAGAGTGAGATTCAAGACGCAGTGGTTCTTGATCAATACTGCAATCCAGGAAATCCATTGGCTCATTATGAGCAAACTGCTGAGGAGATTATCTATGATATGGGAGACAAGCATATTGATCTTGTGGTCCTCACCGCTGGAACCGGAGGAACAGTTACCGGAATCTCTCGCAAAATCCATGAGCGTATTCCAACTGCAAAGGTTGTCGGAGTCGATCCACACGGTTCGATTCTCGCTGGACCAGCTGAAACCGACATTGACTTCTACGAGGTTGAAGGAATCGGATACGACTTCTTGCCAGGAACACTAGATACCAGTGCCATTGACTATTGGGCAAAGTCTCACGATAAGGAGTCGTTCTTGATGGCTCGTGAGCTCATCAGAACCGAGGGAATTCTTTGCGGAGGATCCTCTGGATGTGCTGTTCATTATGCTTTGGAGGAGTGCAAATCGTTGAACCTTCCAGAGGATGCTAATGTTGTGGTACTTCTTCCGGATGGAATCAGAAACTATATGTAAGAAATGGGCTTTGTAACTGTTAATATAATATTGTTTTTTTTTCAGTACCAAATTCCTCGACGACGACTGGATGAACGAGCGTCACTTCCTTGATGCCTAAGAAACGAACACACTGAACACCTCAAACTTGGACAACACCATTCCGTATTTTCAATCAAAACGTATTCATTTTGTGTTAATTTTTTCTATGCATTTTTCTACTGTTTTGGCTCACATCTTGATAAAAAATCATTATGAAAATCAGGTTCCCATTGTTTCAGGTTTTATATATTCTTGCCTGATCTCTATCATCAATCGGTCTAATTGGAGTTCGTCGAATCATCATAACTAATCTACAAGAAATATGACAAAGGTGATGTGTCAAAGTGGTTGCCATTTTCGGAATATCTCCCGGAAAGGTCGATGTCCCTCTATCTATCTTCGTTTAGTGTTTCTCAGGACTTTTTTGAGAAGTATCTTACAAAGTGCTAATAGACACTGAATAGGTCTTCTAGAAACAGAGTAGACATCATCCTCCGTGTAAACAACTGGACTGGTATCAAATACTGACTCCAGCATCAGAAAAAGAAACGTTCAGACTTGTTTTTTGAAAACATAAAACTCAAAAAATGGATATCAAAGTGTATTGAAGAAAAATGTATTCAAAGTAATCCAACAAAATTAAGGGGAGTTAAAAAAATCAAGTTTTTAATAATCAGGAAATTAAGGAGAATTCAATAAAAAAATAAAGCAAAAAATTAGAAAAGCGCGGGGAAGTTTGATAATCTAGGGGAGTTTAGGAAATAAATCTGGTTAAAACATCCGGAAATTAGGGAGGAGTTTCAGAAAATAGGATGCGAAATCAGGGAAAAATGACAAATTGCCTCAACAAAATGTTTCAAATGAAGTATGGAGTATGAATAAAAAAACAATTTAAGTACAAGCAATCAAAGATTTTCCGGTACAATTTCAAATTTCTCTTTCATGTGAAAATCCTTACGCTTTCTGGTCAGTGGACAACTTCCGAGTGTGATCAAAACTTCCGCTCCGGTGTTATTTTGTTTCAGCAGCCAGGCAGAGCTAACGTAACCCCAACGTCTGAAAAACATAATATTTCTATTTGTATCTCAATCAGAAGTTTACCGTGCGCATTTATTGCTCATCGAAGAGGCTGCCTCTTGAACAGGTTTTGCCTTTATCTCAATCATTTTTGCTCCGAAATCTTCAATTGATTCAGCTAACATGATGGTGAGAATCAACGTTCGGATAGAAGATTCGGTTCTCCAACTTTTGAAATTTTCAATGACGTCAGACTCCGCAAAGGGAAACATTAGGTCGGAAAGTAAGTAAGGAGGTAAAGTAAATAAGGAAAGTAAGTAGGAAAGTAAGTAAGTAAGTAAGGAAAGACAGACATTTATTGAAAATATTGATGACGTGCCAAGCGGAGACCCATCTCGAATAATGTATTTTAAGTAGTCCGTTTTCGAGACTTTCGGGAAAAAGCGTTACGAAATCGAAATCCTCGTAATGGTCAGATGGTTCAATCAACATATCAACACGCTTTGTTTTCCGGAAAGTCATCAACCCTCGAACAATTGCTTCATTGTTTCCAAAACCTTCCATGTAACATTTTTCCAACGGATATCCGAGTTGTGCCAGGTGATCGAAATTGGTGAAAGTAGAATCGAAACGTCCCGACAACCAGTAACGAAAACTGATCGTCACATTGACGAAAAGACTAGAATGCCGAACACTGAGATACTTTCCCAAGTTTTCAAATGTCGAATCCTCGGGTTCGAAGCTGATTATTCGGTTGGAATTTGGGTGACTTGAACTTTTGTAATTCAATTCCAAACACCAGTAAATCGAAACCTTTATGTGTCATTCACGACGTTTTGCTGATCGTTGTGACAGTGAACGGGAGCGTTTGGAAGTCTCGCTGAAACTGTACCTGAAAACAAAAAATCACTTAAAAATTGTGCAGAACAAAACTTACAAATCGTAGAAATCCAGGAGATCCAATATTTTTTCTTGGACCACTACCGGGAAACGGGTGAATGGAATCGACATTTTGTTTTGTAGAATAAAGTAAAGAAATAAATATTACGTAGAAAAATACCACGTTCTGAATTTACGCAATTGTTCGGGGTGGTGTTTGCAGACTGGTCGTCATCTGGTGTTTAAACGACAATACGCGTATGTAGAGAAAGGCGGGGCAGGAGGGTGGGATACTCTCCACTACACTGCTTTGTTTAAAAAAAAACACGAAATGTGCCAAAAAAGCCAATTTCACAAACATATATAGGGATTTGAATTCTACAGATTTGCCAATGAGCAACACGAAGTTGAAATTTCCTATCCGAAATTCAATCAAAAACACTAAAGTCGCAGCCATGTTAACAGGCGAGGGAACTAGACTGGTATCCAATACTGACTCCAGCGTCCGAGTTTGGAAAGAAGAACGTTTTGTTTTTTTTTTGAAAACATAAAAAATGGATGACAAAGATTTTGAGGAGAGGTGTATTCAAAGAAATCTAATCAAATCGAAAATTTTTTTTAAAAATCATGTTCAAAATCAGGAAATTGAGGTGAGTTCAAGAAAATCAGGATAAAAAGACAGGAAATGAGGAATATCCAAAAAATTTAGGTTGAATTTTATTCTTTATAGTACAATTGATATTACACTTTTCCATCTGCTATCCGAGTTGAGTGAAATGATTAATGTAAGGTGTGCAGAATCGAAATATTTCAAAACACCGAAAGTCCAAACTGATAGTCATGTTGTGAAAAGAGAAAAGTGCCGAGTATTGAAAAAATTTTCCAAATTCTCAGATGTAGAATCTTTCAACTTCATCATGACTGGCATTTCGGGTGCCTTGTATTAGAGTTAATAAATTTCAAATTTACCTTCTCGATGTTTCCTACTCTGTACCTTTATGATAGAATGAATGATTTATTTCTCCACAAATTGGTTTTGATAAGTATTGATAAGTTGGTTATTTGATACAGGTTTAATCTATGATACAAGTGGGTGGTTAATAAAGTGTAATGTTTTGGAGAGGAGAAAAAATAAGATAAAAAGAACTTTAAACTGGACTATCTTCCTTGGCAACGGGTTCTTCAGCGATATCCATTTCACCGTCCTCTTTCTTCTTCTCCATTACCTGCTCAACTTCCTTCTCTTCCTCCGGTGCAGTTGGATTTTGTTCAGTTAGAACTTCGCATCTAATGTCTTCCACTCCATCAGCTCTTCGAATCACACTTGGCTGCAAAAAAATCATAAATTCTTGCAAACCAGGCCTCTGCAGGCCCTACCATAGTTTTTTCCAGAATAGATTATTGAGTTATCTGAGTTAGATATGATAGAACTTGACGAGAACTACAAAATTATATTTTTTGGAAATTGAACAGAATTACAGACATAGAAATCGCCCGGCCAGGCACAACCACTTCATGGCTTGTAACTTTCTTCGTATAGTATCATTTTGTAGTACTTGTCAAGTCCTATCTTATCTATTTTGATTTATTCAACAAAATTAATTCTGAAAGACATTACGACAGGGCCCAAAAAAAACTCTAACAAGATTGCATCTTATAAATCTCAGGACCCACCTTCGAAGCCTTAACCTGACAAAAGAGCGCTCTGCAACAACATGAAATCAAACAGCCCATGATGACAAGTGAAGCAACCATGAGCCAGTCTCTATAGGTCCATGCACTCAGTTTTCTGATCTTTCTCTCCGTGAGAACCACCACTTCATGATCCTTGATATCATAAGTCATACTGGAATGAATATCAATGTAGCTTTGACGAGTGAAGTTGTAGGTGATGCGATGTCCCATTCTTTTGGCAACAAATACTTTGGATTTATTGTAAGCTTTGTAATCGGTTCCTCCGGGAAGATCTGGGCTACCATGGATCATTTGGTCTGAGCATTCTTGCATGCTTCCTGCAAAATTTGATTGAAAATTAACTTCAAAATTTTCAAAGAAGACAACCCACCTACATACTCATACTCGGTGCCTCCTTTTTGCTTTTCCACAGTAACCGTCAAACACGCGTTGCTACACGGGACTACAAACACAACTCCTTCCTCACAATTGCTTCCTCTCCAATCAAACCATCCCATGGACTGTCCGGATTCCGAGTGTTGCATCAGCCAGCGCTTGAGAACCTAGAATTAAATTTTTAAGCTTTGTTGTTCATTCTTTCTTTCTTACATATCCCTTGGTGGCACACGATGGACAGTAATGCATTTTGTTCCCTTCACGGTCATAGTGCTCTTCCAATGCTAGAGCAGTCGCAAGAATTGCAGTGACGAGGAGAGCTGGTTTGAAAAACATGTCTGAAATCATGTATAAAGTGGATGACGTGTCACTTAAGTGTATGAAAGATCCTGAGATGTGAAGTGCAAACGAAAGCAAAAAAAAGGGGGAAAGATAAGAGGTGGTGAGGAATTAAAAAGCATTCTTAGAATACAGTTTGTTAAAAAAAGAAGAAGGAGCAAGACGAAAGTTTTAAAAGCACTCTAATAGATAGCGGATGGCACAAAGAGCTCGAGGATTTTAGACTGTACAGTCAAGGAGCCAGGAAACATTTCAAGAGAATAATCTAATATTCAAGAGAATAATCTAATATTTCAAGAGAATAATCTAATATTTTTAATTGTCTACAGTAACCCAGGAGATTCTAAATTAAAAAAAAAAGAGCTTGGAGTGATTTTGAGACACTTTTTGAATTGATTTCAGCTTAAGGAATATTGAAATTCAAAATACCGTATTTCCTATAATAGAAGCCCACCCGAACCGGTAACTTTGAGATCAATTATCTTGATTTCTGCGGAAGATATGAAAAATTTGTCAACTGATAGATTATTGAGCTTAATATCATCAATATTTCATCAGTTGACACGTATTTGATATGTTTCACAGGAACTGAGATAATTGAGCTTGGAGTGGATGGGCTTCATCTAGAGGAGAGAAAGAAATGACTAAAAAATAAAAAAAGTTTAGAATCAATTCAAAAAATCCTTTTTTCAGAGCCCAGTCAAAGACTTCAAACCTCTGCAAGACCAGTAGCTTGGTTTTTATCCAAGCCCAAAGCTCCGCCCACCAATCAACTAAGTGCCTGATTTCCGGTAGCTAGGGATGCGCTCATGAGATCAGCGCTGGAATTTTTTTTCGGATGATAAATCGGAAGTTGTGGGTGGTTTTTGTCAATCACGTGATATCAAAGGAGCGGAGACATGAAAAATAGGTTTCTGAAATTTCATTTACCTCTTGAGGAATTGAATTTATGGTTTTTAGAGATTCCAGCTGAGTTACGGTGGCCTAGGTTGGCGTTGACATTTATGAGAGCTTAGCCTTGGTATCCATGACCTCCTCAAAATCGGTTTCCACCGTTTTGATTCTGCCTGTGCTTTCCTCCTCTTGCTCCTAAACCACAAAAGATCTGCTCTCCGAAAAAAGGTCGACTGCATCTCCAAATACAGTATCTACAGGTCTAATTCTTCTTCCTGCAGACAATTCCATGCACAGAAAAACATTCTAGATCCACTCACGATTGAGAGGAAGCAATAGAAGATAGTGATGGATACGATGGTGATGGTGATGTATTGGGAATTGGCACTGCCATCCTCATCATTGACGATGTCCATAGTTGTCGGAGTAGTGCTCGAAACGAACTCTGAAGGATCGGAGTCTTGGCTTCTAATAATGGCCCACAGCCCGACTCCAATAGCTGTAATAATAAAAATTATGAGCGCGAGTTTGCACATATCCTGAAAAAATTAAAAAATGAGAATTAGATGACAAAAAAGGTATTTCAGAGCAAATGAAAACTCTGAAAAAGTTCAAGATATTCGAATGGAATGTCGCGACCAATAAAATCTCGACTAAAAAATGCTAGTGACAAAAATACAGTTTTATTCGAAAAGGAGTGTGTAACTTAGTTAAAGGGGCTGAAAACGGAAAATTTAAGAAATTGATAATTTCGATACAAGTGATCTTCAATACAGGGAAAAACAAACATCAGAATATGGTAGGGATGAGCTGAATACAAGAATTTTGATAATAATGAAAAACTGGAAAAATGGGAAAATCATTTTTTAGATTTTGTGGATACGTTTTAGGTGTTATGAATAAAAATTCTCAGATTTCCATGGAAATGTTGTTTTTTCAGAATGGGATACAAACTCGCCCTCAGCATTTTCAACATGTTGGCGATTGGATTCTTCTTGTTCTTCCTCTTTGCCTGCATCTTGTCGATTGTGAGTTTATCTGATATTTGTTTTCTTCTTTTGAACGATTGAATCATTTTTAGTGGATTCTGAGACCAAAAATAGTTGGAGCACTCAGAAAAGCGCAAGTCCCGGAGAGCCAACCAATTTTGGTTGAGGAAGAAGATGAAGACAATGCCGAAGAGATGGGAACTGTCAGAGCTGAGTCCGATAAAGTTGAAGTGGTTTTGCTCCCAATGGATAAGAAGACCAAGAAGACCAAATCAAAGGACAAAACTTCGGAGATGAATGCTTTTGAGATGGTCGTATTCAATGAGGCTTTTGACGAGGAGAAGAAGAAGGAGGAGGAGGAGTCGAGCAAGAATACCACCAACATTTCCATGGAAATCTGAGAATTTTTATTCATAACACCTAAAACGTATCCACAAAATCTAAAAAATGATTTTCCCATTTTTCCAGTTTTTCATTATTATCAAAATTCTTGTATTCAGCTCATCCCTACCATATTCTGATGTTTGTTTTTCCCTGTATTGAAGATCACTTGTATCGAAATTATCAATTTCTTAAATTTTCCGTTTTCAGCCCCTTTAACTAAGTTACACACTCCTTTTCGAATAAAACTGTATTTTTGTCACTAGCATTTTTTAGTCGAGATTTTATTGGTCGCGACATTCCATTCGAATATCTTGAACTTTTTCAGAGTTTTCATTTGCTCTGAAATACCTTTTTTGTCATCTAATTCTCATTTTTTAATTTTTTCAGGATATGTGCAAACTCGCGCTCATAATTTTTATTATTACAGCTATTGGAGTCGGGCTGTGGGCCATTATTAGAAGCCAAGACTCCGATCCTTCAGAGTTCGTTTCGAGCACTACTCCGACAACTATGGACATCGTCAATGATGAGGATGGCAGTGCCAATTCACAATACATCACCATCACCATCACATCCATCACTATCTTCTATTGCTTCCTCTCAATCGTGAGTGGATCTAGAATGTTTTTCTGTGCATGGAATTGTCTGCAGGAAGAAGAATTAGAAGGGACAAAATTTGGAAAAAGGAAAAATACAGAAAAACTGTGACGTTCCGCGCTGATCTTGAGGAGATTGTTGAAGATATTGAAGATGGTTTTGAGGATGATTCTGAACCTGCGGAGAGGTGTGTTCCCGAGATGCTCTTCCATAATTCTCCTCGTGTACACTTTGATGACGACTGGGAGGATGAATTTGATGAAGACTGCGAGGAAGAACTTGATGAGGACGACAAGGAAGAATTTGATGAGGACGAAGAAGAATCAAACTCGATTCTTGAAGATGTCGTGGAGCGGTCGACGGAGAATTTGCACGTTCAAGAATAACTAATTCATAATCCCTGAAACGTGTTTTTTCGATCCCTCAAATTTACAGAATTCCCAAAAAAAACTAAAAATGTTATTTTTTTAATTTCTCAATACCTACTTCATCCCTACCCCCTTCTGATGTTTCCTTGCTTCTCTGTCTTGAAAATCTACTGTATTCCTCAATTTTTAATCATCAATTTTTTTTTGAAATTTCCATTTTCAGTCCCCTTCAACAAAGTTACCCACTTCTTTCCAAACAACTTCTTTATCACAGTTAACTTTACTGAAATCACGAAATTATCTGAATTCTCCATATTCATAAAGTGTCTTTTAAAACTTAACAATTTTTGAATTTCAATTATTTATTGGTTGAGAAATCCCATTCAATTATCTGTCACTCTTCTAGAGTTTTGAAGACTCTGTTTTTTGTAGCTAATCCTCATTTACTTTTTCAGGATGGGATACAAACTGGCTCTTATGATGTTCATTGTCGCTTCTATGGGAGTCGGGTTGTGGATCATTGCCGGGAACCAGGAATCCGATCCATCAGAATTCGATTCGAGAAACGCTCCGACAACAATGGATGATGGCAGTGGCTACCTCAAATACAGTACCATCGGCACCGCATTCATAATTCTCTGGTATTGCATCATTTCAATCGTGAGTTGATTTAAAATGTTCTTCTTCCAAACGATCGATTATTTTTTTAGCGCCTGAAATTGGCTGATGAAAGAAGAATCTCGCCGGATAGCAGCTTTTTCGAAGAGGAAGAAGAGGAACAGAGTACGGGCAGAATCGAAACGGTAGAATCCGAATGTGTGGAGGTCATGGATACCAAGGCTGAAGAGGACTCGGAGGACCAGTCGAAGAACGAAACTTTGGAGACGAATCATTTTGAAATGGTTGTTTTCACAAAGGACAATGATGGGGAGCAGAAGGAGTATAGTGGAGACCAATTGGAGACTGCTCATATAATTATCTGAAAGATCCATTCTCAGTCACTTTTAACCAAGTTAACCACTCCTTTCCAAATAAAACTGTATTCTGAACACTAACAATTTTTCGAATCGAAATTTTATTGGTTGTGACCTCCTGTTCAAATATCTGAAACTCCTGTTCTCGGGAAGACTCTGATCTAATCCACATTTTTTCAGGATGATTTACAAGTTTGCTCTCATCCTATGGATCGTCACGACTCTTGCCGTCTCAGCCTGCGTTTCCACAAAGTGCAAGAAGACCGGAACTCTCACAGAATGCCTTACGAGAATAAAGTTCGACCTAATTACCATAGGCTTCTTTTTCTTCGTTCTCTCGATGTTGATCTTTTTCTTGCTAACCGTGAGTTGATCAAAATTGTTTTTCCTCTGAACAATCAATTATTTTTTAGTGCATACTGGTTGCTAGACAATGGAGATCGCGCAGAATCAGAGCTCAAATAATGATCGAAGACGCTCGGAATTTTAATAGCGACTTCTTCTCCGATTTAAATGGAATGGGACGGCATGACGTCTACCTAGTCAACGAAGAAGAGGACTTCAATCAGCTAGAAAGAGGAGTGGCCGACCGAGAGAACCATGGAGGTCCAAAGCAGGTAGCTTTTAATTTAAAGAAGACTGAGCACAGATAATTGATTCGAAAATTTTAGGATATGGCTGATAAACAAGAAATGGCCACGAAAAAGAAGGACCCAGTCCACCGAAGACGCCCCTATGTGCTGATTTCCAAGGAAAAAGTAAAGGAATTGGTGGAGCTGGCGGCGATAGTGAAAATTGTGTACCCAGAGAGTGTTCTCCTCACCATCAATGATTATGATATTGTAAATATCTCACAATCGTATGCCATCGAAAACATGAGAATTTACGGGCCTTCGAACGATAGAACAATTCGGAAATTGAGAAAACTCGTGAAAGCGATAAGGAAGGCTGGACTTGATGAGGTTCGATTTTTTTTTGAATATCGAAGTATCTCTTAGTTCAAATGGGGGGCCAGACACCAAAAAAAAAGTTTTCCTGATATTTTGCATAGAGAACCCCCTTGAGGGGTTGAACTCATGACAGGCAGCTCAGAAGTACAGCGCCGCTACCGGCTGAGCTACGGGGGCGCGAAGGCGCCTGACGACCGATGGTCTACATAAGCGCGGCACGATTTCGTCCCCCGAACTGTCCCTCGAAATTTTTGCTGTCTCGCCTCCTTTAAGTTTTCCGTTACATTGAATGTTATAGAGAGTGTAAAACAGATCTAGACTGAAAACTTTGCATTCACAGAATTTTTCTGAAAATTCCTAGTTTTTCAACTACTCGCCGATCCTTGAACGACATCTGTTTTTTTTACGTTGTCTTCCCGGAATTTGTAAAACCCGAAAAACCAAGAATTTTTAAAACATTCTCTGAATACAAATTTCTTAATCTAGGTCTGTTTAACACCCGCCAAAGTTTTCAGAATGATTACATTCTTGTATATCTAATTTAAAGGTACTGTATTTGAACTAAGAGATACTTCGATATTCAAAAAAAAAATCGAACCTCATCAAGTCCAGCCTTCCTTATCGCTTTCACGAGTTTTCTCAATTTCCGAATTGTTCTATCGTTCGAAGGCCCGTAAATTCTCATGTTTTCGATGGCATACGATTGTGAGATATTTACAATATCATAATCATTGATGGTGAGGAGAACACTCTCTGGGTACACAATTTTCACTATCGCCGCCAGCTCCACCAATTCCTTTACTTTTTCCTTGGAAATCAGCACATAGGGGCGTCTTCGGTGGACTGGGTCCTTCTTTTTCGTGGCCATTTCTTGTTTATCAGCCATATCCTAAAATTTTCGAATCAATTATCTGTGCTCAGTCTTCTTTAAATTTAAAAGCTACCTGCTTTGGACCTCCATGGTTCACTCGGTCGGCCACTCCTCTTTCTAGCTGATTGAAGTCCTCTTCTTCGTTGACTAGGTAGACGTCATGCCGTCCCATTCCATTTAAATCGGAGAAGAAGTCGCTATTAAAATTCCGAGCGTCTTCGATCATTGTTTGAGCTCTGATTCTGCGCGATCTCCATTGTCTAGCAACCAGTATGCACTAAAAAATAATTGATTGTTCAGAGGAAAAACAATTTTGATCAACTCACGGTTAGCAAGAAACAGATCAACATCGAGAGAACGAAGAAAAAGAAGCCTATGGTAATTAGGTCGAACTTTATTCTCGTAAGGCATTCTGTGAGAGTTCCGGTCTTCTTGCACTTTGTGGAAACGCAGGCTGAGACGGCAAGAGTCGTGACGATCCATAGGATGAGAGCAAACTTGTAAATCATCCTGAAAAAATGTGGATTAGATCAGAGTCTTCCCGAGAACAGGAGTTTCAGATATTTGAACAGGAGGTCACAACCAATAAAATTTCGATTCGAAAAATTGTTAGTGTTCAGAATACAGTTTTATTTGGAAAGGAGTGGTTAACTTGGTTAAAAGTGACTGAGAATGGATCTTTCAGATAATTATATGAGCAGTCTCCAATTGGTCTCCACTATACTCCTTCTGCTCCCCATCATTGTCCTTTGTGAAAACAACCATTTCAAAATGATTCGTCTCCAAAGTTTCGTTCTTCGACTGGTCCTCCGAGTCCTCTTCAGCCTTGGTATCCATGACCTCCACACATTCGGATTCTACCGTTTCGATTCTGCCCGTACTCTGTTCCTCTTCTTCCTCTTCGAAAAAGCTGCTATCCGGCGAGATTCTTCTTTCATCAGCCAATTTCAGGCGCTAAAAAAATAATCGATCGTTTGGAAGAAGAACATTTTAAATCAACTCACGATTGAAATGATGCAATACCAGAGAATTATGAATGCGGTGCCGATGGTACTGTATTTGAGGTAGCCACTGCCATCATCCATTGTTGTCGGAGCGTTTCTCGAATCGATTCTGATGGATCGGATTCCTGGTTCCCGGCAATGATCCACAACCCGACTCCCATAGAAGCGACAATGAACATCATAAGAGCCAGTTTGTATCCCATCCTGAAAAAGTAAATGAGGATTAGCTACAAAAAACAGAGTCTTCAAAACTCTAGAAGAGTGACAGATAATTGAATGGGATTTCTCAACCAATAAATAATTGAAATTCAAAAATTGTTAAGTTTTAAAAGACACTTTATGAATATGGAGAATTCAGATAATTTCGTGATTTCAGTAAAGTTAACTGTGATAAAGAAGTTGTTTGGAAAGAAGTGGGTAACTTTGTTGAAGGGGACTGAAAATGGAAATTTCAAAAAAAAATTGATGATTAAAAATTGAGGAATACAGTAGATTTTCAAGACAGAGAAGCAAGGAAACATCAGAAGGGGGTAGGGATGAAGTAGGTATTGAGAAATTAAAAAAATAACATTTTTAGTTTTTTTTGGGAATTCTGTAAATTTGAGGGATCGAAAAAACACGTTTCAGGGATTATGAATTAGTTATTCTTGAACGTGCAAATTCTCCGTCGACCGCTCCACGACATCTTCAAGAATCGAGTTTGATTCTTCTTCGTCCTCATCAAATTCTTCCTTGTCGTCCTCATCAAGTTCTTCCTCGCAGTCTTCATCAAATTCATCCTCCCAGTCGTCATCAAAGTGTACACGAGGAGAATTATGGAAGAGCATCTCGGGAACACACCTCTCCGCAGGTTCAGAATCATCCTCAAAACCATCTTCAATATCTTCAACAATCTCCTCAAGATCAGCGCGGAACGTCACAGTTTTTCTGTATTTTTCCTTTTTCCAAATTTTGTCCCTTGGCTTTGGCACATCAAATAGTCCTTGTTCCATGTAAACAGCAAGATCAACCATCTCCTCCGTATTCTCGTTGAACATATACTTGGGATTTCTTCGATTCTTCTTCCATTCCCTTTTCATACGCCATTTCTTACACTTAAAATTTAAAAAAATTATTTATGAGTAAATAATTTGTTTCAACTTACGCGACAATAGATGCAATAACAGCAGGAGGCAAACAGCAAGAAAATGGTCAGCATGGTAACAACGATGAACAATCCTTTGTTGTTATCTCCCAATTTCTTTTCTTGTTTGACATAGGCAAACTGTTCCTTCAAATTATCGGCAATCGTTGATGCGTTATCCGACGAGGTGGTGTTGAACTCATAGATGATGGTATGACCAATCCGCTCAGACACATAGCGAGCGTTCTCCTCAAAAACCATCGGTCCAATTTGGCTTTTATACCATGGTCTTGTGTCTGGAATATCTGGCGTGCTATAAAACATATCATCCGCGCAATCCATCATAATACCTGAAAACTGGGAACTGGGATATAGATGTAAGACGATTGAACTCACTATCCAGCTTTTCTCCATTTTCTGGTTTCTGAATCGTGACTTTCATACAGGTTGTAGCACATGGATTGTACCGAATCGTTCCGATCACACAATCAGTCAAGGCCCATTCTTCGACCCATCCCATGCTCTGGCCGTGTTCTGCGTTTTGCATGAGCCATCTTCTCAGGTGCTGAAATGAGAAAATAATTCAATTGTTTAAAAAATTCAAAGGTATTTAGAAAATTTTTTAATTACCAATACTTCTTCTGAGGACCAGCACTTTTCCTAAGGACCGAAGTTATTAGGGACAATAATGTATTCTTATGACTGAAACTTCTTTCAAAGACCAACATTTTTTCAGGGACCAAGTTTTTTTTTTCAGGATAAATTTTTTTTTCTCAATGTAAGGACCAAAAGTAGTTCAAGGATTAGACTGTTTTCTGAGGATCGAATATTTTTCTAAGGACCAAAAAAATTTTCCAAAAATAAAACATTTTTAGGGACCAAAACCTATTGTAGAACCAAAAAATTTTCTATGGACTAAAATTATTTCTGAGGACCAATATGTTAGGGACCAAAATTATTCTAAAGACCAAAACTTTTCCTGAAGATCAAAAGTGCAAGGCTTAATATTTTTAGGGACCAAAAATTATTTTAAGAATAGGGATCAATATTTTTAAGTGCCCGAAGTTTATTCGAAGGATCAAAATTTTTGTCAGGATCTTTTTTTTTTTTTGAAAAGACTAAAATGGTTTCAGGGACCTAATTGTTTTCGAAGGTATAAAACTTTTTAGGGATGTTTTTTATTAAAAAATATTTTTATGGACCTAACTTTTTCTAAGGACCAATTTTTCTAAGGACCGACTTTTTAGGGTCCAAAATTTTTGCTGAGGACCAGAGTTTCAGAATGGAGCCCCTTTTTGATACTATTGAAAATCAATAAAAGCACTCACGTAGTTTCCGCCCGTACACTGAGCACATGTCCGCATGCCTGGCGCATTCGTAGTAGTCGTCGTTGGAGTTGGAAGAGTTATGGGAGGGAGAACTGTTGTTCTGACCGCGTCCAAATCCACTCCTTCTTCTACTTCCTTGATCACGTCTCGTTTTTTGTAACCGCTCCAGATCAGGAACTCATCCAAGTTGTGAGCTACCCAAGTCGACACAACCTTCCAGCCTTTCTCGGTTTCGTTGTAGCCTCTGCCGCATAGATATTCTCCGAAATCGTAGAGAGTGTCGAACTTCTGACTCTCCATGGTCATCCAATATGTCACGTATCCGGTACTAACAAATGCAAGAAGGAGGAATAATTCTAGTTTACGCCTCATCCTGAAAATGAAAGTTTTAATAGAGAAAGACTTTTTCAAATAAAAAGTAAGAAATTTTTCTAAAAAGGGCTTAGGCTATCGATTGGGTAGTTAGGTGGTGGTCTTTTATTTCAAAGAGTTCTATAGAAAGATTTGAAAAAAAAACCGAAAAACAATGATCGGGAAAGATGTAGTACCGTCAACTTTGAGCTCAATCATCTCGATTTCTGTGAAAGTCATCAAAACTTTGTCAAGTAATGAAGTATTGGTGATATTATGAGAAGAATTTAACAGCTGTCTGATTTCTGGTATTTCTTAAATGAATCGAGATCAATGAGCTCAAAGATGTCAGTTTGGGTGGGCTAGAGATACATTATATAGATTTGATAAACTACTTTTTCTGATGGTGCCATTCTATTAGAGGGTTGCAGTCTCATTTAAAGGTGGAAAGCTATGACAGGTTTTTTTTCGGTAATTAGGGAGAATAGCCTATAAAGAGAGCTATTAAAGTTATTCGGAATCAAGGTTAGGTGGGACACTGGAAAAGCTAAAAATTGTATCAGATACTAGGCGGGAAATTCTGGAAAATGCGAGAAAAAAAATCATCCGTTCCGTGGCGCCAACTGAAAAAAAAATGAATATCTGCGGCTTAGGGACGGCGCTCTTAGAAAGTGAGAGGCGCAGAGAACTCCGAACATATGTTGTTGGTCTGATTCTGACACATATCGGGTCCGCCTCCCAATCAGACAAAATATAGAGAGATTGAGGAGAATCAGTCAGCGAGACAGTCCAAAGTAGGCGGAGCCGGTCCAGCCAGGCACGGGATCAATCATCATCCGGCTTTTCGAAAACAGAGTGATATCAGTAACAGTTAGCAATCTGGAGGGGCCGCCCCAAAATGAGAGAAATACTGTAAGAATTCAGAGATATTTAGATGATGGGACGGTGGAAAGTAGGGGGGAGCCTACTGACTCATGCTTCGTGAACCATCGAAAATGAGAGGGAAAACAGCGAGAGACTGCAAATAGAAGGTGGAATTGGAATAATAGGAGCTGATCTTTCTGAATTTAAGAATGAGAATGTGTCTTGGAGCTGTGCCACCACGGCAGACTAAATTGACCAAACTATAAACATCTAATGGTCTTGACTGAACTTTCAAAAATGCCTCAGATTTCGGCTTTCCTAACTAACGTAAAACCTGTACTGGAAGGACCCCTCTAGTCCATCTAATTGAAAGGCTCCTTTAATAGAAGGGGCCTTCCGATGTACCTGGAACAATAAAAAAGCTAGACAGGTTTTACAGTAGATTAGTTATCGAAGTAATTATCCGAGATCAGTACTTTCATCCCCTCTTTTCTGATATCCCTCACTATTTTCTTCTAAATTTTTATCCTAATTAGAGTTATTATCAATATCAGCGCCTATCGATCCGTCCTGTCTGCAGTCTCGCTCATTTTTTTTCTCTATCTCTCATTTTCGATGATACACGAAGCATGAGTCACTAGCCCCCCCCCCCCTCCTCTATCCTTCTACAGTCTCATCATTGAACCTCTCTGGATTTTTATTGTATTTTTAATTTTTCGGCAGTCCCATTCACGAAGCATGAGTCAGAAGTCCCTCATCCCCCCCCCCCCCCCCGTAATTTCTATCATCTCATCATCTAGTCTCTCTGGATTCTTATAGTATCACTTTCAATTCTGGCCTTTTTAAATTTCAAGTCTTTCTTGTCATCACTGTTTTTTGCATGATTATTGATCCTCATTAAATTTTAGTTCTAGGATCGTGACAGGACTAGCTAAAAAATTTGAATATTTCATGGATGGTTAGGTTCTTTATGACTATTACAGTACCTCGAATAAAACTCTGGTCCTATGAGTAAAAAACTTTCCCATGGATGAGTTCATTATCCCTTCATAATGTTTACTCTTTGAAGTTCTTGTCCTGATTACCAATACCAGCTCAATATATTCTTATTTCACTCCCTATGTGCTGCCTCTCGCTCCTTTCTCCCTCTCATTTTCGATTGTTCACGAATCATGAGTCACTAGGCTCTCTCCACTGTCTTATTATCTAAATCTCTCTGGATTCTAACTGTATTTTTCTCATTTCTGCGCAGCCCCATCTAAAACGATGTTGTTATTACTGTTTTCTGTTCTGCGTGATTATTGATTCGCTTCAGGCTCAATTTCTTTTCCAATTTATATACTTCATTTTTCCACTCCCTCACGGATATCATAAAATGAAACCTTCTATTTTAAAGAGTTATCCTATTTTTGAAATCCATGGATTTGCTTCATACTGATCTTTCTGTGTTCCAGTTCTCTAATCCCAACTTTTTTTCAGCATGCTGAAAAAACGGCTCATTGCTCTTCTCATTTGGATTCTTCTCGCTATCGGACTCACTGGCTGGCTCATCGTCGAGAGTGCAAAGTTCAGAACTCTCAGTGAACTGGTCTTATCGATTTGGAATGGACCTACAAAAGGAGCTTTGGATGCTCAGTTCGAAAAGGAAATGTTCAAGGATGCACCACGCGTATGTGCTCAGTGTGCAGGAGGAAATTTTGTGAGTTTCATCCGAATTTATTCTTTGAATCTGTTTCTGTAAATTACAGCTCCTAAAAAGATACTTGATGACGTCGTTCAAATTCCGCAGGCTATGGAATGGAAAGAAGACGAGTGGAAGCAAACGGATTGTGTCAATGGTGTGATCCGTTTCCGGAGCTGTCAAACGAGTTGTGCAACCATCATGATTCAGAAGGAGGACACGTTGGACAGTAAGTTTTGCCTTTTTGGTTGTTTTAGAACATAGAACATAGACATGGGGGGGGGGGGGGGAACTTTCAGAAAAGTAATATATAAAAATAATGTCAAAACGATATATTTTCAGGTGTGCTCATGGACTGCGCCCAGTTAAACTTTCTTGCTCTTCATTTCGAAGAAACCGTTGAATACGTGGGAACCCGAGACGGCTGGACCATCACCTATCTTTACAATCGAACATCGTCCGAGAAAGCAGATTGGATCGCTAACAATTTGTCTGGAAAAGTTGGTTATCGTCGGGATGAAGGAGACATGAGTGAAATCAACAAAGCACTCTTGATTCTTTTCTTCATGGCTATCTTTTCTGCCATAGTCACTGTTCTAGGCTGGTACCTCACGAATTTGGTAGGTTGATTTTTTTTAAACCTAAAAAAATCGATTGATTTTCAGTTCATGAAGCTGTCTGCGCATCTGGCAAGGAAAAGACGTCACCAACAACGAAGACGTGCTTTAGAGAAGATGGGAAGCTTTGGAAATGTGGATAGCAGACTGTACAACGACATGGATGGAAGTGAAGAGCTCAAAGTGATCTACACTGTGAAGGAAGAGAAGGTCACAGTCAAGAAGTATTCGGAAAAAAAGCTCATCACCATGGAGTTCGCGAGTCTCGGAAAACCGGAAGAAATTATTGGATGCATCCCCGACAATGCTGAACCGAAGTTGGAGTATGAATGGCGGAGGCTGCAGAAGGAATCTGTAAAGGAAACTAAGGAGACATCTCAGAAGAAAACACAAAAAACTCAAAAAATTGAAGTTGTGAAAGTGGATGAGGAAATGGAAAGACAATTTCTGCACAGCTCTGTGTCCGATTATCAATATTCTTTTAATGAGAAATGTTTTAGGAGAGGCCAATCAGCTTGAATCCGATTGCGGAGCACGCGTATTTTGAGTGGGATGACGAACCAGACAATGCTGATAATCATGAAAATCTGGAGCAGGTAGTCTTGAAGTTAAAAATTCATTGCAAAATCAGTTTTACAGAGAAATCAGCAGAAGATGGAAGAACTGACGGAGATTTCTGGGAGCCATATTTGATGTTAATAATTTAACCCTATTTTTATGATTGTATGTAATGACCCCCCCCCCCACAAAATTAATGTGATGACCCAATTGATACCCTCATTTTAGAACATCGTATTCAAAATTATTTTTCATTTTTCTCGAATTCATCATCACCTGTTATGGTTCATGTTCTTTTACAATCCCTTTTCAATTAAATCCATCCAACTTTTCATCCTTAATTGTTTTTTCATCTTCGAAATTCCCATTATGGGCTTTATCGTAGGCTGTGCTAAAGCCAGGCAAGTGATCGATCATCATGCAGCATTACGAAAACAGAGTGATATCATTAACAGTTAGCAATCTAGAGAAACCGCCTAGAAATAAGTCGAATACTGTAAGAATCCAGAGTGATGGCATGATGAGTCAGTGGGAAGTAGACCGAACCTAGTGACTCATGCTTCGAGAACCGTCGAAACTGAGAGAGAAATGAGCGAGACAGAGAGTAGACAGATTGGAATAAAACCCATTGATAACTTTATAGACAATCAGGCTGATTAGAAAAATACATTTTTGGATCTTAGAATGATAAAGTGAGTTTGGAAATTTTTCGAGACATTTCAAAAAGTTTCATCGAATTCCATCTAAATCTATGGAGATATGTTCAAACTTCATGACTCAATTCAAAAAATCCGATAGCTTTATTCATAAATGAGTGATTTGTTGGCAGCGGCAATAGAAGTTGGTGGGCCGTCCAGGATTCCGGATGAGTCGGTTTGGTCTGCAGTGCTTGCACAACTTTGGGATCCGTTGTAAACGTTTTTCATATTTCCTATACTTGTAGACGTGGTACTATAAAAGTGAGTAGTTTTTCAGGAAACCCCAAGCTATATCTTCTACCTGGCGAAAAATAAAACATCCCATCATACAGACAGAAATCGTGAGAAAAAAGAGCATAGACGCCGCGAGAAAATATTTGAAGAGCACTGTTTTTCGAAAATACAAGACAAGTTTGTAGATTTGGAAAGTGGTGTATTTTGCTCTTTCTTCATCACTAGAGTATTGAATCGCTAATCTGTGCTTATCAATCCATTGATAATCAAAAACATAATTAGAGTTACTGATTGGATCGAAGGTGTCTTCATAGACTAGCCATCCTCCAAATGAGCAAGATATAAGAAATATAATGATGGCCAGAAGCAGAAGTACGGATCTTTTCATAATCTGAAAAATCGAAGGGTGGGTAATAACAGAAAATATAAATCGAATCAGATATCTGAAGAGTTACTGTACCCGTGAACTGGTATAATGAATAATCAAAAACATTAGTCATTAAACTTTATTATTCAAACGATAAAAGTAGAATCAGAAAAAAAACCGTTCCTCCAATATATACCGTATTTCTTCTAATAGAATTCCACCCAACCCTTTAACTTTGAACCCAATTATCTCGATTCTGGTGCAAGGTATCAAAATTTTATCAACTGATGAATCATTTATCTCAATTTCATCAGTATTTTATCAGTTGACAAATGTTTGATACCTTGCGCAAGACTTGAGATAATTTTGCTTAAAGTTTACAGTTTGGGTGGGCTCCTATTGGAGGATATTTAGTTACTACCACAGTTGCTCTAAAAAAAGAAAACAACTCTTCCGTAATTTTGTGGATCCTGGTGATCTGCAATCGATGTGCTTGGACCAACAGTCACCGTTTGATGGGAATGGATTGATTGATAGTCCTGTTCTTCCTCTTCTTCGATTGGAATCACTGTGTCCTTTGCCTTCGCCCAGTGATTCATCTTGAGATAGGTGAATTCGTGGTTTGCCGGGATTCCAGACTTCGATTCATCGAAAGCAATTGAGACTTCTGTATTTCTGTTTCTAGGGGCCGCTTCTGGGATTTCATAATCTAATCCAAGGGTAGGAACCACTGGGTAGGAAGTCCAAGGGTCATCATATTCTGTGCTTCTATATAGAGGAGTATCGTATGGTCGCTTAGGGCGTTTTTCCTAAAAAAAGTATTCTATTGGGAACCACCTTCAAAGAACTCACTTTGCAGATACACATGAAATAGACAAATATAATGTTTCCAACGGTCCAAAGAATGACACAGAGCAGAATCAGCAATTTCAGTAACAGCGGATGGCTCAGACGATCTTTAAAATGCATAGCGGCGTATACCGCTAGAATATGAAAATCATCGATTACGGTACTGTTTTCGAATGGTGCCGATTCTCCGGTTAATTTCTCATCAAGCCAGTCAATAGCCTTGAAACGACTGACTTCCGAAACGCGAGGATAGTAGATACAGAAAAGCAGAGTTCCGCCAACCAAAATGACAATCAGCATTAGGATGAAATACAGTACCAGGTATTTTTTGCCATTCATCTTCCAATAGAATAGGGTGAAAGTAGGGGGAAGAAGTAGGAAAAATAACCAAAAATGGAAAGTGCCTTCAGTTTTATAGGCTCCAGAGTGATGGTATCAATATGCAAATCAAATTGATTTCTTTCAGCCCCTCCCCCCGAAACAAAAAAGGAGATAAACTTCCCCATAAAAAAACAAGGGAGCAGGGAGAAAGAGGAGAGAACGTTGCATTTATAATTCGAGATTGATGCGCCATTGTTTTATCACCTTGGGATTTTGTATGGTTTTATGAAAATTTATATGAGAAAAGGAAACCGAATGGAATTGATCTCTGGTTGAAATTATGTTGAATCAGACGGAGCCCATATTAATAAAAAACAATTGTTATGGTATCACAATTCTTACTTTTGGAATCACGTAATTCAAGTGTAATCGTGAATATCCGATAAATCGGGTTTTTAGTTATAAGTTTTAATATTTGGAAAGATCGAATACGGTAGTACGGCTGAAAACAAAGAAGCCCAAAAATGTTTCCAACGGGTCAGCTTCTTGAAATTGTGTCACCACTACAAGCTAAATTAGCTCATATACAACCCTATGAAGCCAACCAATTTAATTTCCTTGTTACCCTATTTTCTCTAACAGAAGCTTATTGAAACTGTCAACTTTAAGCTCAATTATCTCGATTCTTGTGAAAGATATCAACATTTTTCCAACTGATACAATAATGTGATATTATGATGCATATAATCAGTAGAAAACTTTCTGATATTTCTCACAGGAATCGAGCGAAATTGAGATTACAGTTACCGGCTGGAGTATATAAGAGGGAATACGGTAGACATTCAAAAATTGATGCCCTATAATCAATTTGCTCTTCAATTCTCAGTCGCTCACTTATTTCAATCATTATCCTAATAAGTACATTAAGCAGCAAGCTCCGCCTACTTTCTTTATCTCACAGCTTCAGAATTTCTTAGCAGTCTAAGCTTAATCTCACAAACTCCGCTTTCGAAATTAGCTCGTCTTTAACCAAAAACTTTCAATTTTTCAATAAATTTCTACTCTGAAATCCCTGAAAATTAGCTTTAAAGAAATATGATGGCGCAGCTATACCGTACCAGAAAAAATACACAAAACTCAGAAAAGAACTAGAAACCTGGGGAAAAGAAGGGATTTCATCTCAATTTCAAATCTCAATGAGCAGATGGCTGTTACAAAAAAAAAATACGGAAACCGGTCACTTTTTAGAAAAAAAGGCACTAGAATGGGGGACAACGGGATTCAATTATCATTCTTACACGCATCATTTAAAGCAAGACTGGGGGAAGTGTGGGGGAGATTTTTTTCAGAAATTATTTAAAAATAGGTTTAACAGGGACAATTAGGGGAGACTTTGTATGAAGAATTGGGATTTCTCGGGAAAAGTAATAAGAATTGAAGAGCGATGCGATTCTCAAGCTTATCCATTGAGCTTCTCCTCTTCTTCTTGGATCTTGTAGACAACCTCCTGGACCGCATCATTGATAGTCTTGACATCTGATGGCTCCTCGAAGATTTCATAGCTTGCTTAGTTTCATGGTCATCGATGTCGATTTCTTCGGTTGTGTAGAGTTTCTCTCGATGGTAATGCTCCGCGTCGGAATCAACGTCCCCAGCAAAGTAGGCATTGGCAGTTTCTTCATCAAGCAAAAAGGTTTCATCCACATCGCTCTCGGATTCAGAGACTTTCTGGACCAACTCTTGGACGACATCGTTAGCAACGAGCTCCTCACCAGCCTTTGACTCGATTTCTTCAACGTCGACAGCTTCATCTGCTGTCTTCTCCTCGAAGACATCAGGCTCCGTCTTCCGGGTGAAATTCACGTACTCGTGAGACTCCTGAGTGTCGTGCTCGTGAGAATCCTGGGTGTCTACTTCGTCGATACGAGTAAGCATCATGTCGGTAGTCAATCCTCCAGCATTGTGGTTCGCAAGTTCCACAATTACATCAGTTTCTGGGACATAGCTCAGAATACGACCAATATATTCTCTTCTGCGATTTAGACGTCGAAGTCTATCGTCAATCTGTAAAACGTATACAGTTTATTTCACTATCCAAACTCTTAAAAAACTCACCGAGAGTAAGCAATACCAACAAAGCATGAAGCCAATCAAGAATGGAATGACCACGAGAACCACGATATAAATGACTACGGTAGATGTTTTGTAGGTTTCGTAGACGTGTCTTCGCAGGACCTGTCCCACGTGGCGCTTGTAGATTTCCGTGTAGTTTGTAGTGTAGAGCGTGAAATCGAAGGTGATTTCGTATCTATCAGTGTACGTCTTCAGAGTTTCGTTGTCACTCGTCTTATCTCCCATGAAGAATGGCAGATCGGTTCCCCAGCGGAATAAATCATCAGCACAATCCGAGAGAACACCTGAAGCTCTTTCGTGAAAAGAATATACTCTTATCTTTCGCCGTACCTTCAGCTTGGTAAGTTTGTTGGTCTTGAAGATGTCTGGATACGGTAACGAAGACGCATCTCCCTTCACAATACTGAAAAGTACCTTTTGCTTGAAGGCAATCAGTCTCAACCCAGTCCTCGCGCCACGTCGTCAGTTTGTATTGAATTGGTCCAGTCATCAGAACGCGGTGATCATCCTAAAATTTTATGGGTTAAATTCAAATTTTGGATTCTGACTGGATATATGTACTAGTCTTTCGTGAGGATCATGCAGCATAACGGTACGGGACACGACTTCTCGTGAGATATTCTCATTTTCAAGAATTAAAGCTACAGTGAGACCTGAGATAAAAGGGCTGGCCCTCCTATCTTTCCACGCTCTTTTTGGAGGGCCTCTCTATGAGGGGCTCCTCATCTAAAGGGGTCTTTCTATATTTCCAGGAATTTCTTCCGAATATTTTTAGTGAAAAAGCAGTTTTTAGTGACAGAACACATTTCACCGTAAAACATATATTAGAAGGGCCCATTGAATCAAAGTGTCTTCCTAGAAACCCTAAAACATAGAAGGGTCAGCCCTTCTAATACATGTTTTAGGGTAATTGTCCCATTTTATCGTTTCTGTTCGTTTAAAATTCATTTTAGCACATTTGAATATTTTTCGAAAAATAGTTTGAAAATGCCAAGGGGGTACCCCAGGGATATTTTTCTTCAAAAAGTTTTTTTCTGGAAAATCTAGAAAGCTTTTCCAGATCATAGAGGAACATTTGAAATTGTAATTACAATCAAAAAAACTTTCAAAATCTTTCACCAATCATCAATTTTATTCCTCTCAAAAATCAGAATGTAGTTTGAAAAATGATTCAAAAAAAGTTTCTCAAAGCATATGACATAAGCAGCTTATAAGTTTTCAATAAAGAAGAATGATCCCCTAAAGTTTTCAAGTTTTTTTCGAAAAAAAAATTTCGCAAAAAAAATCACCATGGGGTCCCCCCTTTGCTTTTGCCATTTCTCAGATTTTGAACCTGATTTTCTCGAAAATGGTAGCTCTTCAGCGAAAACAAAATACGTATTTGAAAAGGTCTCATTCTCAGCTTTCGAATGATATAAGTCTCATACCGAAGTTCCACCCCCGTTTACAACCTTCCCCAGTAAGGGTAATTGTCCCACATTTTTTGCTAATCTAAAAAAAACCAGAAAACTCACAAACGTTCCAGAAGTGCATCTGAAGCAGTACCGCGGTACTTGTGGAATAGCTTTTGCTTCTCGTTGCTTAATAAAAAGTGAGGCGATGAGCTTCTTGTACCAGTCCGGCTGGAAACGCTCGCTCCCAGCATCCACCTTCACCGAGCCGACGACGAGCAGGAAGAGAGTGATGAAGATTTTCAACCGCATTCTGTAAATCACGGTATTATGAGGACTTAAAGCAGCAAGAAACAAGAAAAAAGCTGAGAAATGAGCGCAAAATACGATTAAAAAAAACACAGCACCCCAAAAAAATAAAACACACATAGAACTCAAGAACACATATGAATGGTGAGACTGACACCCGGTGGGGGCTAGAGATGGAGAGGGTGCAGATGCTGTGACAAAAATTTTGAAAGGATGGACATAGAACTCCCGCCTGCTAGGGAGCTAGAGATCATGAGATTCAGGGAGAATTAGTTGACGAGTGTGTTATATGGGGGTATGGCCTAAAAAAAGAATGTTCCGAAGACCCCGAAATTTTGAATGATCAATCATCAAACAGTTCGAATGATTTGAGAACAATAAAACAAAAAATGAGTCATAATGGGATAGGCTTTCGAGAAAAACAGAGAAAAAATTTGAGGAAAAATTTAGGGAGGAAAAATTGGGGGACCGAAATTTTAGAGGGAACTGAGGGAATCAAATTCTTGGGATTTTGAAAGATAAAGGTTAGGTACAGGTAAATCGTTGCCTGGACGATCAAAAGCGACAGGAGAAATGGATCTGAAAATATTTTCAGAAAGTTGAGGAGGATTTTATAGATTTTCAAGAGCTAATGCTGAATGGATCTACCGTAATCTTTGTGGGTCTACAGTGAGAGCTCGTGGATCTACCGTAAACGCTCGTGGATCTGCCGTGATCTTTAAAGAAGTCAGGAAATTTTGAAAATTTTCCATACTTTTACAAAAATCGTGAGCTCAGCGGCCTCCGAAATTGTAGTTCTTAAAATTATTGGAACTGTAATCAGATTATTGTCATTTCAATGTTCTTGATATCGAGGTAATTGGGATTACTTTAATCAGGATCTACCGTAATCTTTGTGGGTCTATCGTGAAAGCTCGTGGATCTACCGGTAACTGTTACCGGTTTAAATATATAAGAGGGAATACGGTAGACATTCAAAAATTGATGCCCTATAATCAATTTGCTCTTCAATTCTCAGTCGCTCACTTATTTCAATCATTATCCTAATAAGTACATTAAGCAGCAAGCTCCGCCTACTTTCTTTATCTCACAGCTTCAGAATTTCTTAGCAGTCTAAGCTTAATCTCACAAACTCCGCTTTCGAAATTAGCTCGTCTTTAACCAAAAACTTTCAATTTTTCAATAAATTTCTACTCTGAAATCCCTGAAAATTAGCTTTAAAGAAATATGATGGCGCAGCTATACCGTACCAGAAAAAATACACAAAACTCAGAAAAGAACTAGAAACCTGGGGAAAAGAAGGGATTTCATCTCAATTTCAAATCTCAATGAGCAGATGGCTGTTACAAAAAAAAAATACGGAAACCGGTCACTTTTTAGAAAAAAAGGCACTAGAATGGGGGACAACGGGATTCAATTATCATTCTTACACGCATCATTTAAAGCAAGACTGGGGGAAGTGTGGGGGAGATTTTTTTCAGAAATTATTTAAAAATAGGTTTAACAGGGACAATTAGGGGAGACTTTGTATGAAGAATTGGGATTTCTCTTAAATATATAAGAGGGAATACGGTAGACATTCAAAAATTGATGCCCTATAATCAATTTGCTCTTCAATTCTCAGTCGCTCACTTATTTTAATCCTTATCTTAATAAGTACATTAAGCAGCAATCTCGGGCTCGTTGATCGACCGTCATCTGAAACAGATTTAGGAACTTTTGAAGTTTTAACATGCTGATTTGTGCTGGAAATATAGTACCCCAAGGCGTTCAAGAACATATTTCACAAAAATCGGGCCTGTAATCAAATATCCGCCTTTTCAACACATTTGAAACCAACAGGAATTAAGGAAATGTACATTTTTCAAGTTTCACAGTTTCGAAGTATAAAAATGCAGTTTTCTTTCTGCTAATAGTCCATTTTTCAATGCCTGAAATTTTTAAGATGCTCTTTTATCAACTCGAAAGGCATTAAGACGGTCCGTTACAAGCTTCAAACACCGAAAACGGTCCCTTTCATGACTCAAAATCTTAAAACAGCACCTAGGACGCCTTCCAATCGTTCAGAACTGCAAAAGCCTAATTTTCCTGCGAGAAAAACACAAAAAAAAACTGTGCAACATCAAAACGTATGATTTTTTGGCTGTGTAAAGTTTGTCTTCTGATTGTTTGCAAAACAATTATCGAGTTGTTTTTAGCCCCACTGTTTCTAATGCCCTGTGAACTTTTATAATTGTTTTTGAGCGTCTTCTGCAACATTTGAGAAATTTATAAGGGGTTACTGTAGTTATTATCATATTTCCAGGTTAATATTACATGTACCCATCCTCTAAAAAATCCCGAGCTTATTTACGGAAGTCCGTATTGATAAGATATCATCATTTTGTACCTCTTCTGATTGGAATCGACCCGCTAATCTCATATCCTCCATCTCTAAATTTGCATCTTCTCGACCGCTTCATTCCATGTCTTCTTCTCCATCTATCCCATTGCGCACCCCTAATTTCTCCTCTTCTTCTCATTTTCTCTAAGTCTCTCCCATTTTCCCACTCTCTCGCCTATTGACCTTCCTTTGCGTAGTTTCTTGTGCGCAACCACTTGCTAAACATTGCCCCTCTTTTCCTCATATTATTACTCCCCCCCTCGGCCTGGCCTAGGTTTCTCTTCTCAATGGAGCGACTTCGGCCACGCGAATTTATTCATTTTTCCACAATTTTTCTCGTTTTCTTGTTAATTTGAAACAAAAATCACAAAATTTTTTGTTATCAGATATGACGTCCACGGTTTTGGCACAAATCACAGATGAACTTGGCACGAATCTATCGTCAGACCGGGAATTACACCTCATCAAATCGGCACATCGGATAATCGACAAAAATCTGAATTTGACAGTGTTAACGGATCGAAATGATACTGTAAGTGTTTGAATTAGCAGAAATATACGACGAAGACGCTTTAGAAAGAGAGGAATTATCGATTTTCTTGCAGTACCACCGATATGTGCACCGATTGATGAACATAACGTTTTTGAGTTTGGAAAAATCAAATGCAGACATCCGATTAGCTGCCGAAGCGTATTTCGAACATATTTTGAAGGTACATCTCAACGTTTCGCTCCTAAAATTAAATTACCAGTCTTCAGGCTTACGAATGCTATGGATACCCTGAAACATCGCTGAAGTTGCTGGCCATGAGCATCGAGAGGCTAACTGGAGCTCGACAAGTGACAAAAGTCATCAAATATCTTTCTTACTACCTGGATATTTTGCCAAGACAACGAACTCCTGAAAAATCGGGCCGCACTTTTCACCAAGAAGTCGTCAAAACCTTAATCCTTCGAAGTTTGGACATAGATCAAACCATATGTCACCAGGCACTGGAGAAGTCGTGTGATAAACTAATATCAGCGGTGATTTGGCAAATGGTGGACCTAAAAGTAAGATTCAAATAGAATTTTGGTAAAAAACGGAGAATTTTTCCAGGAAATCGCCGAGAAGACTCTTCAAAAGCTTTGGAACTCCAGAGGTCACGCTTCGAGAACAATGGCGGCCTTGTTAGGAGCTGTGATGGATGCGTCAGGAGAAACATTTAAATTAGTACGTGTTCCCGATCTGTTTGAATCTTGCGATCGAAAAATTGTTTGTGAAAAAACTTTAACGTCGGCATCTCCATGGCTCTTAGTCCATGATGCCGACGTTAAAGTTTTCGCCGGACGACCAAGTGGTCGTCCGGCGAATAGCAAATAGCGGCCCGATCCGGCGAATGGCGCTGAAAACTTGACAAAACGGCTAAAATCAGGCCATTATGCCGCGCCTAGTCGTTTTTCCCTACTAGCGCAATGATTCTGTGATGAAATGAATATTTCAGACCTTCCACTTTCATCTCGAAAAAGTCATCGACCAGTTTGTGAGCAATAAGCCAGTACCTGTTGGAGCTATCAGTTTGATCAAACGGTGTTTCGGACAATACGCAAAAGGGATTTCTCAGGAAACCCTTCAAGGAGTCAGTGAATCTATCTGTAACTTGAAAAAAAGCAAGACAATTTTTCAGTCAACCGAAATGCTGCTTTTGATGATACGAGACTCGTCGAATGAAGTTGCTTATGATGCCTTCGCAGCGCTAGAAGAGCTACTCAAAGCCGATTGTTCACAACTGGCTGGATTCGTACCTGGAAGGTTCTTGAGAAGGCTTCATGGTTCGACAACGTCGGAGTCGGAAGAAGTAAGTAATCTATAACTGCTGCTTCTATGGCGGCCTCCGCCACTCCTGGGAGGTTGGTCAGATTTCGGCCAAGACCTCAACCAAAGCCATAATAACAAAGATTCATCTTATTTATTAGTATACCGACTTTCAACTTACAACCGAAATGTCGTCATGGCCCGGTATACAGCCCCGATAAACAGTTTCTGAGCAAGTTCCAACCATAAAATGGCCAAAATCTGTCAAAGTCCCTAAACTTCCGACTAGAAGCCATCATCCCACAGCCGAATTGCAACTCAAGAATTCATTTTTCAGGCTCCGGATCCGTCCGAATTCGTGGATCCACTGATGAACGCGGATCTTTACGAAGAGCTCCAAGAAACGCTGCCACCACCAAAAGTGGATCTTTTCCTCGAGGCATTTGCTAAAATCACAGACGAATCGTCATCAGTAAATCACTACGCTGCTGCATTCCTCGGCAAACATTACCTTTTGACTGGCCATGGAAGACTACTGAAGACCGATCGGCAGTCAAAAGACTCGATGAAGATTTTGGCGATCCGAGTTCTGAATGTCATATGTGCACAAGAGCCGTTGAATAAATTCATAGTGAAAATAGGTAAGTAATCGTAGTGAAAGGTATTATAAGTAGAAAAAGTTTTAGGAGATAAATCGCAGCATCTAATAGACATAATCGAGTACTCAACATCAAGTGATGACCAATTATCGCAGCAAGCCATCAAATTGATGTTTTTGGAGCTGAAACGTGGTGTTGACTTTGGAGGTATGAGTGGTAGTAAAAAACCACGAAACATCAGGAATATAGTTACGAACCAAGAAAGATAAAATAAATCGCGCCGAAGGCGCACCAGACATCTTTTGAAGCTTTCAAAGTTCGGCAATAAGGCTGATATAAGTGAAAAATCCTAAAATATTGGATTTTGGCTTCTCTGTCTTATGAATAGTGACAAAATTCGGCTTCAAAATTTCAAAAAAAGAAAAAATATCAATTTTCAGGCCTCGACTGTCTTGCTGTCTTCAAATCTGTCAAGAAATACCGATACCTTCTGGAATCCGTCACTATAGACCACATGGACCATTTGCACGGAACAGAACTACTAGAATTTCTGGAAATTATGGCTTTCCGGTCTCTTCACACTGCTCATTACGACTTGGGAATCCCGGAAATTACTAGCGCGTGCAGTTTTATGGGAGTGATAAGAGATTGGATGATGACACGTGGCATCAAGGATAAGAAGTACAAGGATATGATCATTCGATTTCAGGATTTTCTGAAAATTTGTGAGTTTTATTTTTCATTTCAGTGAACGACAGGATTAATTTCAGGTATCAATGAATGCTGGAACTTGCCAAGATTCGTCAGCGCTGTCCCATCTTTTTTGACTCCATTCGGAAAAGATGTGCCTATTGATGACCAGTATCCACCATCTCTACCACTTCGTATGAATTTGCTAACAGTGAAAAGGCCCACAGAACGAGGGCATGATTTACAACCAAATAACTATGACGATTGGAGAGGTTGCCTTTTAGCTGAAGCGTCCATGGTAAGCTTATGAGCTTGAAAATATATATTCCATCGGTTTTTACAGCCAACCATCATCAAAATGAAAGCGATTCTACGGGAAAACATAGTCAGTGCAGAATACATGAGTGCCAATGAAACGCAATGGAGTAGAATGCAATGGAATTCCGATGTTCTTCCACCAATCCTCCAGCTGATGGCAATTTCACTAGCCGATGACCCTTCTCCTGAAGACTGCTATCACGGGTTCCACGTAGGAATGTCAATTTTGAATTGGGTTTATCGGAACGTGTTTATTGTGAGAGGAGCTGCAGAGACGAAGGAGTTTCCGTTCCTGCAGCATTCTAGAATTGAAATGGACAATGTGTTGGGAAATAGAGCGGAATTTCGAGCGTTGTTAGATGCGTACTATGTAAGTGTTGTTTTCTAAGCGGCTCCGGGATGTTTTGCAACTGCACGTTTCGCAGCTAAGGCGTCTCCCAGTCGCTATTGTTTTTCAAAAAAGTCAAAAAATTTAAGGTTGCAAATGTCTTTTTATAGTTTTTGCTTGCTGTTTCATTTGTTATTTTTCATTCAAAACAGTCGTTGACGAATGTAAAGGGAAAAATAGACGGCCTGGAGTTCATAACCAATGTTAAACATGATAAATAACTGAGAAATGGCAACGAAACATCATGAAAAATACAATTTTAACCCGAAATTCTGTTACTTGAAACAATAGTGTCTGCAAAACGTCCTAGCTACGAAACGACTCAGCTGCGAAAAGTATCATTCTGGAGCCACAGAAGCTTGTAATGATAATCTTATTTTTCAGAAAACCGTTCAAAGTGCAGCGGACGAGAAGTTGGAGCAGTTGCTGACGCCTACAGTGAATATGATGATGGCAGCCATGGAGAGAGACTTCAAAACTTCTACTGACAACGTTCTGGAGATTATTGCATACATCAAGGTATTCAAGACCCCACTCTGAAAAATCCCGACTTTTCTACATCACCTTTACTTCAGACTCTTTTCACACTCTCATCAATATCCGCCTTGAAGCTTCTTCATGCTCTTCTGCGAAGTCTTCTGAACCCGAAACTAATCGAGTCGCTCACCAGAGGAAAGGTGTTCTATTTTGAATCATCGAACACGAAGACGTTTTCGGAAAAGGATGAGTATCTAGTGGAAGCTATCAAATGCAAAGGCGACAAATATTTTAATCATTGGGGAGAAGACATGGACGTGGAGAATGTGAGAATGGGAGCCATGACAGAGGAAATTATGGAGCAGCTTGAGCCACTGATCACTCAGAGTTTGAAATGCTTTCGATTCCGAGGAAACCCTGAGAAGGAGCAAGTTCTACAAATCATGATTTGCCTGATGAATCATAAACTGAAATTGTCGGATGCCGATCCAACAGATTGCTTGATGAAACTTGCAGTGTCGACGTTTGCCAGACCAGAAGAGTGTATAGATCCTCAATTATTTGAGACGGTAAAAAGAGCAAAGTGGGGCGAAAGTGAAATTCAAAAAAAATTTCTTCCAGCTGATGCACTTCCTGGCAACTGCGACAAGATTCCAAGTCGAGGAGAGGTATCAAAAGCCAATCACCGCGGCGACAATGTTAATGAAAGCTATCGGAAAACTGTCAGAAGCTAGCGTACATTGCGGTTAGTCAGATTTAATGAAACTCTTTCTGATTGATTGAAGATTTCAGCTATGAAAGCAGTCAGTTTTGCGGTGCACAATGGAAGGTTCGAAGGGAGAGATGTAGACGAGTTGCTGAAGACACCGCAGACAACCTGGAATCGATGTATGAGCTTCGCGCCAACAGAGACGTTGTACACGCTGTCGTTGTTGTTGGAGAAGAATGGGTAAGATTTATTTGAGAAAATCATAAAAACAATCAGAAAATAGGAAAAAACCTCATTAGTTGCTCAAAGGAGTGCACATCCCGACTGTACTCCCATCTTTCCGACCTGTACCTTAGATAAAGTCCCATCATTGGTTGACGGCTCCTCTCTTCAAATGAGGTTTTGCTTTGTCATTCAAATGAGATGAAATCATATCGACACAAAAGAGAAACTATTGCAAAAATCAATATTCTTCAAAATTAGTGGAATCTGATTAACAAAAAAACATCGTAATTCAAAAATGGGATCGCGGCAAATGTGATGGGATCATAATCTGAAAAATGGGGTCACGGTTTTCCTGTTGCGACCGCTTTCATGGTGAAACACAGAGGAACCTCTTTGAGAGCTGTGAACCCATCATGGGACCGAGGGTCCCAACTAGGAACCTCTCTTCAGTGAGAGACCAGAACCTGAAGCGCTCTTGTGCGTTAAACTCAGTTTAAAGTCTTTCGAAATCGTCGAATCAACTATAATTTCTCACATCTTGCTAAATTTTACACGTCTGTATGCGATTTTCATCGAAAGTGATGATTTTACAACGAGCAACTTTTGATCCGGTTGCCCACGGCTGGAATAACAAAAGAGCCTGGGAAAATTGGGTTCTGTTACAGACCAATCACATGTTTAGATTGACTTTATGCCGTAACTATAGTAAAAGGTGATGAAATACTAATTAAACTGACATGGCTGCCAAAATCATTCACTTATAACTTTTACCTTTTTTTCAGCTCCACCATCAAAAACAAAGAACTATTTTGGACTACGCTCTCTAAGTGGCTCGAGCAAAACCATGGAAATGACCGAAACGTACCATTTCCCGCCATCGCTTTCCCGGTCACCATCTTGTCGGACTACTTGTTGAGTGATGAAGTGAACCTGTTCGAAAAAATGGATCAGTGGCTCGTAAACGGAAATACTTCAAATATTCAAGGCAGATGTATATTCATCGCTGCACTCTATTTCTCGAGAGAAAAAGATCGGGACTGGAGAAGGTGGGTCTTGTTTCTGTTGAATTTGTCAAGTAAAAAAATCTAAAACTACTTCCAGGTATCTCAAATATGTCCTAGAAAATGGAAAAGGGTCCCAAGCAGCCGAGTACTTACTGGATTATGCCGACCGAGAGCTCATAGAGGAGATAACCGAAGAAGATTTGTACGATCCAAAGCTAGAAGGCGGTATCAATGACTTGGTTGTTGAAAGGTTGAGGGATCAGCATTTCTGTGGATCTTATCAAGACTTATGTCATTCCATAATCTGTCTTGGAGAAGCATCTGTGCTAGATTTCATTGATATTGTCGAGAAGGAGTGGCCATACGATGACTGGATGTGGGCATTGTTAGTGTCGGAGTTCCAAAGATTGGATGGTAAGAGAACATGGTTTTTTTGTAATTTAAAAACATCCGATATTCAGATGACCCTGAGCACCGGCTGGATCTCACGTATCGCCTTCAAGACTTGGCAGAATCTCTTGCTGAGCGATTCAATAGTGACGTCTATCTAAAATTTCTAGCTAACACTGAGGTGAGCGGCTTCAAATACCTATGATTGTTTAAAATCATTTTCCAGAACGCCGGATTAGATCTCAGCTGCTTGAACATGACTCAAGTTAAGTTTATCCTTGACCAAGCTACCCCAGGATGCCTTGACAAGGGATATGTCCTTCGAGGAGTTCGTAATTTGATCTACCACCCAAGAATGGCACAACTGATAGCGGAAGATGAGCTAGGAACTGCTAAAATGTTGATGAAGCTGGCAGAAAACGTATCTGGAATCCCTGTGAACAACGCGCTATTGGCGTCTTATAGCCAGTATAGAGTGGATTTTCACGTGAAAGGCGAGATGGATGACCGGCGAGTAAGAGAGATCAAGAAACTGACACAATCCATATTTGCGATCAGCCAAGAAGTAAACTTGAGAAATCCAAAAAAGCTGCCGAAGGCTCTTGCAGGTATTTTCTTTTAATCGTTGCTGACTTTATGTGATTTCCTTCTTTTCAGCTTGCTTCCGCCACCCCATACTGAACTCGATTTTCAATATCCCAATAGTTGCGATGAAATGTTTCAACTGGATTCCTGTTGTAGAGATTCTGAGAAAACCATCTATCACCTGCCTCCCACCAACAGGGCATGTGTGCGATGTTATTGTGCTAGATGACATGAGAAACCGCCTCCGGAAGGTTGGATTCGTTACGAATGCCCAGTTCGAAGTGCTCTTCACCACTATGCAAGCAGTCATTGCTCACACGGTGATAGGACCCGAAAAGCTGGACCATGACACCAAAGACGCAATGGAAAGAGAAGAACGGAGCTGTAATGCATTGCAAATGTACATTGCTACGATTTTAAACTCGATGAAGTATCCAATTGGAGGAGATCCGTATTCTGGATTCGTGCTCAAGTCGCCGTATACATCCGAGTTGTTCCTTAAGAGCTCCGAGTTTGCGCATTTGTGTAATTTGAAGAGTGCCTGGAAGTGTGAACCACGTACGGCGTTCACGACACCGCTAGAGAGACATGATCAGTTGAAGTGGAGAAAGGTGAGATTTTCGTTCGATTGAAAGGAGAAAAAAAGCGGATATTTGAATGACCTTGTTATCTCCTGGGTATAAGGTCTTGTTATTCAAAAAAAATGGGAGAAGCGTGTAAAGAATATCCCAACAACATTGATTTTGATTAAACAGTGTCGAAATTCGGAAAATGAAGCCTGAAATCTTGGAATTCAAACAAACGTGAGTCAAAATACACCTAAATCCTTCAAAAATCGTCTAGAACACCAGCCAAAGCGACTAACCCTTAAAACTATTCAAAATGTTTGCGCGCACAGAGCGAGATAGCGGAGTGTCGTTGCTTGGGTGATGGAAACCATTAGAATAGTTCTAAGAATACTTGTCCCGATCAAAGACGCATTGACAGACCTTTCACTCTCAGAAATTTCAGTGCGATGGGAAAACTGAACGCTACGGAATCTGCCAAACGCCGCTCTTCTCACTATGGCAGCTGTGTGGGATGATGCCCATCGAATTCAAACAACATGCAAACTATCATGTGAGCTTTTTTCAGTTAAAAGTAGAGGGACATAAAAAAATAATTTCCTAAGCGGATATATGAATGACCTTGTTATCTCTTGGGTATAAGGTCTTGTTATTCAAAAAAAAAAATAGGAGAAGCATGTAAAGAGAATTATACTTGCCAACGAACCCATCTCGGGCCGGCACGCTTCAAAATTAAAATTATCAACAAAACAACATACCAAATGACAGAGCTATGCAAGCTCAACAACCTCTAATAAGAATGAGCCGACTTCAAGAACGGTATTCTGGTCCGGGCCCGGCGAAATCGTCGCTCTCCTAGCTCTATCATTTGGTATGTTGTTTTGCTTACAACTTAAATATGGAAGCGAGTTATCAGCCGGCTGCCCGGAATTGGCCTGTCGACAAGCATTCTTCAAATGCCGTTTATATATGCGCCCCTTCATAGATTGAAATTGTGGGCTTGCCGATAGAGGTGCCGCGCCGCTACCGACTGAGATACATTGGCGCAAGTTGCGTTGTCGACCGATGCCATATAAGTAAGCGGTACGATAGATAAGCAATGTGTGAACACTTATCACTTCACACCGTCACGTCAAAATGCATGCCGTAACTTCATAAAAGTTCAGAAAAATCTCCTGTATTCCTTCTTTTGAAAATCTAAACTCCAAATTCCAGAGAATCGACCACAGTGCCAGCAACTACTTCTTGACATCCGCTACAAACATTGACACGATATCCAATGTGAAGCAATTGATGAACATATTTGAGTATTGGTACAGTCAAGGGATTGATGAGCTTGGCGAGAACCTTCTCTACACAATTCTCCAGTCGATTTTACATCTATCTGACTTTTTCGATGACCCAGATCTACATAAGGCGGTACTCAGAACAACTTCAATCATATATAGACGCGGTGAGAATCAATTGAACAGCAAAAACTAAAGTTTATTTTTTCAGAGTACGACCTGAACCCACTCCTTGCTTCTTATGTTTATATAATGTTTTTGAAATCTATATCAGTTCTTGGAGCAGACATGAATGGACTTGAATTGAAACCAGGAGAGCTTGAAGCCATTACAATGAAACTTGTGATAGCAGGATTGGGACATACAAAAAAGGTTGTCAGGATTCACACCCTTGCTGGGTTACTGTACCTGGTGCAATCGGATTCTTATGAATCATTCATGCCATCAATCGATTTGTTGTCGACATGCTTGGAGCGATATCTGAAAAAACTGGCTAATGGGACAAGGTATCGAGTTTTTATCAAAACAAGTATATTTTGAATTTTTAGCAAAGTCCAAACCGATGAAACGCAATTCGTTCTTGCTCTAGTCGTCAAGCTTCTGGAAGTTCCCATACGCTTGAAACAAGACAAAAAGACACTCCTGAAGTTGTTGCTAGCCGCAATGCGTGTGAGAAAAGATCGATTTATCATTGAGCTTATCGCAGAGGGAATCGAGCAGTTGTTGTGTAGATCAAATGAATTCAATGGGAATGTCATCAACTTTTTATTGGGTCAGTCGATTTTTGCAAAATTGAAGATGTGAACGTTTTGTTTATTCAGCTGGAATCGAATCACCAGAGCCAATTCCATTCCCACTGGACCATCCATACTATTGTCGTGCAGTCTATCGGATTCTAATGGTTGCTGCCACAAGAGCTAAAGTCGCAAATGATGAGATGTCGATGACTAGAATCTACAAAGCTCTACAGAAACTGTAAGCGTGTAAACCACATCTGGAAAGTGTTACCAATTCATTTTTCAGCGGATTTGACTTGTTGAAACGTCGGTCCTGCTGCCCTGCAATCACAAGAACTCTTCCGTTTTTCTCAATTTGTATCAATGGAGTAGAAAACACAATTGCCAGCTACATTGAGGCATTTATGGTCAATGGTAACAATATCCAAGCTAGACATGGAATGAGTTTGATGAATCAGGTATTCTTATTATCAAATTGAGAAGAAACCAGTCAATTTACCGCTCCTCTGGCGCTTCAAACAGCTGGATGGTGCGCCTTCCGCGCGAATCAACTTATGGTCAGGTCCACGTCAATTAATAATGAATTTTCATGCTTTTCGAAAATCGTGTTAATTGACAGAGAGATAAAAAGTGAAAGCGACGCAACTTCATGTGTTTAGTATAAAAATGATAAAACACTTTTGAATTTCAGATTGTCGAAACAGCAGCAACATCGAAGAAATGGACTGTCGAGTTGAAAGCGGTTCGAGAAAAGATGCAATCGAAACGAGAATCACTTGATGAACATAATCAACTACTTTTGAATATTCTGTGCAGCAAATTGATAGATTAGATGTATTCCCTCATTTATAGGATGATAACTAACTAACGGTTGTGATATGCAAGCATTTATGATCTCAGCTTCTAAATTGTGATGCTTAATTTTTCAAAATGAAGAAACAGTGCTAGGAAATTTATTAATCGATTGATATCAGGTGAGAGAATGTTTGTGAGTTGCAGAAAATTGAATTATTGTTTTTGAAAGAAGTTGGCAGTAATATGGAAAAAAAAGTTCTGGAAAAAGGGATAGAAAACACATCGGAAATTAACTGCGGTATATTAATTAATAAAGCTCCAAAAAATCATTGAGAAACTACAAAACTGGTGATATCTAAGATTACAGAGAAGGCGACAAAAAAGGCTCAAACTACGAAACAGGGGAAAAAGGCGAAAAACAAGCTCAAGATCTAAAAAATATCATATCCACTAGCGATTCATTCAAGAGCATCTTCAAAGTCGTCGTCCTCCTCTTCTTGCTCCATTTTCTGACTTGTGCATGGACGTTTTGCAGTAATTGAGAAATAATCGCGGGACTGTGTATAGTGGCGTTTTCTTCCATTCATTGAGACTCCTGCCGAGGCTTCTTCCCTAAAAATAGTTCTAGTAAAAATCTGTTCTTCATTAAGATAATACTTTCAGCAAAAACTGTCGGCTCTATTCAAGGAGAACGGTCCCTAGGTGGGCCCAAGTTGGGATGGCTCTTATACGATATGAGAGACACAATCCATGAGGACAATTCAGAAGGTTATGTCAGGTTGGGACTGTTGTCTCAGCGCTGGGTTATGACATTGGGGATCGTGATCGGAACCTTAGGACCGTGATGTGAACATTAGCAAATCGTTTAGATTATCTGGGTGAAAATGGGACCAGCGGTCTCACCTTGGGACAGTTTTTCCCAGAAAGAGCCGAGCTGCCATAGTCTATCGAATGATTTTAGTTCCACCTTTTTAAAACCTCAAGCGATTTAACTCTTCAAACTCACTTTGGTGGGCTAGGTTTGTAACCATCCATCTTCGAAATAGCCATCATGAGTTGATCCTGAGTAAAACCTTCTGGAAGACTTAGAGCTTTAGCGAGGCATGTGGATTCCTCCTTGGTACGCTGTTTCAAGACAATATCCGGGATAGCTATCTGCTGGATACACTCGCTCGCAAATTTAGCTTCCTCTCTGAATAATGAGCATTTTTAATTTTTCGAAGCATGGAACATACTTTATTTGGATTCTCTGTTGTTTTTGTCTCCGCAATTGGATTATTTTTCGTTGAATAGATGAAATGTCAAAGTGGACGTTGTGCTTCTTACGATGAATCTAGAATTATCAACGTTTCAGCGAAATTAGTAAGAAGTTGTGAGTCTTACAGATAACTGCACACTGATAAGCTCTGGTTTGTTCGGAACAGGACCCAAATATACTTTCAGGTCTCTGTTGCCCAGGTACTTGAACATTGGAGAAATCATTGAGCATTTAAGTTCGCTGGGACAATTTTCGAATCCTCTGGAAAAAGTAATTGAAAATTGAGTTGATGAAATTTGGGAAACCAACTTTCTGATGAATGTCTTCAAATCCCGTCGCCTCAAACTTTCAGCTAAAATGGCTTGCGATTTGATTGGGATCGTTTGTGTTAAACGGCATATGTTTCGAATTTTCACGTTTCTTTCGTGGTCAATAACGTGGTCAGCAAATCTGGTAGGGTTGTAGAACTCCTTCTTGCATTCACAGCAAACAATAGGATCTTTCTGAAAGATATGATTCTTAAAAATCATTTCTGACAGAAAAAATCGCTCACCGTTGCATCAACAATAAATTTCGCTGTGTGAAACATAGAAACGCCTTTTGCAGTTTTAGAGCATTGTGGAATACTTTCCTCGTCATCCTCTTCAACCTTCTCAACCTTCTCTGGTGCAACAATCTGAAGACTGTGTGAACTTTTGATTAGTGCATCGATGAAGGTGGCACGAATGTTTTTCTTTGCGTTGGCAAGTTGAGCGAGTTTTTCCATGCTGTAAAATTTGATGGTCCAGTTTATGAAGCAGGAAATGAAAAAGAAAATATCGACTGCACTTCTTGGGCGCTGTTCGAGACGAATGTAAGAATGTGTAAAACCGAGAAAATGTTCGGAAAAACCAAAGGAAAACTAAAAAGATCTTTACAATCATTATTCGCTTTGGATGAAAGAAATTGTGAGAAATTGAGAAATTAATAGTTTTTGTAGATTTTTTTAAATTAGGAAGTAGGTCAGCCCTTTCGCAATAACAAAAACGGACTTACACATATTAATACATGTTTTAATTCGAGCCAGAACAAAATTAAAACTGATATTCAATGACTATATTGTTATCTACACCAAAAAATATAATTGCTGTATTTTAATCGTGAGGAAATTCAAAACACTGTTTTACGTAGAAAATATTTTTTGAAAAATCATTTTTTCCACAAAAAATAGCATGGGATCGGTCGCAAAACAATTCAATAATTGGTTAAAATCACTAGCGCGACTGTGAAAGTGCGCGTTCGCAATAGAGCGCGTTTGCGTTTGTCCGCGGAACAGGAAAGTATACGAGGAGAGAATGGGGAATGGCTCTTATCGTATGAATGTGGGTATGTATACTGCTCACTGTGTGAATTGGAAGATGATGGAAAATTCTAGTTAAGAAAAAAAATCACCATTCACGGAGTTAATGTGTCGTCTTGATTTTTTTATGGAACCTCGGAATACGGAACAACTTCGAAAAAAGATTTCAAAAGAAAAAAACTGTGTATCGGCAAAATAAAATCATGTTATTTATCTGATCGTAGCGGGACCATTCCAATCTCTGAAACTATCGCCAAAAATTGTTGTTCCTGTAGGTCAGCGGCGCAATTTTCGCAACCATATCTGTCACATCAGCTGCCAGCAACTCGACACCTCTATCGGTGAGCTCTCAAATTCAAGTCTTCATGTTTTTCATTTTTTGATCGCTGTACATTAATCCGTGTTCTGTCCTTCAAGCTACATATCCGTTAGCAAATATTCAAAAAACTGATCTGTGATTCGAAGTTGAGATTTGTAAAGTCCTCAGTAATGGATTCGTTATAGGCACAATACCTAGCTGACACCTAAACGTATCCGTTCGGATTCCACCTGTGTATCTGATCTTTTTTATTATCATTGCCATTAATACACGTAAACCTGATTCTAAGCTTCGATTTTACCACAGTACCAATGTTTTTTTTTCTTCTATTACATCACCTCAGACCCCTGAATGAATATATCATAGCTTGGCACTCCGCTCTTCTGCTTCAATTTCCTTTTTTGGCGCCGTCACGACACCAACGATGCGAAGGGGAACATATGAAGACGATAGAGCAGATGGGAGCCGATAAACCATGGAGATTCCCACAGAATCGCGTTGTTTCCAAGGACAACGTGCTGCATATTCGGCTCAGTGCGCACTCAAAAATTTAGTTATTCTCTTTTAAAAACAATATGAGGCAATTGATTTTGTTCCAATTTGGCTTGAATGTCTAAAAGGTCTCACACCTTTGACGTTTCTTACAATTTTCATTATCTCAAATGCCATCTTTTCTTTTTTGAGGAAATTCCAAAGTTTTCAAAACCGTTCCATCTTTCGCTAGCTGTCCGTTGGACGGCGAAGGTCATTTACATCAGCCGGCGACGATTAAAAAATAGGATTCGTTCTCACATAGACACTATGAGGAGTTCATGGAGTGAAACTTTTGCAATGTTGTGAACCTGAACAAGTTTGATGATAATTATCTTATATTTTGCTTTCGTGGCTTTCTTAAAGGCTCCGCAGTTCCTCCCTTCTAATCAAAACATACAATTAAAACTGTACTAATCTTCTAAGAAATCCAATTTGGGCTCAAGAAGCTTTTTTGAATGTCAATTCGTATGAAAATCAATCTTGGAAAAGGTACCTACTATACGAATTTTGTGCGGAAAGGATTAGATTGAAAATGGCATTTTCAGGACTACAAAATCTTATTTTTCTATTTTTTGTAATTCTAAAACTTCACTTTACGTTTATTTCTGTAGGTTTTAGAATGAAGAATAGAGAGAATGCAGTAATGTCAGGTTACTGATACATTCTGAGAGCTCTAGCCAAAATCCCAATTCTGCGGTCCCGATTTCATAATTTACAGAGTAAAAATACCCTAAACTAGTTGTTTTTACCTAACTTCCCAAAATAATCATTGATTTCTCACTGGGATTTACATTTCTCCTATACAGTAGCCCACATTAACATTTTCTTTTTTCCTTGTCTTCAATCACGTTCGTGTTCCTCTTCGTCTTCCTCTTCCAAACATTTTTCTTCGTCTCTGCCTCCGTCCTTGTCCTCTTTTTTTCCTCATCGTCATTTCAAACGCCTTCCATGTTCTCCGTCTCTTACGTTTCTCGCGACGTCGTGCTCTCACACTTCATCTCACGCGCATTTCTGCACGACACCAGAAGCTATAGATTTCCAATATCTCGAGCGGCGAATTTTCAGCTCTCTCCTTTTCTCTTTAAAGTTGCACACTGCTTTGTTCGACATATCTACCGGGAGGTGACGTATTCCGATATTTTTTTCCAGTCGTGGTCTAGAAAATATAATTTCTTTTTTTCAAAATTGTTATCAACCTTAGTAGTTTTTGCAAAACTTGATTTCTCAACCATATTACAATTTGTCAGTTCCCCAGCATCATAGGCTTACAGACTTTCAATATTCATTGAATTTCTTGCTCTGTTATTTTTTTTCTTTCATGGCTCAAGTTTTGCCGATTAACTTATCAATGATTATAAATCCAGTTTCTCTGTTTTTTTCCAGTTATCAAATATTCTGCTCCTTTGATCTGTTTTTCAAAATGGGCTCAAACCGAGTGTATAAACTCAATTTTTAGTGGTCAGCATGTTTTCGACGCAATCGTGTTATCATTAATTTTTCTACGGGTAAAATAATTGATATGCTCACCTGATAATGCTCACCATTTCTGTTTTCTCTGTTTTCTTAAATAACAGAGACGCTTTGAATTTCCTCTCTCGGGAAATAAATTCTTAACTATTCACATGTTATGAAATAATCTTTCTTTTGCTTCTGAATTTTTCAAATAGTATTGAATCTGAAGCTACATCATGAATCTGAAGCTACAGTATCCTTTCCTATCTCTAAGTCGCATCTCTGTTTTTTAGCTCAAGAACGGCTTGTGTGCTTTGGTGCCCACGCTATATTTCAAGCGTTTCTGCATAGCAACTGGGTGCGGCAAAAGTTCTGTTACCACGATTTGACTCAAGCTGGCGCGCTCTGACGCACTTTTCGTGCATTGATTTTATGTTTGTATTTTTCCCAGTCTCTTCATTGGTGATTGTGCAAAGTTTCATGTTCCTAGCTCAATTTTTACAAAAATGGCACTACTTTCTGTACCTCTGCGAGACACTGTTCCGCTTAGAAGCAAAACTCAATTCTAAAAATTATCATGTATAGGCACAATGCCCTTGGCTATCAAACAGTAATGGTATGTTGATTCTCTGGGCAGCAAATTCTCAGCAAACCATGACTTTTGGAGAAATCACTTCAAATGAGAAAAAACCACTGTTTTCGGTGGAGGTAGGTCTGAAAGTCTACCAAGAAGACTACTTCTAGTAAAAATCATACTGTCTAATTTATTGTCTAACTTTCCAAAGCAAATTGAGACTTCCTAGAAAGATGTAGCCCCTGCTGAGACGGCAAAACGCGTTCAACAGGAGTTCCAAGCCAATTTCTCCAATTCGGTCGAAAAAGGATGGCCTGTCTCTAGTCAGGTCACAATCCGATTGGGATTTCCGTACATAGAACTCTTTAAGCAAATGTTCAAATTTGATTTAACACGCTTTTGGATGCTCTCGAACAAATTCCTTCCGCGGAATTGCATCATTTGCCAGCAGATCACCCCCATGCCATTATAAACTTTACTCGAAGACATTGAGCCCCGCCATCAGAAACAGAGCTGTCAGAAGCCAACAACTATGATCTAATTTCGTCACAAATCTCTTTAATAAAGTCCTGTTGAAATTTGAAGCTGATTCGACTATTTTTCGAGAAGTTATGACGTTTTCTTTTGGTAACAGAACTTTTGCCGCACCCTGTATACTCTCTCTTCTTTTGTTTTACTTGTCTGTCTCATTCTGTCCTTTTTCCTCACACTTCCTCTCTCATCTAGTTTCTGACTAGATGCTATGGTTTCGTGAGTATTGCTATCTCTCTATATTGCTCCTGCTCTAACAATTCTTTCAGCAACTAGAGTGCTTTCGAATTTCACATTCTCTGCTCGTTTTATTCGTCGTCTCGCAGCTCAGAGTCAGACGCGCTTCTGCACAGCGCCACCATCGTATGGATTTTCAATAAAACTGCTTCGAGCTACAGTAGTCTCACTGCTTCTTTTTTGTCTTCTACGTCGTATTTGTTGTTTCTTTACTCTTCATTTGCTGCTCAATTTAGTTTCTCTGTCACCGACATCGTTGTCGTCGGGCTCGCATGTCCCTGTCCTCCATGGCGCCGGCTCTCTATCCGACGTGCATTCGGCAGAGCGCCATGGGTTCTTTTCCTTTTTCAGAGCGCCTTCATTTTGATTTCGTGTTTCCGAGAATGTTCCAGATTTTGTTGGAGAGGTAGTTTTGGAAATTGCTATTTTGCGAATCTTTGATTCATGCATAGCACACTCTCCCACAGAACATTTCCGAACTGCAAATTAATTTTTGATCTACAGAAAAAAAGTTTGGCGCGATCACAATTGCAGGTCTAAAACCATATATTCTGAATTTTTTATCTGATTTTGTGGAGTTCCAAGATGATTCAAATGATTTTTAAAAAATTAATTAGTGGTTATAGATTCATGTATGGTCGTTTTCCGGAAGAAAAAATTTTCAAAAAAGGTCATTTTGAAAGTTTTTTACAGAAAAAAATCTATCTCCCCTTTCAGTTTTTGACATTTCTAGGAGTTCTAAAAACTTTTTTTCGTCTGCGCGTCTGAGTTCTAAAAACTTTTTTTATAATTCAAAAACCTCATGAAATTGCACAAAATAGCATTTTTGAGTTTTTTTTTTGATTATAAAAAAATTTATCAGACAAATTAAAAATTCGTCCATAGAAAATGTAGAGAAAATAATTGCGGTTTTTTTGAGATATAGAACTCCTAGAAATGTCAAAAACTGAAAGAGGAGATAGATTTTTTCTGTAAAAAACTTTCAAAAATTACCATTTTTGACATATTTTTCTTCCGGAAAACGACCATACATGAATCTATAACCACTAATTAATTTATTAAGAATCATTTGAATCATCTTGGAACTCCACAAAATCAGATAAAAAATTCTGAAATTATGGTTTTAGACCTGCAACTGTGATCGCGCCAAAATTTATTTCTGTAGATCAAAAATTAATTTGTAGTACGGAATTGTTCTGTGGGAGAGCGTGCATAGTTTAACTACTCGTTCTGAAACCAGATGTAGCAGGTACCGTACTTTCTCTGATAGAGCCCACCCTACGCATTTTAGCTCGAATATTTCTGTTCCTATGAGAGATATCAGAAATATGTCAACTGATAAATTATGGCGATATTATGATAAATAATCTATCTGTTGAAAACTTAAAGATACAATTTGAAGGAATCGAGATAATTGAGCTCTTTTATTGAAGAAAAAGGTATACGTCACTTTGAATTCCACCCAAATAGCTCCAAAAAAATCCATTCACATTAGCCTCACCGGTCCCCCACAAAAACGACTTCTCGTCATTCATCGCCTCCGCTCTAGAAAGTCGTAATTTCTCCATTCTCCCTAACGTCTTCAGCCAACTACGGTAGTCACAAGACAATCTCTTTCTCTCCGACTGTTCTCTAGCTTCTCTGGTCTCTAACTCAGAGTTCGCTGTCGGTGTTTGTGCTTCTGGTCCCCATTCTGCCTACATGGACACATTATCCGACGCGCATTCAGCCAACACCACGAATTTGCGATTTATTGACTTTCTTCATATTTTCTAATTTTTTCAGCAAGTCGCATTTTCCCTAATTCAAAATTCGAATTTTCAGAAACGTGAACAATCTGCCTAAAACTATGGCTCAACCGAACGACAAGTTCTTTGCTGACGAATGTCCTGAATCGAAGGCTCGTATTGAGACCGAATGGCTTGTTCGTTATCCGGACGCAATGGAGAGAATCATTGCCAGCCAATCTGAGATCACCGAGTTGGGGCAGCGCGAACAAAAGCTGCTCACGGTACTGGATAGCTTGAAACAAGCAGGAAAGGCTTCGAGCAAATATGCTCAGGAAATCTTCAGCGACTTGCTTCAATGCAAGTCCGACCTGGTTGTTTTCAAACATGTAAGATATTGTGGTTCTGGAAACTTCAGCTAAAAATTTTTATTTGCAGTTGATCGGCAAGTGGGTTGAGGCAATGAAGATGGCTAAGCCAACGAAGGGAGCCTCTGATGATGCTGTCACCAGTTCGCCATCAAGTTCTAGCCACGGATCATCATCAAAGAACAGTGAATCTGCTGGTTTGGAAGCCAATACCCCACGGATGCCCTATGTATTTGGAGCGCTAAAAAGTGGTGCTAAAGATGATGAACCCATGGATGCATTCAGGCGTGAATGGTTGCTGATGCAACCGCAGACGTCTAAATATCCTAATCAAGTGAGTAGATGTTTGAAGATTAATCAACAAAGTTTTCAAATTTTTCCAGGAGTGCTCCAGGACCGGCTCTGGATCGATGAAGGCTTACCAGGAGGAGAAACGTCGGGTTATGAAGGAAAAAGCTGAGCAGAAGGAGCAGCGTCGGATTGTGAAGGAGAGAACTGCGCAAGAAATCGGAAATGTAGAAAAACACTATCAGCAGAAGTATCTCCACAACACCCATAGGGATCGAGAGATTCTGAAGGCGTTCGGACACAAGAATCCGGAGATGTTGAGCTATGAAGACATAGGCAAGATGGTGAACACCATCAAGGAGAAGACAAATATGAAGACAATGGAAGTTCAAGCTCTAGGAGAGCAACTTATTGCTGAGGTAGGCATGTGTATTTTTAATTTTCAGTTGATTTCCGGTCATTTTGACCATTTTTAGCAGGTTTTACCTTCTCCAAAATTTTCAAGGTGTTCAGAACCTTGATAGTAGAGCTCCAGACTTCTGAAATTGGTCAAACTTGCCGAAAACCAACTGAAAAAAGCATTTTTGTATATTTCATTGGTCTGTTCCGTGTATAGTGATAGTTTTAGTTTTCAGAGAGACTTGAAGAATCGCAAACGCCTTATAAAAGAATGGGAAGAGTTGCTCGAAACGGTTCATGCTGATAAAATGGTCCCGCTTCTCGACAATCTCGGTGACACAATAATGAAAACTGAGAGGATGAAACATGAGATGGAAAACCTCAAGTTGGCAGAGCGTTTGGATGAGGCTACAAAGTACCGTAAGCTGGCTCTGGCTGCCAGTGAGAAAAGCAAGAAGTGCGAGGACCTTCTGAAGGCTTTGATGTCGGAAGCCGAAGAACTTGACAATATCATGAAACAGATGCGTGCTTGTTCTGTTACCATGGAGCCGCCACGTCACTACATGCCATGCAACGTACTCTGCAGTGGTGCAATCTCGTTGCATCCATCAATGAAGAAAACCAACGAGTTTGTCAGAAAGGGACCGATGGATGATCAATTGGAAAAGTGGACGGCAATTAATGGTGGTTATACGCCAACTAATGACTACTATAGACCATCCTACTACTTGCCAAGAGATGTATACCAGCAAGCAAAAGCTTCGTGTGCTGGGCCAGTTGAAGCTCCAATCTTCAAAGGACCATTTTACAAGGCTCCAGTAGCCGAAGTGCCATTGGTGAAGTCGCAAGAGTTGGCCGAAGAGCCTTTGGTCAACGCCCCAGCCGCCGACATCCCAAAAATCCAAGTCGATCCAATTGTGGCAGATGTTGGATATAAGCTTTCTCTCAAAAAATTGTGCATGGAGGAGGTAAGAGAAAAATGTGTGTTCTCGGAATATTGAATTAAAAATTTTCAGGTGCGCAAGAATCAAGACAAGAATCAAGGCAAGAAAGACGTGCTGCAAGAAATAATCAGAGAGTCTACCATGAAACATGTGAGTCTCAAATTTTAAATCACACTACTCGCAATTCAATTTTCAGGCTGCTGATCTAACCGATCACTTTCGTGCTCTTCTGGCTTACAAAGCTTCTGCGAAGTTGACCGACGCTGAGCTCAGGTCGATCAGAGAAGATCTGGTGAGAATCAATAAGAATTTATTTTATAATGTAAATCTGAGACTTCAGGAGTCTGGAGACTACGAGCGTGCCGCTGCCGCTATGGGCAACATGGTCGCTCACTACGAGAAGCTTAAGAAAATGAAGAAATAAATCTCAACCATTGTTTCTCTGTACATTTTCTCTTGTACTTTTTTTCCCCTGTACAATTTTCTCTGTACATGAAATGCAAATTCATTTGGCTTATTTTCCGCTACTGACTTTTTGAATGAAGCTTAGAACTCGCATTTAATAACTTAGGTTGAAAAAAGCGAATGAAGTGAACGCAATCGAGAAATACTTAAATTTGAAGAAAAATATATGTTCAGTTCTAGTCATAAATATATGGAAAAACGTGTTTTCCAGTTGATGTTGACCATTTTTAGAAGTCTTCAGCTCGGCTGTCAAGTGTCCTATCACCTGGAAATTATTGGAAAGTATAAAACAGATCGAGATTTAACAGCTTGCGTTTACAGAACTTTTTGAAAAATTATAGTTTATCCGTGATTTGCCGATTTTTGAAGGACATCTTTTTTTCAGTTTTTGTGCTGAAAACGGTGAAAAAAGCAAGTGTCCTTCAGAAATCGGCAAATTACTGAAAACCTGTTACTGCAAAGATTTTCATCTAGGTCTGTTTTACACCCTTCAAAATTTTCAAAGTGATCGGAAACTTAAAAACCGGCCAGAACTGTATATAATTATTCTACTGTTTTTTTGCAAGTTTCAAATATCCTATAATCGCGTGACCTCCTTCACGGCCGTATTCAAAAAGAAGAGAACTGGTTTCCCTGCCTGTCCATCTGCCCACATTCATCTTATTTGATAGTCTTCTTTCTTTTTTTATTCCTTGTTTTCTTTTAAAAGAACCCTATATATTTCTCTGACCTAGATTCTCACCGACTAACACCTATCGCAATGTATACCTTTCTCATATATTTTGAAATTGTTCTATTTTACTCAATTGAAACCAGAACCCATAATTTTCATTCTCCGGGCTGGGTCAAAATTTCAAAATTTGAAAGTTTTGAAACTGTCGAAAAAGAAAAAGTTTGAAGATTTCAGAGGGGAAAGATTCAAGAGGAAATTTTACACTTTTTGTTTGAAACTTTCCTGGAGCACGTATCCGCCAAATTTATTCAAAGGCTCCTTATTTTTGCAACGACACTCCGTTATCCCTTCGCATCTTACGAACAGATGTGTCTTTTCTTTGTGCTGTCCATCACACCACCCTAGTGCTTGGAACCGCACACTGGGGTCAACAAGAAGGCAGAATTCTTTGTTGGATGGCCAGTAATACTATTCTCTGCGTCTCTTCTGTTCTCATTCTCTTTGCACAGAGGCAGGGTGTATACCACAGCCCTCCCCTCCACATGTCATGTTTCGTTTCTCTTCTCTTCCTCTTCTCTTTCTCCTTCCTCTTTCTTCCACTCACTCTTTTTCTCACATTTCTAGTCAATATTTCTCAATTTTCGACCCCCTATTGCTGACGACGGTGATTGTGAACTTCATAAGATAGCAGGACTCACTCTTTTCTTCTCTTTTTCGTTTAAGGCTGCTGTCAATTTTTTAAAGAACGTTGTCCGTTGTTATTCAAGCTTTTTTGTCTTTTTTCAAATTTTCGCTATCGATTTTTTTCTGAATTTATTATTTTCAGGCAGCCAATTGGTCCACAAGTCTACCAACAATGTCTCGAGGACATGGAAAGGTAATATCATTCAAAACGTATAAAAAATTTCAATCTTATTTTTCAGCCAACCGAAATAACTCCCCTGGAGATCCATATTAATAAGCTGTTAGAGGTGAGTTTTGATAATTTTCAAAATTTTTTAAAAATTAGTTTTTCAGAATGTGCGAACTGACCAACAATATCAACACGTGAGTCTACTTTTTTTGTTTCCTAATAATTTGAAAGAAAAGAAAAGAACAGGCGAATCTGGGACGGTCCTTATTGGGGGATTATAGAAAAAAGCGCCGTCATTAAATGGCTATTAGAGCAGATGGGTCGAGGTGCTCAGGCAGGAACGATGGTTCGGTAGTCCTTTGATTTGAAAAGGTCCATATGCCATAATCATGGGCAGGGATGTTTGAAACGAAACTCGGTGTTTCAAATATTCCAAGCATCAGAGAAAAAATTAGAATGAAATTCCAGTCAGAATATTTCTGAAGTTTTTTTCGGATTTAGAGATTTCAGGACTACGGTATGTCAAATGTGCACTATAACAATTTTCTTGTGGGCCTCGAACATAAATACCTTTCATATTTTTGCGCCGTCAAAATTTTCTCATCAATTTAACCAGTTTTCAGCGTTTTTGTGATGAGAAAATATAATTTTTCCTTCAAAATTTGAATTTTTAGAACATCCGATATTCCGTCCCTGAAATTTCAAAACCGGACTATTGAGGTTTTGGAATTTCAATTTTACAATTTTTGTAATATTCCAAAATTTCGAATTTCAAATAAAAGCGATTTCGTAATTCTCTGGCGACGTCTGGCTACTCTTCATATATAATTTTTTTTACAGATATCATTAGAATTGTTCACGGAATGGGTTATTGATTTTTGCGTAAGTTCAATGTCAAACTTTGAGAATAGTAACGACCAAGGCTTTTTCAGAATGAACAAGACACCGAATACGGCGATTGGGGCAATGAAGAACTATTCGGAGAATATGTCGTGAGTTGCATTTTCACCGGCTGGGCTTTGTTGATGCACGGCACAATTTTATATAAATTACTTTGGCAAAAAAAAACGTCATTCAGAATTTGAGTATTCTGGGAAACGAGAAAAATATCAATATTCAAAGTTTCTTACAGGATGATCAATTAGCACGTCTCAATAGAGTGACAGCGACAGATGTCGGAAATGTTCGTTTGTTTCCGAATGAGATCGACTTCCTTCTGGTGAGTTATGAGCATCTTGAAATGCTTAAAACATCAAAATACTCAAACCTTGAATAAAAAACGTCTAAATTTTAAAACCCAAAAATTATACTGATGCCATACTAGTTATGCCATACTAAAAATCTTACAGGCTCAAGAATTGGTCAAACTGATCGGCGTAGATGCAGGATCTCCAGCGGTGAGTGCTAGCATATGTTTTTACCCGTACTTTAACCTTAGTTCACCGTAGTTTATTAGAGGATTCCGAAATCGCCACACTCAAGTTATGCCGCTTTCAGAATAATCCATCATCTTCGACAGTGATTTTTACTGACAAAGATGTGGGTTTAATTTTTGACTGTCTAACTTTTTTGTGGTTAACGTTAGAATATAATCCTCAGTGACCGAAATATTAGGTTGGCAGGAAAGAAACTGTCCCTTGTTTTATTTGTGAATAATACAAAAGCAGGATTAATCCAAGATTAGCAGTATGCACCGTCGTGGTCCACGACATGTTGGCAATGTTCTGATAACTTGTGGATACAATACCTTCAAAAGCCAGCTAGCCACGAATCAAAGTATTCATTTCTTCCTGTTTTTCACATAAATGGTGCAAATTTTCGATTCTCTAGATGAGGTTGTATCTCTCCGAATATTCAATAATCTCATAGAGCTCAGTCGGGACTATAAGTAAGTAAGGGAGAACGGTCCCGCTGAAGCTGCTCAGGTCTGACTTGACTTCAGGTAAAAAATGAAAAAACCTCATGTTCACGGAAAGTCACGACGTACCTGAGCCGCATTGGCTGGATGGTTCTCCTTTACCCCCGTTAAAGACCTGATTCAGCTCTATCAGATCATTAGTTAATCAAAAGTATACGACGTCATCTGGAGCTTAAGGACTTTAACACAATTGATGCCTGAAAAAATGGACTGGAGGGATACTTTGACTTGCCACTAGCTGGCTTTTGGAGGGATGGTACCCACAAGTTACCTGAACATTGCCAACATGTTGTGGATCACGACGGTGTATATTGCAAATTCTGGATTATTCTGGTGTTTGTGTTATTTACTAATAAAAAAAATGGACAGTTACTTTCCTGCCAACCAAATAGTTAAGTATACCTGAAAAGTATATTTTGCAGTGGGATTTGGCCAACGCCTTGGCTTCCATTCGACAACCTAAGGTTCGACAAACTAGAAGAAGAAGAAGAACGGCCCCACACCGAGTGAGTTTGTTTTCTTACATTTCAGGTTCTTTGATTCTCGCATTTTTATCAAAAATCATTTTTCAAATGATCTATCTTTTCAGGCTGCCAACTTGCGTGTACCAACGCAACCTCTAGTGACACCGACCCCAGTTGCGCCTTTGGTTATACTCGCGAGGCCCCCAATCCCCCACCAAGAAGCTCCCATTCTTCGAGGAATGCTCACTCAGGGAGCTCCTGCTCCAGGAACGGTTCTCTTCGTTCCTGCAGCATCTACATCGCAGCCCGGCCCATCAGCCCCAGGTCAACATTCTCCAGGAACGGTCCTCGTTGGTGCAGCATGGAGATCTCAGCCGGGCCCATCAGCCCCAGCTCAACCTGCACCGGCTCGCCGTGGTCGAGCTCAAAAACTAGACGCAGTTGTGGACCGAATTTCCTCTCGACTCGTTCCAGCCGCTGATAGAACTTTCACAGCTCCTGAAGCTCCAGCCGCTCTTCCAGATGCTGTTGCTCCAGAAGTTCCAATCAAGGAAGAAGAGCCAGAAGATGTTCCAGCATCGCTTGAACCAGAAGCTCCAGCCGCTCTTCCAGAGCCTCTTCCTCTACAAGCTCCAATTAAAGAAGAAGCTCCAGCCGCTCTTCCAGAGGCTCTTCTTCTACAAGCTCCAATTAAAGAAGAAGAACCAGAGGCTTTTCTTCTACAAGCTCAAATTAAAGAAGAACCAGAGACTCTTCCAGATTTTCTAGAGGATCCAAATGCTGATCTAGAACCCCTTGAGCCTGATGAACTAGCCGCTCTTCGAGAGGATGCATATGCTGATCTACTTCCCTATGACCCAGAAGAATTTGCGGCTCTCCCAGAGGATCATGCTCCTGAAGCGATCGCTGCTCCAGAGGCAGATGCTCCAATAGAGGCAGATGCTCCAGTTGTTCCAATTCAAGAAGAGGATTCGATTCAAGCTGCGACAGCAGCTCGTGAACAAGAAGAAGATTTTTCCGAGGATTCGGAAGTTTTCGGTTCCATGGTTTTTCGAAATGAGGATCACTATAAAACGGTGGGTACAATTTTTGTTGAATCAACGTGTTTGAAAACGTTCTAAAGAATATAATGAGAAACATTGCAACTTTTAGCCTGGATGGGAACTTCCACCCGCGGAGGATTCAGAAGACAAGCAGGAGGCGGCAATTCAACCATCGGTGAGTTGGAAAGTTGTTTGAGAATTTGAAAATGAGATATTACTTAGAAAAGAAACGGATATGATTCACAAAAATAATCTTCATCAATTTCAGCAGACTCGCTCTTCAACTCCAGCAGCTCCTATTCAAGGAGCTCTAGTCCAAGCACCAGCAGCAGCAGGACCAGCAGCTGCACCAGTAGCTGCACCAGCAACGCCAGAACCTGCAGCACCCGCCACACCAGCAGCCACTCCTCAAAGAAAAAGAGGTCGAAAGCCGGTTAGTTACAGTATCATCTTATTTATGGAACCAGAAAATATGCTACAAAGAAAATTATAAAATCTGTATTCTTTCAGAAGAGCTGGGCAGTTGCACCAACTCCAGCTACACCAGCCACACCAGCAGCCACACCTCAAAGAAAGAGAGGACGCAAACCGGTTAGTCACAGTTTCACCTCATTTATGGAACCAAAAGATTATATTCTACAAAGAAAATTATAAAAACTGTATTCTTGCAGAAAAGCCAGGCTGCTGCACCAACGCCAGCAGCTCCTCCTGTGAAGCGGGGACGTCCCAAGAAGACAAAAGAGGAGGAAAGCGAGCTGCAGGATGTAAGAACTCTAAACAATTTGAAAAAATCTCAAAAATATTTTAGTGCTTTGTATGCCCCGGGTGCAAACTTCCGGCTGGTCTCACTGGCAAGAAGGAGTCGACGGACTATCGGTGCGGGTGGTGCCTTTGCTGGTATCATGCAAAGCACACCACCTGGACCGAATGGCCCAAGTACGAAGGGCAATACTGGTGTGCGAATTGCGACAAGCTTCCTGACGACGACGGGAGCCGAAAACTGAGAAAGAGGGTTAGTTTTTTGAGTTTTTCAGAATAAAGCTCTAGTAAAAATCTGAAACAAATTACAGAAGGCTACCGAGCCGCCGCGCCGTTCTGCTCAAATCAGAGGTTTCGACAACGTGAGTTACCTCAAATATTTGTGTGAAAGTAATTTGAGTATTCAGCTTTCGAAGTATTCTACTAAGAGGAAGAAGGAAGTGGAGGAGGACGATGATGAAGAAGAAGTAAAGGTTACTCCAAAAAGAAGAAAGGTGAGTCTTATTGACTAAAAGTAGATAAATTGCTAACAACCGTTCTTTGCAGACCACTGCCACCACCAAGAGGAGTCAACGTCGCCAATAGTGTTGTTCCGATGTTTCTCCAGTTTCTTTCTCTGCCCTTCTCTGCATTTCAACTAGCCGTGGGATCTCCAGAAAACAGAAAACAGTTCGGGTTCTTCTGCTCTTCTGCTCTTTTTCTGCTCTTCTGTTCCTCTGTTCTTCTACTAATGTGCAGTCTTTTCATACTGGTCCCTCTCGTCAATTCTCATTTTCATACTTTTTTTCAGACTCTCCCTGTAAGACCATCCTTTTAAGCTCACCGTTTCTGTCCAAGACCTTCCCTTTAAAGTGCTCTCCTCCTCGAATCTAGAACTTTAGAACATTGCTACAAGTTCTTCTATCGCTCTCGCCCCATTTCATGTTTCATTTTTTCTGCTTTACTTTTCAAGATCCAAGAATTCTTCCGAAAAAATACCAATATCTCTCTTAAAATCATTTTGTTTTCCTGTGAAAAACTGCATTTCTCATTTCCCTAATCTCATCACAGTGATTTTTACTAATTTTCGCCCCCAACCTGTTTCAACGTTTCCATGTCATTATTTTGCCAACTCTTCGTCCCAACGATCCCAAGTCCTTTTTTCCTGAACTTTCAATAATTTATCGAACTTATTTCAACAATAAAAAGAAATAATGATACAAAATATATCTATTCATTAATGATCAAACAAAATCGACATCATTCGAGAATAACAGTTCCAAATATCGTCTGGCGTATTCCAATGAGGATGTACTCACCCAAAAACGTCTCAGTTTACTCTGAGGAATCCAAGATACTCTAAGAAAAACCAAAACCGTCACTTTTAGGCCCATATATTTCATTTCCTGCAAAACATACCAAAAAATGATCAATTGGCAAAATGTTTATCATAAAGTCACTGAAATTTTCTCAGAAGGCAACTTTTCCACAATTCTCATAGAAACTGAGATAATTAAGATTAAATGTGCACCTTGCGCCATCGTAGATCAACTGATAGCGACACAGCATCTCCGACGTGAGATTTACAATTTTTTTTCCAGTTCAGGGAACTTATCTGAAAGTATCGGAAAGTCTGCAAACTACTTTTGCTCTGGATGCAGTGTGTGTACCACAGCGCTCTATTGCGCATATGGTATAATGGTTTTCCCCCTCTCTACTTCTCTCTAACTCTCCGCCTTCCTACTCGCTCTCTCTTACTCGGCACAGTTACCCTCCAAGCTATTTTGAAGGTACCCCCCTCCCAAGCAACGACACTCCGCATATCCCGCTCTGCGCGCGAACACAATTTGAATTCGTTTTTAGTGTTGATTGCGAGCTGTTGCTTGGGCTCGGGTTTCTAGAGACTCCGTTAAGAACTTTAAGTTGTTTTGGTTGATTTCTAGGCTTTAATACTTGTTTGTTTCAATTTAAGCCGGTTTTCATAACAGTAAATATATTATTGTGATATTGATTAACAGGAACCTGATACCCCGGACAGACCGTGGGCGATTTCTTCTTCTCTCATTTCTAGTCAGTTATGCTCAATTTTCGATCCCTATTGCTGACAGATGGGAACTTCAAATGCAGCACTCACTTTTCTCTTATTTTCAATTTTTTTAAGATTGCGGTCACGCTTCTCAGAACTTGTTAGAACTTCGGCCCTTGTCATTTTTTTTTCTACTCGCTATCGATTTTTTTTTTCAATTTATTATTTTTCAGGCGGCCAATTGATCCACGAGTCTATCAAACATGTCTGGAGGGCATGTCAAAATAGTCGTTTTCGCATATTGAATTCTACATAGTTTTTCTGAATTGTATGAAGTTTAATTTTTCAGCTGCACATGCTGGCTTTAAAAAACCATCCTAGTTGTTCTACTGCAGAAGGAAGGATGCTGATGATTGGAAACCAACATCAAGTGAGTTTTTGTTCTCGGATTTTCTTTGATTCCAGCAACTTAGAAGAATTAGACAACATTTCTCCTTTCAGATGGTCAATGCGAATGTTTTGTTCGTACCACCATCACCAACTCCAGCGATACTGGTCCCAGCTGTTGGCTCTATTCCCTCCGTGGAAGCCCCTCTCCCCCACCAAGAAGCACTTTCACTTTCGGGGATGCTTACTCAGGGAACTCCAGCTCAACCGGCTCCAGGAGATGCAGCGCTTGTTCTTCCAGCAATCACAGCTCGTTCTCGTCCAGCAACTGCTATTCCACGCGTCGCAGCTTGCCATGGTCGACGTCAAAACCTTCAAGCAATTCTAGATCGGCTTTCTGCTCGACTCGCTGCAGCCGCTGTTCAAAAGCCTATTGTTTTAGGAGCTCAATATGTTGCTCCAGTTGCCCTTAACCCAGAAGCTTCTGCCGAGGTTCCAAAGGGTCTTTCTCCAGAAGCTCCAGCCGCTGTTCAGAAGCCTTTTTCTCCAAAAGCTCCATCTGCTGATCCAGCTCCCTTCGAGCCAGAAGCTACTGCCGCAGCTCCAGTCAGAGAAGAAGCGCCAAAGGCTGTTCCTGATCCTCTTGCGCCAAAGGGTTTTATTCAAGCTGCAGCATCTCCAGTAAGAACTTTGGAGAACGAAATTAAACAGGTTCGTTTCAGATTTTTCTTTAGACTTACACTAACTACAAAAATAAAATAAAACAAAACATAATTCCAGCGTGAGCGAGAAGTCAAATTTTCGGAGGATACAGGAGTTTTTGAGCCAGAAGTAACTGTTGAGCAGGAGGAGACAATTCAACCATCGGTAAGTTGAATGGTTTCTTAAGAGCTGGAAATGAGATCTTACTTGGAGATCTTACTTGCATACGGATATTAATCAAAAATAGAATCAACATGAATTTCAGGACACTCGCTCTCCATCTCCGGAAATTTCGGTTCAAGAAGATTCTGTCCATGAAAGAGAGCGAACGCCGGTTCTTCGTCCAGCAGAAGCACCAGAAACACCAGCAAAACCAGCAGGACCGGAAGGACCAGTAGGAACAGCAGGGCCAGCAGGACCAGCAGGACCAGTAGGACCAGTAGGATCAGCAGAACCAACAGGACCAGCAGGACCAACTGGACCAGCATCACCAGCAGCTGCACCAGCAACACCATCAAAATCAGCAGGACCAGTAGGAGCAGCAGGAAAGGCAGGACAAACATCACCAGCAGCTGCACCAGCAACACCATCAAAATCAGCAGGACCAATAAGAACAGCAGGGCCTGTAGGAACAACAGGACCAACAGGACCAGCATCACCAGCAGCTGAACCAGCAACACCAGCAGGATCAGAATCACTAGCAGCTGCACCAGAAACACCAGCAGAACCAAGCACACAAGCAGCACCTGCAGCACAAGCAACGCTAGCAGCCCCAGCCGCACCAGCCACACCAGCAGTCACTCCTCAGAGAAAGAGCGGACGCAAGCCGGTTAGTAACAGTTTCATTTCATATATGGACCCAAAAGTTGATATGCGTTACGAAGAAAATATGTTTTGAAATCTATATTTTGCAGCAGACCAAGAGAGCTGCATCAACTCCAGCTGCTTCTGCTGTGAAGCGCGGACGTCAAAATAAGGAGGCGAAAATAGAGGAGGAAAGTGAATTGCAAGACGTAAGTTATAAATATTTTGACGGAATTTAAAAAATCGATATTTAGTGCTTTGTATGCCCCGGTTGCAAACTCCCGGCTAGTCTCACTGGCAAGAAGAAGTCGACGGACTATCGGTGCGGGTGGTGTCTTTGCTGGTATCATGCAAAGCACACCACCTGGACCGAATTCCCCGGGTTCAAGGATAATTATTGGTGCGCAAATTGTGACAAGCTTCCAGACGACGACGGTAGCCGGAAACAACGGAAGAGAGTTAGTTTTTTAAATTCATTCCAAGCAATTTTCACATGGATCTAAATAAAAATCGAATGAAAAAAAAAACGTAACTCTAAATAAAAATTTGCAACAAATTACAGAAGGACACCGAGCCGAAGCGCCGTTCTGCTCAAATTAGAGCTTTTGATAAAGTGAGTTGTCTTCAATCTTTGTGTTTAAAAATTTGAGTTTTCAGTTGTCGAGATATTCTACTGTCAGCCGGAAGAAGACCAGGGACGACGATGAAGAAGAGGAGTCCACTCCAAAGAGAAGAAAGGTGAGTCTTATTGACTAAAAGTAGATAAATTGCTAACAACCGTTAATTGCAGACCACTGCCACCCCCAAGAGAAGCCAACGGCGTCAATAATTCTCGATTCCTTTGTGTCCCCAGTTTCTCCAGCTTTCTCTGCCATTCTTTGCTTCTCCACTGGCTTTCAATCTCCCAGAAACAGTTCAGGTTTCCTGAATATTCTTCTGTTTTTCCCGACCATTCCCTCGAACTCTCTTTTTCCGACATTATTACCCTTCACTCAAGATGTTCATTTCAGGCCTTTCCCAATCTATAACTTTCGAAAACTTTCCCATGTTCAAACTTACATCGCTCTGACTCCGTAGACTATTTATTTCGTGTCTTTTTCCAGCCTTGCTTTTAAATCCAAAAAAATAGCAAAACCCAAAAAAATAGCAAATCGTTGTTTTCCAGTGAAAAACTGCATTTATTTTTTATTTTTTTTTCTCTCTCTCTCTTATTTCCATGTCTTTATTTTGCCAACCCCCCCCCCCCCCCCCCCAAAGATCCCAAGTGTTTTTTTTTGAGCTTGCAACAATGAATCGATGTTCCTAATAAAAAAGAAAAAACACAGAATATATCTAAACTATTCATTAATGATCAAACCAAATCGACATCATTCGAGAATAACCGTTCCAAATACCGCCTGGCGCATTCCAACGATGATGTGTTCACCCAGAAGACTCGTAGATTACCCATATTTGTGACCGAGAGCAGTGTGTATTTTCGATCTCTGGAAATTGAGAAGATGGGGTTTAGAAATGTTGAATTAGTCGGTTTCAGTGGGAAGGGGTCAAAACTAAGCGTGTGATCTTACTAGTTGTTTGCGGAATCTCTGAATTTCAGACATACGGATACAACCTTGGAATTTGTATTCGACGACCACTTTCATTCTAAAATGGCACTCAGAGAAGAGACTAACTTTGAAACTTAAAGAACTCATGTCAAAGTCAAAGATATAAAAAAGCTGCCAACTGATAAATTAATTGACATAATATCGTTAATATTCTATCAGCTAACAATTTTCTGATATATTGCATGAGAGCCGGGATAAATCAGCTCAAACTTGTCAGTATGGGTACTCTCCTTACAGGTTTTACGGTAAATCAAAAGTTACGCCCTGCTAGAGTTTTCTATTTCAGATTCTTCAGAAAATCATTTTCTTATCAGACAATAACCATGTACATCTGTTGTGCATGCTCTAGAACTTATAGATAATTTACCGAACAAATTGAACGATATGTTTCCGGAAAATCTCCTTCCTCGGATCCTTCATCTCTTTGGGAAGATGATATTCAATGTTAATTTGACAAACTGTGATCCCCGCCTTATCCAGAGTACCATCCTTTGCCAAATGTGCCATCATATCATACTCTCCTCCGTCTCCCTCGAAAATCAAGTAGTCAATGATATCTTTCCGTATGAGGTTCTTAAAGAAGATATCAATTCCAATGTGGTTGACAAATTTCGATGAAACTCGTTCTGAATATTTTTAAGCTTATATGACTGACTGAACTGAGTTATAGTTAGAGAATTACCAGTTGAATATTTCAGTGTTGCCTGCTTCAATCCAGTCTCATTACCAACTGCGAATGGGAAGAAGATACCAATAGGAGAATATATTTGCGAGTTTTCCATGAAAACTGGATCAGCTCCGTAGAATTCCGAGTCCTGGAAATGAAGAAATTCAAAGGATAGTCTATTATCGCTTTCCGAAATACCGGTGATAATCGCTTTTTGAAATATCTCTCGATAGAAACATTGGCCCCAATTCCAACTCTCACAAATGTCGCAGATGTGTCCGATGGGGATGGCATAAAGAATTTGAGAGCTGTACCAACAACAGTTTCAGGTTCCATATGCCATAAATCAGTTTTCGATCGGCATTTATCTGCATAGGATCCCAATTTGTGCCAGAGCTAAATTTCATCACTTGATCTATCCAGAAAAGCAAATCTTACATGATCGAAATTCTCGCCGGTATCTTCATCCACTTCCTTGTGTTTCTTCTCTGCTTGACTAACCAACCACTTCAAATAACTAAACTGTGGATCCTCAGGATCCATGTCATCCAGTGACAACTGATGATCATCAAGCACTTCTCTCATGCAAGTCCTCCATTTCAAAAATGCTAATCGCAACATTCGCAACTCTTCGGTTATCGAGAAATCTGGTTCCGCATTGTTTTTGTTCTAAAAAATTAATTTCCATTTTTTCATGAAAAATCGTTTGAACGGAACGGTTAGATAATTGGTAGACTTTTCCAAAAAAGGTCTGTCTGGCTGACCGGCGTCACTTTTGGAATGGATGAATGTGAAGATAAGGGAACTTGCCTGTGCTGTCAGAAGATCTCCTTGGTTTTTGGAATGGATTGAGATGTTCACTAGAAATAATACGATGACCAATGAGCATAACGAAATTGAGGTACGGTAGCGGCGGAGGAATACGGATATCTGAAAAAAAGGATTGAACATTTTCCTGGAAATCATTGGAACGAAATACTGCAAATGCGCTAATATAAGTCCACGCTATCCGTACACTTTGAGCTCAACTATGTCGTTTCCTTCAAAAGATATCAATGATTTGTCAATTGATAAAATGTTTGTCATAATATTATCACAATTTTATCAGTTGACAAAATTGTACCTGTAGTTTGAAAAAAAAGACAAATTTACATTGTTATCGTTAGCAATTTTAATAAGCAACCTTTTAGGAGGAACTAGGATTGATCATATTAAAAATTCGAAGATGCCTTTCGTCTATTGTGATATAGCCGAAGTATCATAGTTGTAAATATTCCGTTGATAAAAAACGTTTTCAATAATTTTCTGGACTTTGTTCGTTGGCATAAGAACACCGCTAACTTTGGGTCCATCTATCTCATTTTCTCGGAAAGGTATCAAAAAATAGTCAATTGACAAAATGTTTTTAATATTATGGTTAACATTTCATCAGTTGACAACTTTTCTAAATCTTTCACAGGAAACGAGATATACGGCTTAAATTCGACAGTTTAGATAAGGGGGGTATGACCAAAAAATTATTTTTTGGGAAATTCAGATTGATGTTAATGTCAAAAAATTCATTATGTTGCCAAAACTCAATTTTTGGAATTTTTAGGCTAATAGTATGTCGCGAAAACTCATAATATGGCTCAAAAATTAATTTTTGGAGTACTAAATCTGAAGCGTATTCAATCTTTTTTTGCAAATTAGAATAGAACAACATCAATTTCGAGCCTATATAATTTGTTTTCTATAAAAGATATCAAAAAGTGATCAACATACAAAATATTCATTATAATATCAAAAATATTTTGCCAGTCGACTACTTTTTGATATCACAGGAACCGAGATATATTAGCTGAAAGATAAAAGTTACAAGGATATATAAACAAACTTACTGTTAGAGAAGTGTTCCACATTTGAATATCAGAGGAAAAATTGAGAAGTCAGCAAAAAGGAAATCGCGAGAAGCTTCTCCTCTCTAAATGCTTTTCATGTGGAATATCCAAGATACCGATCTTCTTCGCTGCCCGTCACATTCTCCTCCGAACTTCCACATTCGGCAACAAATCTCATCAAAAAGAGAAGCCCAGCGAGAGGTAGGAAGTTCCGTTTCTGGAAAACGGGATAACGAAAAAAAGAGAAAAGAAATGGAGAGGGTATTGAGGTGTCGCTAAATTTCGAACCTAGATAGGCAGAAAAACGGCTTCGCACCTTCATCAGATAATGATTTTTCGATATTGGTGAAACGTGCGGTGGTCGCGATCTTTTGTACATATGTGTGCATGAAAATAGAATTTAGGATATGGAAAATATTAAAATTGAAGAGTTGGGCATGAAAAAAAAATCTTGAATTTTTTTCGTAGGTGCTTTTCGAGAAGTTGAACTTGTGGACCCACTGTTAGAGGTGCCGCACCGTTACCTGCTTAGCTACCATGCCTGAATTCGTGTCGCCAGAAATTGTAGAGCAGAAGATACTCCAACCGACAAGTTGAAAAAAATAGAGAAGACTCGGACCAAACTTTAATGTATTTTCAGGAAAATAACAGATCGAATTTTATTTAAAAAGTATTTTTTTTTCGTATAGAAAATGAAAACAACTGTTAGGTTTCAATTTTTGTGACAATTGGTTTTAAAACTTCCAGATAGAATCCAAAAATTTCTTTTATTCCATAAATGTTTACTGTAAAGCCGGTAATGGAAGACGCCCATAATGCCAAGTTTAAACTCAATTATCTCAATTCCGAGGCAATATATTAAAAATTTGTTCAGAGTCAAAACACTCCTGATATTATGATAAGCAATTTACCAGTTGACAACTTTTCTATATCTTTGACGGGAACCGAGATAAATTGGCTCAAAGATTGAAGTTACACGTTAGAGGGCCCTTCTAATACGGGTTTTTTCATACCATGTTTTCTGCTTTCCGGGACGCCAGCACAACCAAAATCCCCTTCCTCCAACCATCCCAACATTCCCACATGCTAATTATAAAACCAATTTCGAAACAATTCCATCAAATTTCGCAACCATATCCATTCACCCTGCCATCATGAACACAAGAAACTGTCCAGTACTAGGGAGTAATGCATTATTTTCCGATGAAGGACACTTGGTACTCTCCGTCTCCTGTAATTCCATTCTCCTTTTTTTTCCCAGAAGACGACAGTCACCATTATGGCGTTTATGTCTCCGAGTAGGACCTTCTCTTCCCGCCAATTCAAACATACGCAATAGAAGTACTAATTTTTTGTCTTCAACGTGGATCAATCGGTTTCATCTTTTAACTTTTTAGTCTCCCAATGTCTACCAAACATCCATCAAAAACCTTTCTCGCTATCATTTTTTTAAATATGAATTGATGTGAAACTCAAAACATACATATATAAGAATACGAAATTTCAACCTAGCCGTTTTCTTAGGTCGTAGTAGGTAAATAGGGGAGTTGGCATCTATCCCTATTTACTCTCTCACCCCTTCACCTCCGTCGGTCTCTGTGTCAAATACTTTTTTCGTGATGAGTCACTATTTTTTGGCAGTTTTTTCCTCCTCTTTTTCTTCTTCTTGTTTCTTTCAACACTCTTATCAAGCACACACAAACATTAACTGTGTATGTGCCATTCTTGTATTCACAATTTTTCTTTCATGTTTTTCTTCAACTTACAAGCTATTATTATATTAAAATAGTATTTTTGAACTTTCAGAAATGACGGACCGGACACCCTTACCCGGCAAAAAGTACAAATTTTCAATTAACATATTTGTACTTTTAATGGTGCTGGTCATTGCCGTGCAAGGCACATACTTGGGATATGTTGTGGGGATGTTGACAACGTTGGAGAAGCGCTTCGGATTTTCGTCAGAAAAATCTGGATGGCTTCTGTCTTTGTACGATATCGGACACACAATGGCTATCCTCCTTATCGGGTACATCGGATCTCACTACCACTTGCCAAGAATTACTGGAATTGGTTTGTTAGAATTTTTTAATTTGAAAATTGGGGTAATGACTCAGCCGAAATAATGGAAAACTAATTTCAGGCGTCATCCTGAGTTCATTGTCAATGTTTATGCTTGCACTTCCGGTGTTGTTTTATGGAACCGCTGATTACACGCAAGAGCAGTTATTGCAGAAAAAGGTGAGGAATAGAGAAATAGAAAAATGAAATGCAAAATTGTGGTAAATTATGGAGGAGATGAAGAAAGAGGGACCAAAAAAAACAAATCTCGATAATTTCAAAATATCGAAAAAAAGAATAGGGTAATTTAGGCTTCTGAAATCTCCAATAAATTCAAAAAACTTTTAAATTACTAAATTTTATTTTTTGTAGTAAAATTTAGAGTCCTGGAAAAGTGGACCGGAATTGATAGATTTATCTGAAAAGTTTAAAAATACTAAAAATAAAAACGCCTTCATTTTTGTAATTAACAATCTTGCTGCTAAGTTCCATCCTATCAATACCGTAATACCTGTACAAGAAAGGCCTCTCAGCTTTGAGCCAATTCATCTCAAATCCTATTGAAAATATAAAAAGAAAGTTGTCAACTGATAACATTTTTATCATAATATCACACAAATTTTTTTGTTGACAAATTTTTGATATTTCTCATAGTTACGCAGATAATTGAGCTCAAACGTGAGAGTGTGGAGCCCGTTTTGAAAACAGGAAAAACCGATAAATTGAAAATTAGGAATGATTTCAAATCGGTTGTGTCGCTTTATTGCATTTTTGGAAAAATTGGGAATTACAAAATGGACTCTTTAGTTTTGTTTAGCATTTTGAAACTGCCAGAAAAATTAGAAAATTCAGGACTACAATGTTGGTTTTTTTTAAAGTCAAAACATGATTTATTTTTGGCCAGTTCCAAGTAAATATTGGGTTATTCCACTTTTCAGGAGGCGTATGCTATGGAGATGAATTGTGACGTCAATGGGCGCCGTGAAATCTCCTCTCAAGGAGAAGATTGTTGGAGAGAACACAAAGAGCACACAGTAAGTCTTCAAATGCCTCCAATAACCAAACAATTTTATTCAAAAAATTTAGAACGCCTTTATTATTCTCGCTTTCGGTCAACTCTTCGCCGGAATCTTCGCCGCTCCATTCAACACCATCGCTTACGTCTACATAGACAGCAATGTGAAGCAGAAGAGAGAATCTCCATTCCTTCTTGGTCTTCTAACCTCAATGTACGCTTTCGGACCTGCACTAGGCTTCTTGCTGTCTTCAATTTTAAACGGAGTGTACACAACGCTTGGGGATGGTGAGAAAAAAAAAAGTGTTGTGTACTTCTTTTTCGACGAATCTTGGTTTTTTAGCACCCGATCATATTGGCACACACGATGAACATTGGATCGGAGCATGGTGGATGGGCTTTTTGTTGTGCGGAACTGCGTATCTGTTGTTGGCGATTCCCTTTTTCTTTTTCCCAAGAACTTATAAGTTAGTTTCACTCAAACTTTGAATGAAATCAGATTTACTCTGATTGGGAAAACTCTAAAAACATTCCAGGCATCCTGACTCTTTCCACTTGATGCTGGAACATTCGCGACCAGAAGTGAGCCCGGAAGATCGACTAACTTTCAAAGAAAATATTGAATTATTCCTCCGTGAATTCCCAATGGTCCTCAAAAAACTCCTCACCAATAAAGTCTACATCACCATGGTCATCGCATGGATGTTCGGATCATACTTGATCGGAGGCTATCAAACTTATCTTCCAAAATTCATTGAAACCCAATACGGACGGTCCGCTAGTATGGCTGATATCTACTCTGGTATTATATCAGTTGGAGCCATTGCTGTATCAACAGCTCTCGGAGGTTGGATTCTGTCTAGATATAATATTGCACCAAGATCCTCCATTATTTGCCTTCTGATGTCTTGGGTAGTGATACTGGTTAGTTATATCATTGGAATGAATTTGGGATGCTCTCAACCGAAAGTAGAAGGTCTCAGTTATGTAGACTATGCGGACAGGTGAGTTTTCGAAAATTGCTTAAAATGAGCAAAAGAGAATTTCAGATGGCACTTCTATCATCACCAAGAACGAGAGCAAGAATGTCTGGCTTATTGCAACTGTGAAACCATTTTGAAGTTTGATGGTGTTACTGTAAACGGGCAGAACTTCTACTCTCCTTGCCATGCCGGATGCACAGATTACGATGTTTTCTCCAATACAGTGAGTTTTTGTGGGGGTATCCTAGAAGAGAGGTTCCATGTTAGGACCATTAGTCTTATCAACATTGCCACTGTCTCATACCCTAATGTAAGATGCTGAGACTCCAACTCTGAAAATTTGAATATTTTCGGCTCTTAAGGTTCTTAGATCTTGCGCATTTGAAAAATGGGACCGACAGTGCTAACTTAGAACCTCTCTTCTCCGATGGACCTGTATTTTCTACAAACCAATTACCAAACACCAATTTTCAGTGGTCCAACTGCCAGTGTGTGTACGGAAACGCTGTAGAAAAAGGATTAACCCATCCGGAATGCGACATTTTCTTTGCTTACTTAGCTGTGATGATGATTGGACTATTTTTGGGAAATCTATTCTTCATGGTGACAATGATGATAGTTCTGAGGAGTGTATTCGATGAGGAGAAGGTTATTGCGTTGAGTTTGGCATCTTTTATTACGAACTTGTTCGGATTCATCCCGGCGCCAGTTATTTATGGATTCTTTATTGATCTTTGCTGTATCCTGTGGAATAGGCAGTGTCCTAATGGTAAGATTTTGATGAATTTTAAAAATACGGTATTACCTCTAATAGAAGCCCACTCAAACCGCTAACTTTGAGCTCAATCATTTCGATTTCTGTGAAAGATATCAAAAATTTGTCAACTAATCAAATGTTAATGATATTATGACAAACATTTTATTAGTTGGCAAATTTTTGATATCTCTTGCAGAAATCGAGATAATGGAGCTTGAAGATGAAGGTATGCGTGGGTTTCTGTTAGAGGAAGTACGGTAATTAACATGGATCGAATTATGGATTTTTCCAGAACGTGGAAACTGCGTCCTCTATGACAATGACAAATTCACAAAAATGTTCCATGGAGTCAATAGTTTCTTCCAAATCTTTGCCATCATATTTGCTGCAATCTGCTATTGGCTCTCAAAATCCGTGAAACTTCCCGAAGAAATGCCTATGGTAGAATTTCCCGAAAGTCGAGAACGAGAATATCGAGATGAAGATGAGGAATAAATTCTGAGAAATCGAAACAACAGACTTTTTGAACACTTTAACATTTTACGTGTACTTTTTTGCGACTTGTATTACTTGAAAAAAAATTAATAAAAAAATAATAACATAATTAAAAAGTGAGGTATTGAGAAATGAGAAGAATTAGGAATTCATCAACAAAAACATAAAATAAAAGGTCGACAGATATGATTATCGGTGGGAAAAAAATTAAAGAAAAAAGTTAAGTTACAAGGCACTAGTGTACCAAACCAGCTCGTTTAGCCATTGAATAGAATTCGGATGCACGATTCGCCAGAAGCTTCTGTGGACTGTCGAACTCGCCAACCTTTCCATCGTTGAGCACGATAATTCTGGAAAAAAAATAAAAAAGATAGATGATGTGGTCCAAAAAATAAAAGCACCTATCGTAATCCATAATAGTGTTTAGACGATGAGCAATGGTGAGAACTGTGGAATTTTCGAATTCTTCACGAATAGTTTTCTGAATAAGCGCATCGGTAGAGACGTCAACAGCGGCAGTTGCTTCATCCAGAATTAATACTCGAGTTTTACGAAGAAGTGCACGAGCCAGACAGACCAATTGGCGTTGACCAACACTACAACATGTAATTTGAAAATTAATCATTAGAAGCATTGGTTACCTGATGTTATCTCCACCTTCTGTAATCATATAATCCAATTTCTCATGATGTGCCGTGGCGAAATCTTTCAGATTTGCTTGCTCCAAGCTCTTCCAGATGTCATCGTCTGTGTAGTGATGGAAGGGATCTAGATTGAACCGCAAACTGCCAGAGAAGAGTACCGGATCTTGTGGAATAATAGTTAGATTGGATCGAAGGTCATGGAGTCCAATTTCGGCAAGATTAATACCATCAACAATAATTTGACCCTCTGCTGCTTCAATTATTCTGAAGAGGGATAATGTCACAGACGATTTTCCAGCTCCGGTTCGTCCGACGATTCCAATCTTCTCGTGTGGTTTGATTTCTACATTTAGTTGCTTCACGACCAAATTGAGCCCAGCACGATATCTAGCTGAATAGTTGTTCATGATAATTCGACCCTCCGATGGCCAGTTCTGTGGCGGCTCCTTTCCAGGTTCCGACTTCCATTCTGCTTCAGTTTCTGTCTCGGCATATTCCTTCACACGCTCCACAGAAACAATATTGGTCTCTAATTTCGTGATTTGACGAACAGCAAAGTTGAGTACTGTGGTGATGTTCAAAGCGTAGGAAACGGAGAGTCCAATGACTCCAGAAGTGGTTGTAGATCTTGTCAGGGCGGCGAACAACGCGGAAAAGAGTACAATACAATTTCCAATGAATTCCAATCTTACTGACAGCCAACGATTTGCCACATAGTTAAGGTAGCGGCACTGGACATGAGAATCCACTTTGGATTCTGATAGCTTACAGAACCGATCAACAAGGTGGTACGCACGAATTGTTGCCGAGCCTTGAATCGATTCCGAGAGATGACTGTAGATAGGGGATCTGGTGATAGATTCCAAACGTTTCAGCTGTCGGGACGTCGCGATATAGTATCTCATAACCATCAGATACATCACAGAAAGTGGTATAATTACAATTCCGAACACTGGTGTTGAAATCATAATGATTATTAGGGTAGAGACCACTTGAAGCAAGCACTGAGCGAAAAATTGTACATTGAATGGAAGTAGGACATCAACTGTCTCGATATCTTTTCCAATACGATTCAAAATTCTTCCAAATGGAGTTGTGTCGTAGAAAGACATTGGAACCCGGAAGAGATTTCGCATTAGAGGAGCGTGAAGGTTTCGAGATGCGGAGACACCACCGTAAAGAAGGGAAAGCATTCCAATGAAGAGCAGGATGACTGAAACAATATAATAATTGAGAAATACATAGTAACGGTCAGTAAGGTATAGGAAAACGTATTTTTTAGTTGAATTTCGTCCATTGTGACCATTTCAGGAGTCTAGAGGTCGGCTGTCACGTTTAGATACACTAGAAACTTTTTACTTACAAGATTTTTTCAAATATCCTAGTAGAACTTTAAAATTCATTAGAAACTTGGCAAGTCAGCTATTTGACGATTTCTAAAAGACACTCCTTTTTAGCCAGTTTTCGTTCTGAAAACGTGACAAAACAGGCATTTTTCAGAAGTCAGAAAATAGTTGAAAAGCAAGGCGTATTCAAAAAGATCTGAAAATTCAAAATTTTCATGATATGTCTGTTTCACACCCTTCCAAATTTTCAAAGATATCTAAACTGAACAGCCGAGCTCTGGACACTTAAAAATGCCAAAAATTAAATGAAAAATACGCTTTTTGTATATCTCATAGACCGTTAAAAACTCACTTTCAGAAAATCCAAGCCCTGCATAAACTCCTAATCGGACTCCAATCGTCTTCCCCGTAGAATTCGTTCCTGTTCTTGCGGCATTATCATTCGACCAATCCGTAAGCCATAAATTTCTTCCCATCGACACTATCGTACTAGTGGTCATACCAAGGACAAAAATCACTGCGATTGATATTCCCATAGCTCCAAAATAATTATAATACGTGTCCATTTTCACTCGTCCCGTTTCCACTCGTTCAGCTCCAGTCAATTGACGGGTGTTGGTAGTAGAAGCAGACACAATTGAAGCGGTACGGGACTTTGTGGTAGACATACGACGACGTTGTTTTGCCTGGGACGTTCTGCGACGACTGATGATTCCAGACACCGTGGACATGTGGCTGGTACCAAGGACGTGGTCGATGATAGGAGAAGCCATCATATCATCCTCGTATTCGAAATCAGAGTCATTCTCAATCATAACTGAAAAATATACATATCATTTCAGGACGTATAAATCAAAACCCACTTCCTCCTGGTTCGGATCCTTCACTCTCGTCGTCTGAAGCCTCTGCCTCTCTTCGTTCTCTTTCTTCTTGCTCACATTCAATGAGTAGCTGCTCAAAAGCTCCTTGTTGCATCAAATCGTTGTATTTTCCTTCGTATTCAATTTTTCCATCATTCATCACAATAATCAGATCTGATTTTGCAAGGTAGGACAACTCATTGGTCACTAGAATCCTTGTCTTGTTGCGCAGCATTCCTTCTGGGCCGATAACAGAGTTGAAAAGCTGACTTCCAACATGAGCATCTACGGCACTCATTGGGTCATCCATCAGGTAGATATCATGATTTTGGTAGACAGCTCGAGCCAAGGAGATACGCGCTTTTTGCCCTCCCGACAAGTTGATCCCCTTTTCTCCAATTTCTGTACTATCTCCCAGGGGTAGAATTTGTAGATCTCGATAAAAGCACAGGCATCCAAGACTCGGGAGTAGAAATATTCATCAAACTGTTTTCCAAAAGTGATATTCTGTCGGAGCGTATTATTTTGCATCCATGGTTGCTGAGGAACGTAACAAAGACGGCCATGCATGGAAATGGATCCACTAATCTTCTCCATCTCTCCCATTAGGGCTTGAAGCATCGAGGTTTTTCCAGCACCAACTCTTCCAACAATCGTGACTAATTCTCCACGATGAACCTTGAAACTGATATTCGTCAGACTTGGAACAGGCTTCTCATCAGGAGACTCCCAAGACAAACTTGCATCCTTGACGCAGATAACGTCACTGTCTGAAATTAATTTTTCAATAAATTTTGGAGCTTTCAGGAAACAAATACTCACTATCTCTTGCTCTATGATCGATTGCATCCTCATTGAGCTCTTCAGACATCAAAAACTCCTTGAGTCGTTGATTGGAAACAATTACTTGCACAGTTTGAGTAATTAGCTCTGCCACTTGAGACATTGGAGAACGAAGTTGATTGAAAAGCGTTAGAGAGACAAATGCAATTTCTGGAGTTAGCACGTTTGATGGATCGATAAAGATGAAAGTTGCGAATGTTGAAAGAGCCACCAAAAATGGAGATGCGCAATTGAGCATATCCGAAAATGTTCTCAAGAATGCGGCCTTCTTAATGAGCCCCAACTCTTTTTCTCTCAAGTCCTCAATCACTTGCTCCATGGGTGGTTCCCATGCGTACAACTTGATAACCTTAATTCCATTGAGCACCTCGTTTACCATCTTTGTTCGTTCATCTTTGTAGTACATTTGCTCAATTTGCCACTTTCTGATGATCATGGTAATTCCGAAATTAACAGGGAACAGCAGAACCATCACAATGACACCGCTGAACACTGAAACTCCGAGTTGTTGAAAAAGCAAAAAGAGAGCAAGTCCAATTTGGAAGGGGTTCGACCAGTATTGCATAGTTTGTGGGGTGATTTGTTGGAAACGGTCGATGTCAATAGCCATAAGGTTTACAATTTCTCCGACTGTCTTTTCACGACGAGCTGAATTCGACAAACGGAGAGTTTTACGGTAGACAGCAGCGGTGAGACATGTTTGAACTCGTGTTCCAACTCGATACATCAAATAGAAGTAGTGAGAAAGGAGAATCGAAGAGAGCTCGGCTGAGATGAACATGGTAAATGCCAAAACCACTCCTTGCCACATTGGACGTTCTAGTTGTTCTGTGAATCGGATCAAGGACTTCAAAAGCAACGGATTGCAGAATAGAAGAATGTCGGAGAGGAATTTGACGACCATTGCAGTGATAACATCCCATTTGAACATGAGGAAAAGGGTCCAGATAATAGAAGGCATCAATTCTTGAGATTGGGTTGCTGGCAAAGATCCATAGTCGTCGGTACCTTGGTCTTGAAGCAGTGGAGTGGTGTCGTTGGAGGATGTGCGTTGACGAGGAGTATGGGTTTCGTCTGCTCGGCGGCGATTGCGTTCTTCGCATTCTGAAAAAAAGTTGTTTGAACACTGTGAACACTTATTGAGCTCAAAGTTCAAATATAGGGAAGCCTTCTTTTAGATTGTTCATGGTAATTTATTCCAATCTTCAGTTCAACTTACTTTTACTCTGCTTCTCCCACAAGTTATACCACTTTGGCACTAGCAAGTTCGAAGTGTCTGCCTCATTCAACGAATACAAATCCGACACTTCCAATGGTTTCCGAACACCCAAACTGCACAAAGGGTTGAACCACCACATTGTGATACGATTCAAGAAGGAAGACGTCATTTCTGGACTCGGATTTCTTGTTGTATTCAAATATTTGTATCCCTCCGGCGAGTAGTCCGCATAGCAGTGAAGATAAGTTTCCAGTGAGCAACAGAAGAACCAAACTATGAAGGAAATGCATCGGGGATAGTCCAACCAATCCCACGGCTTGTTAGGATAGAACATTTGTTGCATCCAATACATTAGTTCTGGGACAGCGGAGAGGGTGAAGACAAGCCAACTAATGAAAAGACCTCCAGATGTGACGATTCCATAGTTGCGGCAAGAGACGATTAAAGCCGTGAGGACAATCTAGAAAAAAAATCGTTCAATTTATTCCTGATCTTTCAGTATTCATAACAGAAAATATTGCACTGAAAAACTTTTTGTTTCCTTTTTCTGTTGTTTTATATTCTAACAAACTATACTCACCATCGCGAGACATAACGTCAGTGGGTAGACAAAATCAACGGCGTAGGGGAACCCTTGGAACAGTGTCTCATAGATCGCCACGGTAAACAATGATAAGGAATCGGCAATCAGCACGCACGCCAGCCCAACTTTCAATTGTATCCGTCGTGTCCATGGAATGGGATTCGGTCGGCGGTAGAAGATTTGGGCTGTAAGAATAGGGGCCAGCAGGAAGACAATGGCTGTGGGGAACCAGACCAGAGTTGTGTGCTGGTAGCATTGGGTGAGAATGGGGACCGTGGTGGCATTCCATATTTCGGGGTCCTAGAAAAATGGGAATTTTGTGTCAAAAGAGAAAAAAGTTGAGATTAAATTGAGTTACCCAATATCGTTCGCCGCAAAATGCATCGATTCCTTTCAATTTTGCTTTTAAATTTGGTTCCATCTAAAAAAGAAGATTTGGAATTGAGGAGGTGAAAGATAATGGAGAAAATTCAAAGCTTAAAAATACAATCCTCTTTTTTTTTTTTGAAAAATTAAGAAAACTCTTGGAGAAAAACTTGGAATTTTCGAATTATTTCAAAAAAAAGGAAAATGAGGACAATGGTTTAAATATACTGAAAAACATGTAATAGAAGGGCCCCCTAGTTTCAAAACTTGAGTCAATTTATTTGGTTTCTTGTAAAATATATAAAAATCTTGTCAACTGATAAACTGTTCATCATAATATCAGAAATTTTTTTTGTCAATTAAAATATTTTCGATATCTTGCATAGAAAATGAGATAATTGAGCTCAAACTTGACAATGTGGGGGCCCTTTTATTACAGAATTCATGGTATGATAATTTTTCTATTGTGATCTCATCGAAAATGTCAATATTTATACTAAAATCTAGGAATAAAATGGTCCGGCTTAATATTTTTAAAAAAATTCTCAAATTCCGAAAAATCCCAAAATCTCAAGTATTTATTTTTTATTTTTTAAAGATCAAAAACTAAACTTTTACGTTGGAAATCATATTTTAAATAATTTCTAAGAACACTAAAACCTAAATTTTCCTATTTGAGAAAAAAATCAAATAAAAAAGACGAAATGAACTGACAATATGTTATCAGAGACTGCCCGCTTAAAACAGTGATACCCAAACATAATCAGTTCATATTTTCCTGGTTTTCCCGCTTTTGTCCGTGATAGAGTATGCGAAACCCCGAATCCAGTGTGTGCCTGTTACAGTTCGCCCGCGCGCCGGTTTTTTTTTCAGCGAGCGATAAAAGTGCAAGCTTGTCAATTTAGGACTTCTATATAAATTCTTTTTTCCTATAGAATAGAACAAAACAACAATACCTAATGCAATAAAATTTGTAGTTTCTGGTCAATATGTTATTGATCGGGGGCTGTGAAGACTGTAAATGAGTTGACCAGTGCTGCTGCACAACAAACAAAGGATGATGTGATGATACCAATGTACAAGGAGACAATGTGTGCCTAATTTGTAGATAAGATAGATAATGGGCAATGTGCTACGCAGTCTTGTGGGTGACCGCCCATTTATTGGGAGATTAGATATTATTTTAAGGATTTGAGTCATTTTCACTCATTATTCTTTGCTTACTGTCTTTTTTCATGTGATTTCTCCTTTCTTCCTTTCACCCAGACCTCAATTCAACCTCCTGAAGGTTTTTTTTTCAGTATATTTTTTTTTTGAAAAATGGCTGCTCTCACTAACAACGACAAGATTTCTTACAAAGTCTTGGTTATTGGAGATCCAGGTGTTGGAAAAACCTCAATCATCCGGAGATTTGTTCATAATGTCTTCTCATCAAACTACAAAACTACAGTAAGTTGTTTTTTTTTGTGTTTATCATACAGTAGCAATCGATAAGATTAGTTGATTTTTTGAGCATTTTCAGGAGTATGAAGGTTGTCTAAATACCGATCACTTAGAAACTTTTAGAGGGTGTAAAACAGACATAGATTAAAAACTTTGCATTCCCAAAATATTCTAGGTGTCCATCTATTTGCTTATTTCTGTAAGACATCTGTTTTTGATTTTTTTAAAACTATGTATTTCTAAATTTCATGATTTGAAATGATTTAACCCAGAAAAACCAATAATAATGTTTTATTACATCAAAGCTTTTAAAATTATCTTTAAAGTTGCATAATTTTTATTTTCCTATTTCAATTATGAAGCAAGATGTGCGCCTTTAAAAATTCGACATAATGCACCATCCCTTCTGAAAGTTTAAAGGCTCATAAATGTTTTCGATGACTTTGATAGAAACATGGAATTAGATATTAATGAATTTTTAGAGAATTGTATTTGCTTTGAACTACCAAATACTGAAAAACACCTGAATTTTCACAATTTCAGTACAAAAACTTGTCAAAAAAGAGGTGTTTTAGAGAAAATCTAGCTCAAACATTTTTTGAAATTCTGCGTCTGTTTTACACCATCCAAAATGTTCAAAAACATCGGGAACGGTAGAGCTTCAGACTCCTGAAAATGATCAAAACATTCAAAAATCACCTAAAAATATTTTTTTTTGTATGTTATTTATTACTGTAAGTCGCCAAATTACCCATTTCATCCTTTGTTTCCAGATCGGTGTTGACTTTGCTCTCAAAATCCTACCCATCGACGAGAACACTGTTGTTCATCTTCAAATATGGGATATTTCAGGTAAGCCGAACATTAAGCGAAAAGAAATTCTTTATTTTACTAGTTCTGAGGGGTGTTTTCAAATATTTACACACAAAATTTTGGTTTTTTGGGGACTTTTTAATGTGTGACGGTGGTGCAAAATTAAGCGTAAAAGTCATGTTACTTTAAAAGAAAGGAGGATATAGAGACAGAAAGAAAAATTTGGGATTGGTTTTGACGCAGTTTCAGAAATTGAGCTAACAAGTGAGCACCATTTTCCTTTTATGTCCTTTTCTAAAAACAAGAAAATGGCGTCAAACTTGAATTGAATTGATTTGATATATAGAAGTGAGCACTTGAAAGGGCTGGAAAAAGAAACAGGGGTAATGAAGCGGGGTGCGAGGCAATTTTGAGGCGACTAACAGTTTCTAAGTGAAGTTTTGAATTATAAAAAATTATGGAAAAAATAACAAAAAATTAGGATTATTAGTTGTTGAAGACATGTCCAATTTGTGTTTGTGACGCCGATGATTGTACCCTCCGGTTTGGATCGCCTGATGGACTTTGGCCAGCCGGATCGCTTCCAATTCCAGCTAGTGCGTAACCATAGAATCTGAAATTTCCAAGTTTATTGATTTCTGCACTTTTCGAGCCGACTTTTTAACAATTACTTATATGACTTAAGTCAATTTGAAGCTTGTTGCTATCAGAAAAGTTCACATTCTTAAACTTTTTTATCAGCTACTGTCTATAGATTTTGTTCTCCGACAATTCAACATTTTTCTGCACATTCTCTGCAGCCATCCAACTTACCCCGACTCAATTTGATAAGGTTTGCCGTAGAATCGTTTAGATGTGTGATAGTAGAACGGATTCTCGTCAGCACTCCAGTAAACCGATTGTTCTTCCATTGGTTGAATGCCTCCTCCGGCCTAAATATAGGGTTTCTCAAAACGATCTTTCTAGAAAAGGTTACCGGGCTTTGCTGTGGATGCATGTGTCGCGAGGGAGTGCGCATGTGGGTGCCAACTCTCAACGTTCCACTTCCAAATTGCTCTTCTCCAAGCGGAGCAACAACGGTGCTATCTGGCGAGGTAGACCGGTGGTGGAGAATGTAAGAGGATCTGAATCATCATTGAGGTTGACCTAGTTTATCTAATCTGAACTGAAGAGTTTTCCCGTTTTCATTAATTACAGTACCGAACAATATGATATACGAAAACGCAATTTTCAGTGGAGTTTCGAATGTTTTGATCATTTTCAAGAGACTGGAGCTCGGTTGTCAAGTTTCCGAACGCTTTGAAAACGTTGGAGCGTTTGAAACAGATCTAGATTCAAAAATTCGCCTTCACAGAATTTTCTGAAAATTCCTTGTTTTTCAGCTATTTGCCGATTTCTGACAGACATCCCGTTTTACCTGTTTTTGTACGTAAAACGTGGCGTCCTTCAGAAATCGGCAAATAGCTGAAAAACTAGGAATTTTCAAAAAGTTTTGCGAATGCAAAGTTTTCAATCTAGGTCTGTTTCACACTTTCTGAAATTTTTGAAGTGATCGGTAACTTGACAGCCAAGTTCCAGATTTTTGAAATATGTCCAAATGACCGAAAATCAGCTGAAAAACACCTTTTCGTGTATCTTATCAACTAATCATAAATAAATCTCTCCCCGTTCCTATTAAATATACAGACCAAGATGAATATTCAACCCGAACCTTAGCGAGCAAATAATTGCGCAAACAGTGCATATGACACACGCGAGAGCTGCTCCGGCGGCGAGAATGATAGCAACTTGGTAGATTGTTTGCTGAGTTTCAGTGGTTGGCAAAAGGTCAGACGCTTGCAAGTAGCGTTGCTGTAAAACAGGTTCTTGGGGTTTCGAGATAAGATTTCGGAAGTTTCTACCAGATAGTAAACATTGGTGATTGCTGAGGATACGGTGAATAGAGATATTGAAGCAATGATAATGTTTAGGATCGAAGCAGATGCCAAGAGACTTGGGAACGGGATGCAGAGGAACTGAACAGACAGTTTTATTTCTAAATCTAAACTGTCTGAGTACCTGAACAACAAAAACTGCTCCAGCAAGTGGTCCATTTCCAAGTCTGAAGAATGGAACTTCAATAGGGACTTCGTTGTATCTCCATTTTCCGAGCTCAAACACAATGTAGGTTCCGGTAATGACAACTGCGTAGAAAAGGGTTCCAAGTGAGAATAGACCATGAACGCTGTTAGAGTGGCGGTAGGTCAGGTTTGGTTGTTTTCGGATTTCGGTTCCATAAAGATAGGCGCCCACAAGAGATGTAAGACCTTCCAGGAGATATATCTGGAATTTTAGAAATTTTTAAAAGAATCATTTCATATAATCTGTTTATCATAATACCACCAACATTTCATCAGTGGAAGAAATTTTTGATATCTCTCACAGGAACCGAGATATTTGAGTTTACACATATGGATATGTTATGATAAAGAATTTATCAGTTGACCAGTATTTGGTATTTTTTGAAGGAACCGAGATAATTGAGCAAATACGGTAAATAGGCTTGTTGAGTTTTCTATCTATGCTTCTCCTTCCAACTTACACCAGCTTGAATCGAGTACAAAATAATCTGTCCAACGAATGTTCTTGTATTCCCATTTCTGTATGCTGGATAGGCGGCCATTTGGTAGATCAAATTGGCGGAGGAGCAAACTTTTTCGGTACAAATTCCAAGGCAGACAACGGACAAGATGAATTTTGTGGTGATCAGAACGGTGTGATTGTTGCATGTCACTAATCCAGTCGTCATAAATAGGACCGAAACCCAAAGCAAATCCGCTCCAAGGAACTCTCCTCTCCACCAAGTGTCCAACAATCCCAAAATGCATAAAGCCAGCATACAAGCTCCCCAGAAGATGTGGAGAATGTTGAGCACGCTGAAATTTGGCCTTGTTGCTCCATTTGTTATTTGTTTTTTACCCAGTAGTGATTTTAAGATTCTTGCTAGTCTCAGTGTGCATTGAGTGGAAGTCAAGCTGAAGATAAGTTCCAACAAATACAGCTGACATGGTACAAAGGGTGAAGGCAAGTCCCAGACATCCTAGAAGGACACCATGTGCCACTACGAGAATGTATCTTGGTGCATCGGTTGAAGTGATTGAGGGATCTAAAAAAGAAGTTCTAAAAGAGGAATTCCATTTTTCGATCATTGGGTTTGATGACTTCACGATACATATGAATATTTTTGGAAATTGAAAACATACACAAATATGTATCAAATTTCAGTTTGCGTATATCTTTTTGCGTGTCTCCCAGGATAGATAGGTTATACATACCTCCGAGCTCACGACCCTGGTAGTAGAATTTCAAGTCATTCTTGTAGAACGGCATTGCGTTGTTATCAACCGCCTTGAGACACCAGGTGGCTGCGACGACTGCTACCGCGAGTGCAACCTGTGTCAATATCCAAGAGAGTACAAAGATAATCAGAGACTACCGTACCTTGAGATTCAGATTTTGTTGATTTTTTCCTCTGGTTGCCCATATATCCATAGCACCACTGACAATAGCAAGCATGGCAGCAATATGGTCAAGTCCGATTTTGATGTACTTGTCTTGGCCGGCAACCTAAACCCCAAGAGATGCTTTCTCAGAAAATTTCCGTAAAACCTGTATTAGAAAGGCCCTTTTTCTCAGTTCCTGTCAAAAATAGCAGAAAGCTGTGGACTGATAAATTGTTCATGATAATATCAGAAGTGTTTTCTCAGATGACACGTTTTCTATATCTTGTATAGGAATCAAGATAATTTAGCTCAAACTTGACAGTGTGGGGGCCCTTCTATTGCAGGTTTTTCCCGGAAAAATACTTACGTTCTCATGTTCGTATTCAATGAAGACGCAGAGTCCAAGAATACCAAAACAAAGAATGAACTTTATCAGTCCAATAGTTGCCAGACTTTTCTTGGCAGTGCTCATCGCCAATTCTTGTTCTCTCTGAATCATGGAGATCTAGATTTGAAAATAAGCATTAGGGTTAGAAGCAGAATGTTAGTATGCGAAGCTTACCGATTGCATTGGGTATACTGGAATGGTCACCACAATGATTTTGCTCAAAAGGAAAATGGCGAAGAGGGAGAATAGAGACGCAACGGCTCCAGCAGCAATCATCAGAGCAGAGATAACGATTCGGCCTGCATAATTGCTATTCTCCGATTGGAACTCTTCGTTGAATCCGGCAGCTGACTGTAGGGAGTTGAGATTTTCACCAGCTTTGACTACCTGGAACATGTTTAGGGCTATCCTTTTGGATTCGCAGATCTAAAGTTTAAAAAAAAATCAAAAACTTCAAACTCGCCCTATACGTGGTGAATCCGTAAAAGACCGCTGTAGCAAACCCAATTACGAATGAAACTAGATAAAGGGATTTGGTGACTATGCTTCCATGATTCCTCCATAATGAGTAGAATCCTATACATCCTGTTACCACGTGTATAAAGTTGAGTAACCGAAAGTCAATGTCTCGGTAGTTATCCAAACCAACTTTTGAGAACTGACTTCCCGCCAAGCCGACGGCTAACAAACCAGCTGCTATTAGAAACGTATTGCAAATCTGAACGCTTTTTTAATTCTCGATGCAACGTGACTTGTCCAACAGTTTACCTGTATTTGACACAAATATGCCGAGCGGGCGCTCATATTACAGAATTTTCACTGGCAATCAGATGTTAGAAATGGTTTCCCACGCTTTCTGGAAAGAGAGAAACGTATTGGAATATCCAAATAGGTTTCGATGGGAGGCAAGTTCAAACAATATACATAATTAGGGGACGGGGGCTGACGATAGAAGAGCGGGAGTCAATGTCTTGATGAAGAAAAATAATAGTGAGAAAAGGGCGAGAGAGCCGCCAAGGTGAGTTGGATAGGTGGGAGGGCGTCGAGCAAACACAGTAGGCAAGATAGATCAACACAAATATGCAACACAACACAACCACAGCAATTCGCCATATTCGGGAAACAAGAATCTACTGGAGGGAGGTAGCGAAATTCTGAATTCTTGAAAATTCAGAAGAAAACTAAAAAAAGGATTTTTCAATTTTTTGAATTATTTTAGTATATTCTTTCAGTGTATTTTACATTAGGCTAAACGTTTTTTTTAAATAATGAAACGCGGAAAATTGTAAACTCTTAAAATTATAAAAAAAAGACTTTTGAGCAGTCCTAAATTGACTTTTTTTTGAGATTCTAAAGAAACTGAGAATAAATTGAGATACTGTCTAAAACATTCCAAAAGCTAGAAATGTTATACTCAAATCTTTTCTAAAAAAAAAACGGAATACCGCATTTCCCATGATACGAGCCCAACCAAACCGTCAACTTTGAGCCAATTTATCTCGGTTCCTGTGGAAGATATCAAAAACTTGTCAACTGATAAAATGTTGAGAATGATTGCTATCGTTTGAAGGTCTTGAGATAATTGAGCTTAAGGTAAGCATTTAAGGGGGGGGGGGTGAAACTTCTATCAGAGCGAATACGGTATTTCTAAATTAAGATGCTGTCTGAAACATGTTTCAAAAACTTGGCAATTTTTTGAATGTTCAGAACAATATTTTCAAAAAGCAAAATACTTAGAATACTGTAGTAGAATAAGTTTCCTATTTTCTTAATTTGAACAGCCCAAAACACTTGAAATTAATAGAGAACAACTTTGGGCTCAATTATCTCGGTTTCTGTGAAAGATATCAAAAACGGGGGAAATATTGGCGATTTCATGGTAAACAATTTATCAGTTGACAAAGTTTTTATATCTTTGACAAAAATCAAAATAACGAAGCTTAAAGTTGATGGCTAGGTTTCTATCAGGGAAATTACGGCAAAATGGGACACAGTTCAGAGTTTACTCAAAAAAGAATGATAAGGAAAGATAATTGCAAAATACAAAAGGTACGGGAATCACAAGCATCTTAGAAGAAACCGAAAGGTTTTTCGGATTCCCAAATGAATGGAAATAATTCATTAGCGGAATGGGTGGGCCTCAAAAGCGCACGGAGGGGGGAGAGGTGAACTCAAACTTTAGACTTTTCCTTGTGTTAACATTATCAATGTCAAAATGTTCAAAAAGTGTAAAAGAAGAACACGACATTGTACTGGAAAAAAACTAGTACGGGCCCAATGGCAAAGGGGCGGTAACCACTTGAAACTTGGGATGAAATCAGAACAAGAGACTGTGGAAGACGCGTGGTAGGAGGAGGAGAGATATAGACAAAATCAAGGCGGCTGTCTTTTAACCCAAATGCAAATAATTGTGTGCTCATGGAAAAACGACAGTATGATGGGAGGGAGGGGGTAAAAAATGGGAACTCGGGTGGGATTTTGATAAGCGACCTTTCGCTCTCTGTCTTCTTTTTTCTCGTTCCGCGCCTGTTTGTATGCCAAGGCTGGATGGATGCGCACACATTGTTTACCAGTGGCGGCTGTGTAAGTTGCCATGTGCAAGAAATAATTTTTTCCAAGATGGGCGGGGCTTTGGAATTTTACCGGAGGGGAGCTGGAGCAGAAACAGACGGTTGTCGCGGTACTATATCACAGAGGAGAAAACCGCTTTTCCTTCTGAGCACGAGGCCGCCCGGCTGTGCGCTTTTGAGCTCTAATGCTATTGTTGAATAGTGAAAAAAAGAAACAGGGTGCGAACGGCATAATTGTGATGTGTTATCTATCTAAATAGACTGAAGTTTTTCCTAGCTTCTAAATGAATTTAACTAAAAAGATTCACAGCTAAATGTAAACCAAAAATGAGAAAAATCCATTTTTCAAAAATTTTCAATGAAAAATCTATCGCAATGCTCATATTCGGTGCGGAAAAAGGAATAGAAAAGAGGAGGGGTCTATTGAAAGTGACACCTTTTGTGTTGAGTTTGTTTTTGACCTCTCCCGATTTTGGAGAATCGTTACAACGAATCGCGAATTGCTGGACCGGATGGATGATTGGTTGAGTTTGTGAAAATGCACAGGATGACGTGGATTTTGGGGCTCCAAATAAAAATCTCGGTCATGACAATCGAAAAAAAATCGCTACAAAATCGAAATGAAAATCGCGGTCAGTTGATTATGACCATTTTCAGAAGTCTAGAGCTCGGTTGTCAAGTTTTTGATCACTTTGAAAAGTTTTGTGGGTCAAAAACCGTCCTGGATTGATAACTTTGCATTCACAGAATTTATGGAAATTTCTTAGTTTTTCAGCTATTCTCCAATTTTTGAGAGATGCCTTCTTGGGCTTTTTTTTGTACTGAAACCATGAAAAAACGAATGTTTTTCAGAAATCCGCAAATAGCTGAAAACTAAGAGTTTTCAAGAAATTTTGTGAAATCAAAGTTTTTAGTCTAGGTCTGTTCAAAATGTTCAAAGTGATCGCAAAGTTGAAAGCTATGCTCCAGACTCTTAAAAATTGTCGAAATGGCCGGAAATCCACTGAAAAATGTGTTTTTGTATACCTTACTGACCGGTACTAACTTCAAAAGCCAAAAATAACTATTTCAGATATAATGTCTCACAGTAGAATTGAAAATTAGCAGTGGTGTACTAAAATTACAATTGAAATCATATGCTAAAAAAATGGTTTTCAATTTTTTTATGTCCATTAAGTCGGAATTTTGGAGCCTTGGAATGAAATCTACAGGCTCCTAAAAACATGAAAAATATAATTGAAAAACATTTAATAGATCAAACTCTGACTAACAAAGTCTAATAGTTAATGATTATTGTAATTTAGACTTAAGGCTAACGGAAAAGTATGTCTGAAAACTATAAGAAATTCATATTCCATGAATATTTCCCTGGAATATTTCAATCTTAGGATCCATAGGTCCCTAGAATACAATAAACAACAAATTGCCTTGCAGTTTGATTTGCAAGTAACCGAAACTGTTTCAATGTCTAAAAATATTCTAAAAGTGCAAAACCTCTCTAACAAAAATTCACGTTGGCAGGCGTAGGGGTTAAACATGTTCCGGTAAGAGCGCAGTGCTCTCTAGACACCGGTGAAGATCTTTTTCGTAGTATTTGTGTGTACATTTTGCTCTCATACCCCTTCAACCTCGACTTTCTTTTTCACGTAGGATTTTTTTGTCTTTCTTTTTCTCTCTTCTTACCAATGCTCATGTATTTTACTGAAAGTAAGTGCCGCGTCGTCGGCGTCGGCAAAGGAATGAGAGGTTGCGCGGAATCCGGTCGGTGTGGTAGGTGGCAAGAATACTTGTGCGGCCCGCGCGCGCGACGCTACGTGTGTTTGTGGTTGTGTATTTGTGCCAAACGTTTTGTATACCAGAAGAAATGAGCGAAAAAGTAAGAGAGGGGCGGAAAAGAAAACTTACAATCCGCGCATAACTTTTTGAAAAGTTTTTCTTTTCAACTTTCTCTCGCAAAGATCACAAAGTGTGTTCGAAAACGTAGTACCCAAATAATTTAAGTAGGAAACTAGCAATAACTAACATTGATGTGTTGCACGAGTTGAAAAAAAAAAAGAAAAAAAGTTGAGTCAACTTGTCTAAAAATGTTCGGAATTCCACCAAATGTTCAAATATGGAAAAAAAATATAATTTCAGGCCAAGATCGCTATGGTGTCATGACACGTGTCTACTACAAGGATGCTCATGCTGCCATCATTGTCCTGGATTCAACCAGAGAGCGAACAATCGAGGGAGCACTTCGCTGGAAAACCGATCTCGATCAGAAAGTGACGCTAGCCGATGGCTCACCAGTTCCAGCCATTCTTCTTGCAAACAAGGTAATAGAGTAGTACCCTTTTAAAAATTGTTTATTTGTTTTTTCTAGTGTGACATTGAAAACCAACTTGGTGACGACAAGTTGTACGACTTGGAGACAAACAACGGATTCGTCGGATCCTTCCGAACATCAGCCAAGGAAAGTGTGGGAATTGAAGAGGCGTTCAAATTCTTGTCAAATACTGTAGGTTTTTTGGGAGGGAAATATGAGAAAGTTGTTAGGTTTCAAAAGTTGATTCCTCAATTATGAATGTCATATTTCCTCAAATAGAAATTCACGAAAACCTTCATCTTCGAACTTAATTATCTCGATTTCTGTGTAACATATCAAAAGTGTGCCAACTGATGGAATAATTGTGATATCATGATAAATAATTTATTATTTGACATTTTTCGTTGTCTTTCACAGAAATCGAAATATACATAACAACTTGTATTTCTTGAATTGTTCACTTTTGCAGAAATTAATAAATCGTGAAGCCTGCAATATAATGATCGTCTAACTTTCAAATTTAAGCGCATATAACTCATTTTCTGTCAAAGATATCACAAAGTGCTCAACTAACAAATTGATTACCATGATATTGCAAACATTTTATCAGTTGACAAATTGTTGATACCTTGTATAGGAACCGAGATAAGTGAGCTCGATGTGGACGGATTGGTCTATTAGAGGAAGAACGGTAGCACAAACTTGACAGTCTCGGTGCCTTTCTATTACAGGTTTTTTTGTGGAAATAGGGTCAAATTACCATTTTAGATATTCTTTCGGTTTACAGTATTTTTTTTCGTTTTTATTTCAAATTTTCCCCAATTTTTCAGGTGATTTCAACTGAACAAGGTGGCCAGTACGACGTCCCATTCTTGAATCGGGAAGGCAACGTGAACCTTGATGACAACTCCACTCTTTACAAGCACGACTCCAAGTGTTGCTAAAATAAAATTGACCGTGATCATTGAACTTTCTCTAGAACCTTCCTATTTTCGTCTTCGTCATTCCATTGTTCTTTCCCCTCTTATGGTATTTCCCACTATTCTGTAAAATGAAAGTTTCAAGTAATGTCACGCCTATATGATTCAGATGATTCAGCAGATTTCTGAATTCCCCCCACGTCAACAACAAAATACTGTTTATTTAGAAACGACCTCTTCTTCTGGAGAAAGTGCACTCTATAAAACTGGATTTTTGAAGAGGGGGTGTAAAAGGGAGAGAAGATATACTACTGTAGACACTTCGTGACTATTCAAATATCCAAAAGTTTACCAAAAGTGTCTGTCATTCCGATGAAGCCGCTTCTCATTTTCTTCTCGCTTTCGCAGTTGGTCAGTTTTCATTTAGAATTCATTTTTCAAGAATTTTTTTTTCCAGATAAACTGCCAATTCTATTGCGCAGATCTTCTCCAACAATGTGCAAAATCTGCCGCTGAATACACTGAACAGATCCTGCAGTACAAAGAAAACGCATTCAAGTCTTGTGTCCGCCGTCCATCCTGTCACACCGAGCGCAAAATTTTCGATGAATGTTTTGATGCTTCCGTATCAGCTACTCATGTAACACCACCTCAAGAATCCACGTCAAATGATGGAGAGACAAGAGCCAGGCCAACACCACCGCCAATGACTAAATATAATAGTTTGTTGAAATTTTTCAATGAGAATTCCATGAAATTCCGGAGTGCACTGGATCAATGTTTTGTAAGATCCCCGTTTGTCCCGAAGAGGAATTTTTTCGGACCAAGTCTACTGGATGGTAAGTGATCGAAGCCTTAATTTTTGTAGGATCTATCCATTGTACACACTTCTGGAGTTATTCAACTAGGTAAAAAACCAAAAACTAGGTTATTTACCTTTCTGCCATGTAAAATACCTGGTTTTTTACCTAGCTGAATAACCCCATTACATTTGAATCTCTATATACAGTAAAGTTCAATAGAATATACCACAACATGTTATTCCGTTAGTTTTCGGTCATTTTGACTATTTTCAGTAGTCTGGAAATTTCCATCATTCATCGAGTTTTGAAAATTTTGAAACAGACTTACACTAAAAGCTGTAAATTCGCAGAGATTTTATAAATTTCGTAGTTTTTCGGTTATTTGCTGTCACCCTATTTTGACCTGTTTTATACTGAAATAATAAAAAAAAACAATATTCTTTTAGAAATTGGCAAATAGCTGAAAAAAGCTCTCAGAAATCTCTAATCTAATAATTCATTTTTTAACCACCTGACATTTGCTTTTGTTAATTATATTTGCTCCTCTAGAGCCCATTCCCTCGCAAAAATTCGAATTTTCAGAAGACGCTGCATATGCTCGCGCAATTTATCAGTTCGACCTTGCTGACAGACTTTGGGGACTTCCAGAACTTTCCATCACACGTCCCAGCCTTGACACTCTTGGCGTTTGTGGATCAAGGGTATTTTCGTGTTCATTTTTACTGGTTCTTACTATCTATCTTTTTTCAGACCACCGCTCTCCGAATTTTTGGAAGTGGAATCTCAAGAATCAGTCGATCATCGGACCCAACAAAAAACAATATCACCAGTGCTTGTATGTTGGATGAAGATGAAATTACTTGTTATCGTCAGGCGCTCGATTTGAATACGGAATATGTGCAATTGATCTACAACAGGGACTACGCGCTCAGAGGATGTATTCAAAAGTAAAAAAATAACACCAAAATTTAATCGAAAAAATTATACAATATATTTTTAGCTTACGCCAACAAAGTGTGTGTCGTATGAATGACAAATCCAGACTACGCGCCTGTTTGTGTGGTGTCCGCGAGCAGTATGATAATGATGTTCAATCAGGAATTCTGCAATGTGTGAAGTCGAAAAGCCCACAAATGCCAGCGATGGTCATTGAAATGAGCAGCAGTTTGGATTCGGAGTCAACTTCCTCTTCCTCAAAGATTCAAGAACAAGTCACACCGGCACAGCTGACATTTGATACTCCAGGTAAACACAAAAAAACAGTTTAGAACGAAAGATCAAAAACACATTCAGGAGCAATCGTTAATGGACAATGTATGTGTGCATGTGGGAATGGAGCATCTCGGTCTTTCCTGCATAAAGATGAACCTAAGACCAAAGAACAGGATGTCAAAAAAGGGAAATCGAAAGAAATCGAAGAAGAAGTAGTTGAGATGGAAACTGTCAAGGATGAAGAGCCCCCGAAAACTAATTCAGTTAGATTCAAAGAGGTAGTTTGAGCATTTTCAAAGAGCAAAAATTTTAATACAAATTTCTAGATGCTTTTCAGAATTCTCCGCGTCTAATGCAACCCAGCGAAGCAGCGGGAAGAGTTTTCTGGATGAATAATATCACTATCATCTGATGTTTGTACATATATTAAGAAAAAAGGAATTCGGAATCATAAGTTTTCTTGTTCAACAAAATATAAAAAACGTGTTTTTCAGTTGATTTTCGGCCATTTTGACTGTTTTCAGGAGCCTGAAGCTCTGCAGTCCAGTTCCCGGGGGCTATAGGATCTGTGGGGGGAGGTCCACTCAATTTTTTGTTTTTCATGCATTTTTCTTTACTTTTGTGAGACAATTATCAGTTTTTAAAAAGGTTTGGGTGACCGAATTATTTTTTTAGGACTTTTAGATAAAAATATCTCCGTGAACTTTTGATGTAATTTGAAGCTGAAAGTATTTTTAAAGGAGGCCAGACACCAAAAAAAGTTTTCCTGATTTTTTGCATAGAGAACCCCCATGAGGGGTTGAACTCATGACAGGCAGCTCAGGGGTACAGCGCCGCTACCGGCTGAGCTACGGGGGCGCGAAGCGACTATAAGCGCGGCGCGATTTCGTCCCCCGAACTGGACCTCGAAATTGTTGCTGTCTCGCCTCCTTTAAGAGCTGCTTTGCACTGAAAACATAAAAAACAAGCACCTTCCAGGAATCGGCAAATAGCTGAAAAACCAGAAATTTTCAAACGATTCTGTAAATGCAAACTTTCTAATATAGGTCAGTTTCATATTTTCCGAAGTTTTCGAAGTGATTGAAAACTTATCATTCAAGCTCCATACTCCTGAAAATAGCTAAAAATGAACTGAAAAATACGTTTTTGTAAATCTTATTGACCTGTGTTTTATGTAGTTTTTGAAACTCACTGAAACAAAAAACAGGAAACATTTTATGGCTAATTTCACAGACTTGAGCACCGATGTTATTAAATACAGTAGTCATATCAAAAGAAACATTTCAGCACTTATTACAAACATAGCACAGTAGAATTATTAGTCATTATATATATAGAAATGTCGTTCTGATCATCAGAAAATGAACGATAAAGTTCTAAAGTTTAGTGATCCTTTTTATGGCGTTGATTGGCACTCAATTTCGGTGATCACGATAGTTTCCCCCTCCAATGTCCATTCACCAGCATCGTTACAAACCAAAGTTGCAGACACCGTACCAGTGCCTGTTGGGGTTGCACCGGCTTGATCTCTGTTGAACTGGAAATTTCAGAAGTGTCAATTTGAAAAATGAAATATTGCTCTAACCGTAATAATAACACCAGAGTCCGCAGAAAATCCATCACAAACTGCAGTTCTGACAGCGCAAGTTCCAGACGTGTCAATCGTGTCACTTGTGAATTCTTTGGTTCCCTCACTGATCATAATATGTGTCACGGTGTCTAACGTGCAAGATCTGCAAGCTGAAATGAAGCTAATTTTGGCATAAATCTTGTCCCAACTATTGCATACCTGTCGGCGCTGCCGTCGTTGTAGCCGTTCCTCCTGGCGATGTTGCCACACATGCTTCAGCTGTTTTCAACGCAAAAGTGAAAGCTAAAAGGTGCGTGAAAAGTGGATGCATGCTGAAACTCAAATGGTACTAGGACACCAACCAACCAATACATAGAGAAAATAAGAAACCAGCAGAGAAAACAAAGGTAATGATGAAGTATAGTCAACTTCTTGGAAAAAAGGAGAAATGGAGTTCAAAAATTACCAAAGAAATATTCATTAGGGTTAGTAATGCTTATTAATTAATATTATTATTATAGGAATGGTTATTATTAATATCAGTATTATGAAAATTTGATTAATTATTATTATAAATGTTAATGGTTTCTTATCATCAATCCCTAGTGTCCGTGATATTGAGCATTTTGGAGGCTTAAAATTCCGTCTAGGTAATGATTTGGCACTCAACCTCATTGATGACAATACCATCTTTCACCCAGTTACCATCCACACAATTCATCACCACATTCGCCGTTCCAACTCCATTTTCAGTTCCCACATCTCTTGGATTCTCGTTGTCAGAGTAGTACTAAAAATGAAATTTATTTTTTCAAAAAAAAGTACAGGATATTATTCTTGTCTGGCGTCGATGAACCTTCTGACCAAATTTTTCTTTAAAGGCGCATGACCGGTCCTGCATAGGAAACATCTACGATTTTTACAAACAACTTCATGCGTCTTTAATACAGTACTTCGGAATTATTTCATATTTGCCTACTTTCCTAAGATTCTTGATTTTTTCGTTAAAATTCTTCAGATTCTCATAAATAATCAGCTGAATTTTCTTATTAAATAGGAAAACTGCCTAAAATAGGCCAAAATAAAATAATTCCTAGTTACTGTAGTAAGGCGCACAAATTTACCTGACTAAATTGTAGCCGCTTCCTTTTCATAACTTGCTATGCGCCTTTAAAGAAATTTTCGGCCATAAGGTTCATAAGCACCGGACAAGAGTGTTATACAAAAGCTTGTTTTCAGTAGAATGTAAGAGCTCGGCCGTCAAGTGACCGATCATTTTTGTAGGTTATAAAACAGAACTAACCTAAAAACTTTACATTCACAAAAATTTTTGAAAATTTCTAGTTTTTTATTTATCTGCCGATTTATGAAGAATACCTCCCTTTTTCGCGTTTTCAGCACCAAAAGTGGAAAAATGCGGTGTCCTTCAGAAATTAGCAAATAACTGAAAAACAAGGAACTTCTAAAAAGTTTTGTAAATGCAAATTTTTTAATCTTGGGTCTTTGACAGCCGAGCTCTAGACTCCTGAACATTGTCAAACTGACTGAAAATCAACTGAAAAACACGTTGTTATACATCTTTTTGACCGGCACCGTATCTCGTTTTCTATTTCAGATATCAACACTTTGTTAGTTAATAGATAAATCTGAAATCCCACTTACAGTAATCAAGACAACATCCGTGGCCACCTGCGGCGTCCGTTCACAGGTATAAGTGATGGTAGCGCATCCGTTAGCATCAACACCTTCGTCAGTAAGTGGAGGCTGAAAATATTTAACATTTAAAAAAATGAGCAACCTTAGAATTTATTGCTCACTGAGTCTCCATCGTTTCCAGTGGTAATAATGATTTGATCTACAGTACATGTTGCGCAGGCTGCAAAAAAAGTGAATAGCGTTAGTTGACCCAAAACAGTAAGAACGTATTTATACGCATATGTCTTTACCACTTCTAATTCTTTCTTCCTTTCTACCACATTTGATTGGAATACAAGAGGTCAGAGGGGACGACAAATTGGAATTTGTCTGCGTGGAAATAAGAGGAAAGGATTCGAAGGAAAACTTGGAAAACTTCATTAACAAAAAAAAAGCGAGTTTTACCCGTGGCTACTGTCGTGGTAGGTGCTGCGGTTGTTGTCACTGTGGCGGTGGTGGTGGCTGAAAAATTAGGAATTTTTGCATAGATTACTGTACATCAAAAACTTACTAGTTGGAGTGGTGGTGCCACCCGTGGCAGCACATTGATTAGCTATCACAATGAAGGAAATTAGTAGAGTTGTCGCCAAAATTTGAGAGTACATGCTTGTGGCCTGAAAAATTCAAAAAAATTTTAGCTTGAAATATGAAATTTTGATTTTGAGAAAATGTTGAAAAATTTTTTGGCACGAAATTCTTTTTTATTGTTTATTGAACCATTGTCTACGCCGATCGGACCCCAAGGCTGATCTAATCAAATTATTATCTAACTAATAATAAGAATAAAAATGTACAGTACATGTTGATGAGATACACAAAAACTTATTTTTCACTTGATTTTAGGTATTTTAGGGATCTGGAACTTGGTTGTCAATTTTCCGATCACTTTGAAAATTTTGGAGGATGTAAAACAGACCTAGATTGAACAATTTGCGTTTACATAATTTTCGAACATTCCTAGTTTTTCAGCTTTTTGCCAATTTCTGAAGGACACCCCTTCTCAGTCCATTGTCCTGAAAACGTGAAAAAACGGGTGTTTTTCAGAAATAGGCATCCATCTGAAAAACTAGAAATTTTTCAAAAATTCGCAAAATTTTTGAAAGTTAAAACAAAATGTTCAATCTAGATCTGTTTCATACGTTCCATAACTTCCAAAGGGATCGCAAACTTAAAAGCCGAGCTCTAGACTTTTGAAAATGGTCAAAATCAACTGAAATATACGTTTTTGTATTTCTTAATGACCGGTACTGTGAGTGAAACATAGCGGTAGAAACTGAAGCTTTAAAAAAAACAAAAATGAAAAATAGAGTTTTGCAATAGTGTCATGCCAATCTAACTGAAAAAAATTTCGCTAGAAATATTAGGATTTCTAGGCTAACTTTTAAAATACATTGATTTGTAAGTTTATAAAATTATTCTTGAAAATTTTCATGCAAAATCCAATATGAAATATAGTTTGAAAATTCTACATTTAGGAGTGAAATCTGTATGAAATGAATTCGATCATAAAATTTTCGGTTATTCGACCAAACTACGATTAAAATTGACCTATACTAATAAAACTAAGATTTATATGACACCGAGATTATGAAGTCGAAAAAAGAACACGATTAGAAAAAACGTTCACTGCTTAATTCTCATCTGAATAGAATCTCAAAAGGATTTCGAATGTATAAAGGTCAAAAGAGGTTTTCTGAATTTTCGGCCGTATAGTGCTTTTGGAGTGTCTTAACGGGAAACTTTCCCAATTGAGACATGTGCGTTCCAAACAAAAGGGCGGGGGGGGGGGGGGGAG